GAGGGCCTCACCTCACCTCACGCCACCCCGGTCGACGTCCGTGAGCCGCGGCGCTAATCTGAGCATTTTGTCTCTGCCCTGCGTCCGAAGTGGCTCTTGGCTCCAGTCGCTCCATTCTCCCAGCTTTTTCCTTCTCTTGCGCCTCGGGCTGCTAGTCGAGTGGCTTGGTGCACCCGAGCGCAGGCCGTGGGGACGGTGGAGGAGGATATCCGATTTGCTTGTTCTTGGCTTGGATGCTGGTTCCCAGGGTCTGGGTCAAGGGTCTGGGATGTCTTGGAGGGAGGAACAGCGGCCGGCCTTGGTCTTGGTCCTGCCCTTGGAGACACGATAAAAGTCTCCCTCGACCCCTCTGGACTCAGAAGTATTGGCTTCGTGCGTGTTGTATCGTGTCACTTGTTCGTTGTTCCTTGTTTACTTGGGTCTCCCGGCAGCTTGAAGTTGAACAAGGAGTAATTCTGCTAAGAGTTGTCGTTCTTGTCAAGTTCTGCAGTCCTTCAGCTGTCGCTCCTTCTGATCTTCTGCAGAGTCGGCGGTCGGCATACTGGCAAGAGCCCTTTGCGGCTCCTTCCATTCACTTACACTGGACGTCATATCGCGGTATCGCCACCAATTTCTTCTACCAGCTTGGAATCTAGAATCTACCTGCATCATTGCCGTACAAAATTGCGTCAAGAATATCTTCTTCATCTAAAAATCAGCAATTCAGCAATCCATCACCAGAGAACGCATCGCATTGCGCTGTTGCGACGTCTCATTTCATTTTGACGCGGCCCATCACCGTCGCCCGCAGGAGCTACAACGCACAGCATCGCGAGCTGCATCACTTTGACACATTCCTACGGCACGCATATCTTGCACGACGCTCGCTTTGGCGCCGGCGCGAACAGATTAGGTACCACGGACAGATCTTGCGACAGATTGGGCCTTGCCGTAAGGGTACCGGCCAGTTGTCTTTGATTCATCACTTGGCAGCCGCCCTTGGGCGAGGAGTTGCGGAGACTCGCCATCATTGTTTTGACTTTCTCACTTTTGATTCACTTCTGCTTCACTTCTCACCTTGTATGGCCATCTGCCTGCCACCCATTAATTTCGCACTCTATTTCGAAAAAACACTTCGCCCAGCTGTTCACTTTGCCCACAAACTTCTGCCAGTGCCTTCTCCCCAGCCCTTCTTCATCAAAACAGAAGCAGCAAAGACATTTAACGCATCATTCCCTGCCGCCCTCGACGCCGATTCCCATCCGCCATCTTCACTGTCTCTCCTTCTTTCGTTCAATTTTCTTCTTTCATTCTATCTCCTTCTCCCTCAAAATCTCTCCACTACGATGGCGACCGGGTTTGATCGCCTCGAGAGGCTATTCAGCATCAAGCGCAAACCTTCATTTGCCTCTGTTTCGGTTGCTACTTCTATCAGCACCCCGACAGAGCCCCAGTTTCCCTCTCCTTCTTTCATTCGCCCGACAGCCACTCGCATGGCAGCTCGGGAGGAAGTGCGATTGCGAATAGCGACAGGTCGATCTCCCTCAGCTCCGGATGTCACTCCTTCTCGACTAGACTCACTGAGTTCCCATGCCTCGAGTCCAGGCTTCAGTCGCTCGCCTACCCTGTCGCCTTCCCCCCGTGGCCCTCATCCACAGGCAGACTCTCTAGTCGCGAAGCTCCGCGAATATCAATTTCCTAGCCCGCTGAGCCCGCTGAGCCCAGAGGAGAAGGCGACACACATGTCCACAGCGTTCAAACCTGCAACAGAGATACGCGAGATCCCAAGTCCTCGCTCTCAGTCTCCGCTTCGTTTACGGGCTATACCACGCCTTGACACCCCTCCGTCGCCCGACCTGGAAGAAATTGAATCTTGTCACCGCTCCTTTGAGAGCATCAGAGTCCCAACACCCTCCTATAGCATTCCACCAACTCCTGAAGATTCACCCGAGATTCTACCCGTGCGCAACCTGCTTGCCGATTCCAAAATATTCGACACTGCGATCGATAAAGCTCTCTTTGAAGAAATTGAAGATCAACTCCTTCAGTCTCTCGATTACCCATCTTTGAACGACTCATTCAGCGACTCGTCACCTTCTGAAGCATCATCCAATAGCTCTACCTTGCGGGAGCCTGATTTCAACGAGTTCTTAAATCTAAGCGATGACGATATTGCTGAATTGGCGCCTGAGAATCTAGACTCTGAATCTGATAGCGGCACGCAACTGCGCTCTCCGCTCTCAATGGATACTCCCCCTTCGCCTAAGCCTTCTCCCCTCCTGACACTAACGCCTCCTCCTGTCAGCCGGCCTGCTACTGCCGCTGCTTTCGAGGCCGCCAGAATTGCGAGAAGATATGATTTCGACCTTGTCTATGTGGTGAATCTTTGGCCAGGCGGACCGCGTGGCCAAGTTTTCGACCTCGAGTCTGCGAGTTCTTGCAAGCGGCCCCTAGTTGGTCGACTGTTGGCAGCGCATGGCCTTGATCAAGTCCCATCGCCACTACAAATCTCTTCGGAGGCTCATGCCACCATGTTGCGGTCCAAGGGCTGGGTCGAATACAAAAACCCAGAAGCGCAGTTGCACGAAATCGCGCGCGGCTACGCATGCTCCTTCTACTCTGGCAAATATTCTCAAAGTTGTTCACGCGATGAAGACAGCCCAGTTTCGGGAGTTCGACTATCAGAGATGATCGACCGAGGCATCGTGTTTGCGGCATATAGAAAGCCTAGAATTGGACCATGCAGACTGGGGCACAGCTTTACTGGAGAGGATCTCAACTCTCTCTACGGAGACGCAGAGACGTTGGTGGAAATGCTGATTGATATCCATACCCGCAACCGTCAATACCAGCCTGATTCCAACAGCCAGCTCTGCGACGAGACTGGGCCCCTGCCTACGCAAGAGTTTGATCAACTGTCTCTCTGAATCGAAATCAACCGACACAATTCTCATATGTGTGCCTATAATTCTATGGTCATTTGAGGCATCAATTTTGGCCTGTACGCTTTTTTTTGTTGTTGCTTTCCGATATTTTGTCAACATAAACTGATGAATTACGAATGGATTTCCTTTGTCATGTTGTTCTTTTGAAGATACCTCTGGGGGCGGTTGTTTTTGTGCACTCGATACACGAGACGGTTGCATGTTACACTTGGCGTTTTGTGAGATTCTTCAGCTCTTCAGCTCTCTCTATCACACTCAAGGTGGATCTTTACCGAGTTATTATCGGTGGAATTTTGTTGTATGCATAGTCTGGAAGGAATATCTCCAGGAATTAATGATGGGCATCTGCGAGGGTTTGGCCGTCGACATATCTCATTTACAAAAGTAATCAGGCATATGAGACTTGACCGAGTTTAAAGCATACGATAGCTAGATACACAAGAAGCATTTTACTTCGTCTACCTAGTTCTTTAATCAAGGGAAATACTAGCCAGCCTGCATAATCGGTGCCACGCAACATGAAGCTTGGATGCAGGTCGCCACGGGACGCCGCAGACTTCATTGCACGGAGATCTAGGCACTGGCCCGCGTTCGGAGCGAACCTCGAGATCTCGTCATACCATTTATCGGCTGCGAGGAGAAGATGGATGTCTTACAGCTGAAGCAATGGCCCACCATGGGTCCTGTTGGCTGTGTGTTTTTCACTTGTGCTAAGGCGACGGAAAAAAAGCCACGAGTGAGGGCTCGAGCTTTTATGGCGTGATAACCCGCATTGTAAAGTGAAGGGGTTGTATATATGTGGGCTATGGAACCTCAGAAGAATGCAATATTGTACTAGACGAGAGCAAATCTAGTGACTTATGGACAGGGTGCCATGTACCTCGGATAGCACGTTTGCTGGGGCCACAGAGCGAGCGGCAGAGGCTGGTGACAGACTTGTTTGGGATGATCTGGGATACTGACCAAACTAATCCTGCCTCTCTCAAGGCCATGAAGACGGCGACTCGTTTAAGCCTGGCATCATCAATCAAGGCCTTGGTGATTTTATCAGATGGTGGAGTGATATGGCTATAGTAGCTGAGACTAGAGGGACATAGCTATAGTATACAAGATTAGATGAATATTACTATAATAGTAGAGATATGTTTGGATTCTGAGGAAGATCAAGGCACGACTATCAGCACGACTGTGGGTGGTTTGTTATTTGTACCAAGGGCATTGGATGAGGAGGAGGAGGGTGAGCTGGAGCAGGAAATGCGTAATAAGAATTTTACTTGGTATGGATATGGCTTCAGGGGCAGGCCGGAAACTTGAGCAATTGAGTGAAGATTTAGGGCCAAGGAGAGCAAGGTAGCATTTGGGCGTCAGAAAACATTGAATCTGGGTACCTACTAGGCACGATGGGAGGGTTGATTGCTGTGATATACTAGGTACTACCCATGTGAATGGGTTGCAGCTGGAGAGACATTTAGTTGCTGGGAGACTGGGGCTAGGTAGTTGTAGATATTTTGCCCGCTCATGTGTTGTAAGTGTGACCAAGTGCAATCTCAGTTGTAGCTAGATACTTTTCTGTTCAAACAGTATAACAATTTAGTGCTATATTTGCTTCCCGCCCTGTTTATTCTGTTATCCCTTGTCTTCTTGGAACGACCAATGCTAGACTTGGGGGATGCTAAATTAACGTAGCCAATCTAGAGCATTGGGTGATGACATTTTCATTTGAAGTGATGGTGACATCATAGTGTTGCACATCAAAAAGAGGGCACGCATTCCCTCCATCAACGAAAATGCAACCAATTGACATTTCACCTCATTATTTACTCGCTTCCTTATTTTTTCCCTCAAATGGGCAAACAGAAATATATCAGATGCTGCATCACTAGAGCCGAATCACTTTGTAGCAGAGGTACGGGATTTGGAGCGCTGTAATCCGCCCCTCACTTACCCTGGAATCTCCGGTTTCTTCTGACAAATCTAGCATCTCATTCATATGCACCTTGTTCACAACACAAACAATCGCCCTTTGTTCCTTTGCTCAACTGGTCGATAATGTCTGCCCACAGAGACTCCCCCGAAATGTCCACATCAACGAGAAACGTGTTGGGCAGAGTCAGGCGGATGGTCCCGCCGATGCTGGACACGTATCATAAGGGTATGCGAATGATCGATATGACAAGACGAGTCCGGCTTCTCAGTCCAGCTTGCAGAAGAAGTCACCCATCGTCCCTATCTTAAAGCATTGAGAATGAGAGACGGAGAAGCTGACACAAACTCACAGGTCAGCTGGGCCGAGTTGCTGTCATTGGAGGCAGCGAGGACTATACCGGAGCTCCGTACTTTTCGGCCATGGCCAGTGCGAGGTTGGGATGTGACATGGTGAGTGAGCGAAGTGTGGTGATGTTCTTCTCCATCATCAGACGCCGCCATTTGGCCACGGAGCAGAAGAAACATCAGAACATTCTCTGGAGATGAGATTGAGCATAGATGTGATGCTGATGCGAAACTCGACAGTCACACGTCATCTGCACTCCGGCAGCTGCGGCAGTCATAAAGACATATTCACCAAACCTCATGGTTCACCCACTCATGCGCCAATCTTCTCCGCAGAACAAAACATCAGAGGACGAAGACTCCAACCCCGACCACGTAGCCCGCAAGATCATCGATATGCTAGGTCGACTACACGTCCTGGTCGTAGGCCCTGGACTAGGCCGTGATCCGCTCATGCAAGCAACCGTAGCCCGCGTCATCAGGGCTGCCAGAGAGTCCAACATGCCCGTGGTTCTCGACGCCGATGCTCTACAAATTGTCCAAACCGATCCAGATGTGGTCAAGGGCTACAAAAATGCAGTCTTGACCCCCAACGTTGTCGAGTTCAAGCGTCTATGCGATGCCCTCAAGATCGACGTCGGCCACCAGTCCAGCGAGACGGGCAAGGTAGAAACCCTTGCTAAAGAACTAGGCGGTGTGACAATCATCCAGAAAGGCTCCAAGGACTTTATTTCCAACGGCAAAGTCACTCTGGTCAGTGATCTGGAGGGTGGGAAGAAGCGAAGCGGTGGGCAGGGCGATACTTTGACTGGAGCTGTAGCCACATTCTTGGGATGGCGAAGGGCTTATCTAGATGGCCTGTGGAAGAATCATGAGCAGCCTGCTCTTGATGCCGATGAGATGATGGGCTTGGCTGCGTTTGGAGGAAGTGCGGTGACTAGAGTAAGTTGTGCTCAAACGGTGAAGCCATATCTGGCTTTTCTCAGCAATACTAACGGACAATTTGCTTCTAGGAGTGCTCTCGGCTAGCCTTTGTCAAAAAGGGGCGAAGCCTGCAGGCAAGCGATCTCACAGACGAGGTACACACTGCCTTTATGGGACTATTCGGCGAGGTCGATGGCGAAGCAGACGCGGCAAAGCTGTAACCTATGATGTGCCGTTGATGTCATGTTCTTCACGTCACAGTCACACGGCGTTTGATTGTGTCGTGTTTCAGAGAGAAAACACATCGTAGCGAGTTCCGATGCCTGTTTTCCGAGCCATTCATGTACAGTAGAAGGCGAAATGGGTGTTGCAAAGTAGCCAGATACCCAACAATCATAGTCCAATGGGGCATTATATCCAGTCGCTCAGGCTATACACCCATCCCAGCTATACCCACGATGGACGTTGGACAATTGAAAATGACAAACAAACAACTACATCTTGAAGGATCGCGGGGTCATACCTGTGGCTGTTGCAACTTGCCGGACACGGCCTGTAGCACGAGGTTGAACTGACTATAACTCCCTGCCTGCCTCGTCTCAAGGGGTCTGGCTCCCTATCCTTCATCCTTCTTGAGAAAAGCAAGAAGCTAAGACGACTATCGAATCCCGCATACTCATTCTAGTTCGTTGCCACGCACTCTTCACAATGGGCGTCGACTATGGCTTCGATGTCTATCCCCCCCTCGGCCCAGAATGCCAGGACCTCTACGCGTCGTTCCTCGAAGAAGTCGTCCATCAATACAAGCAAGCCATCCACCCAAATACCGGCAAGCCCCTGATCCAAATCGTCGGCTCCCCTGGAACCCAAAACGCTTACATCTACTTCGACGTCGGCGAGGGTCCAATACTGCCATACAACATGGACTACTTGATGCGTTTTGAATCCGGGCTCGTCGATGATAATGTGATGAAGTATCTAAAGGAGGTCTACTTGATTGCCCGACGGTACTTCCCCAATAACGTGCAGTTCTGGGTATTGGGGGCGTCCCCGTCTCTTATTCAGGTGCTTGATAGGATTCCGAACATGAAGATGGAAGAGGGACCGCCACGGACGGGGGAGAGGTGGTACAAGGTGCGGGCTGAGCTTCTTCGTCTGGGAAGAGAGCAGGGACAGGGAACGAAAGATGGACAAGACATCAAGGATGTAGGCTCTACACAAGGTAAATAATATAGGCATCCTCTACAGCCGGCTGGATGAGGCCGAGGCCATAGACTGGCAAGTGCTGTTGGATCTGTTTACATCATTTCATCTACTCGTGAGATATACAAACTCCAATAATGTAAGCCATGTGAATCATGTCTCACCCCCAAGCTGAAATCTCGAATCCTCACACCCATAACACCACCCAAGTCCCAACAAGCCTCTCTCGGTAATATGAGTAAACGTAACACAAATAGAACAGAAACAATCTGTGTGCAGCCTAACCATGAAACAACGGCACCACTCATACAACGACAAGAGAAGAAATAGATCCTCTACTAATACTAAGCCACACTTCCTCCCTGTTCCATCAACCCAACGTCCACCTCGCGGAAAAAATAAGAAGAAAATATAGACCCAGCGTTCTATTTTATTTCCATGAAGCAACTTATTCCCAACAGGCGACCAAAACAACACAGGTAGACGCTGAGCCACATACTCTTCCACAAGGGGCCTCGCAATTGCCGCGCCCAAGATTAGCGCTTCGATTGAAGTGAAGTCGACGTCCTCCTCGCTGATTGCCTTCTAAACCTCGCATCCAAAAGCCTGTTTGGTCCGACGAAGCACCGGAATGGCAAGTATCATATCTGGTATAGCAAAGGAAGTGTCTCTACTGAAGAGAGATGAACTGAGAACCCATAATCCATATTCCGAACAACGCGCCATCCGTTCAAACCTTCCTAACAGAATCCATACTCCGCATCTCCTAACCGGTACTATCCATCCATCTTGAGGACATAGTAACTGAAATCCATAATTCATGACTCCAAAATGCGCCATGTGTTTTCGAAATCTGCAAACTGAGCCCCGTAACTTGCAACTCCTGAAAGATACTACTCATCTTTGATCAGTGTCTTGCGGATAGTGTTTTTGTTACGTGCTGTTGGAATTTACACCACGTCTTCGTTTTAGATCCGAAGTTGGTAAAGCAACCTACCTCAGCAGGCAGACATAACCTGTCCGCGAACCTGTGCAAGATTACTCTGCACATACGTTAGAATTTGCTTGATGCGTAGGCATGACTGGATTCCTGCGACTTGGGATCAACGGTACCTAATTCAATATCCAATCAAGCTCCAACTTGCGAGCCAATATTTCAATGGCCTTTTTTCCCAAGTTCTTAAAAGCGCGTCGACAATCAAGTGGCATGCGGTAAAAAAAACCCTTCAGCTTGAATCCAGACCGGTCCCCAAGAGCCAAGGTATATATCCCTCTATTTTAGGCTACTACAGCTACGTCCTATAGTCACAGCTACTATAGTTATGTTCATCTAGTCTTGCATACTATATCTATATTCCCCTAATCTCAGCTACTATATCTATATTTCCCTAATCTTATCTACTACAGCTATGTGCTTTTAGTCTCTGCTACTATACCTACATCACTCCACTATCTGATATCATCACCAACTTGGGGTACGAAATCATAGCACTCTTCTTTATATAAAAAGTAGCCGCACAACCCAATGCCTATGCAAAGAAAACCCGAGTTCAACTGTGTGACTGTGAATTTTATCAAGTTATCTATTCTTTATTCGAGCCTACGCACATAGTGTAGGACACATGCACGACGATTTCAAGCACAAGTCACCTCTCAGACGTCTCTGTCTAGATTTAACAGAACAAAAGGAATCAAGGACATCCATTGAGTTAATGTGCTCGTATTTTACAAGTGGTAGAATGACTGGCGCGTCTCCCTTTATAAGCCATGGCCCTCTCATTTGGCGCAGCCATCACTTTTTATCCCCCCCCCCCTTCCTCCATCTCTAGAGAACGACCAACAATAATTGGTATAGACAGCAGCACCCCTCCAACAGTGACCTTTTTCTAGTTCGCTCGACGCGCGCTTCAACTTATTATTTGTTTAGCCGAGGAAGCTCTTGACGAAGTTGACGGTGACGTCCTTGAGTCTGGCCTCGAGGTCCTTGCTCAGGGCACCCTCCTTGTCGATGGTGGCGAGCAGGTCAGACTCGTTGGTCTTGAGGTGGGCAAGGAAGTCAGACTCCCACTTGAGGATCTGGTCGACGGGGATAGAGTCGAGGTGACCGTTGATACCAGCGTAGATGAGGGGAACCATCTCGTTAACGGCCATGGGGGAGTACTGCTTCTGCTTCAGGAGCTCGGTCAACTGTAATCACGGCTGGTCAGCTACCTCACGCGGCCTAAAACTCACCGATATGCAAGGGGGATATAACTCACACGCTCACCACGGGACAGGGTCTGCTTGGTGGCAGCATCAAGATCGGAACCGAACTGGGCGAAAGCGGCAACCTCACGGTACTGGGCCAAGAAGAGCTTCAGGGAACCAGCGACCTGCTTCATGGCCTTGAGCTGAGCGGCGGAACCGACACGAGAGACGGACAGACCGACGTTGATGGCAGGTCGGATACCCTTGTAGAACAACTCGGACTCCAAGAAGATCTGGCCATCGGTAATGGAAATGACGTTGGTGGGAATGTAGGCAGACACGTCACCACCCTGGGTCTCAATGACGGGCAGGGCAGTCATGGAACCGCCACCGTGCTTGTCGTTGAGCTTGGCGGCACGCTCCAGCAGACGGGAGTGCAGGTAGAAGACGTCACCGGGGTAAGCCTCACGTCCGGGGGGACGACGCAGCAGAAGGGACATTTGCCGGTAGGCGACGGCCTGCTTGGACAGATCGTCGTAGATGACCAGGGAGTGCTTTCCATTGTCACGGAACCATTCACCAATGGAAGCCTTAAGGAATTGATTTGTTAGTAAAGAGTAGGAGGAATGGCAAAGGGAATGGATCGTGGACATACACCGGTGAAGGGAGCAATGTACTGCAGAGGAGCGGCCTCAGAGGCAGTAGCGGCGACGATGATGGAGTACTTCATAGCGTCGTTCTCCTCCAGGGTCTTGACGAGCTGAGCAACGGTGGATCGCTTCTGGCCGACGGCGACGTAGATGCAGTAAAGCTTCTTGGTCTCGTCGTTGGAGTCGTTCCATCGCTTCTGGTTAAGGATGGTGTCGAGAGCGACGGCAGTCTTACCGGTCTGACGGTCACCAATGATCAACTCACGCTGACCACGGCCGATGGGAACCATGGCGTCGACGGACTTGAGACCGGTCTGCACGGGCTGGTTGACGGACTTGCGGGGCAGGATACCGGGAGCCTTGAGCTGAGCACGGCGCTTCTCCTTGGTGTTGAGAGGGCCCTTGCCGTCAATGGGGTTACCCAGAGCGTCGACGACACGGCCGAGCAGCTCAGGGCCGACAGGGACGTCGACCTTTGCGGGCAGTTAGCATTGTTTCTGGCAGTGCAGCCTTATATAACTCACAATTTCACCGGTACGCTTGACAGTCTCGCCCTCCTTGACCAGACGATCGGAACCGAACAGCACGACACCGACCTGGCCGGCCTCGAGGTTCATGCACATGCCCTTGACGCCGGAAGCGAACCTGGATGCTGTTAGCTGCAAGTGTTGTTGAATGAGGAAGAGGAATGTCCACATACTCGACAAGCTCCTCGGCCTGGACGTTGGCCATACCGTGAACACGGGCGATACCATCACTGCCCTCATAGTTAGAAAAAAATTACCCAGAGTAGAAAAAAGCTCATCAGTCGGTAAGAAGCATGTCTTTTGATAACCCTCCATCGCATGCATCCAACGTTGACAAGGATTGCATCCGGCGTTGCGGCTTCAAAGAGCAAAGACAGCTTTTGATAGGTGGCCTCCACATACCCAACAGACAGGACACGGCCAGTCTCAGCAAGACCGGACTCCTCCTGGACACCACGGATTCGCTGCTCGAGGATAGAAGAGACCTCAGTGGGCGAGGCCTTTGCGTCGGAAGCGTAGGTGCGGACAGCGTTGATGGCGGCCGGTGCGGCATTTCGAGTCTACATTGGGTAAGGAAAAAACCATGTTAGCCGAACGGCCAATACAAGAGTATGGAGAACCCCGGCAAGGCATGAAAAAGCTCAAAAGGCGTGCTCTGCGGCTCGAAAAAAGTCCAAGATGAGCTCAATTGAGGTCGGTAAGCCAAGTTGCAGGCGGATGCGCATGGCTGTGATGCGTCCTCCTCGTTGTCCATGGCCGGGATTCATTTTTTTTCTGCCCCATCGTCGCCTCGGGCTTGCGGAAAAAAAGACACTCACCACGGAGACTCGGCCAGCAGCGACGGCGCCGACAGCGCGAGAGGACTGGCGGAGGGCGTTGCGGAACATCTTGAGGGAGGAAACTAGGGGCCTCAGAAGAGAGGGGAGCAATTGCAGCGGCGTGCAATTGGGGAGGGTGATTGAGGGTTTGTTGATGTCTGCCTTTTGCAGGAAGAGCAAAATGGAGATTTTCGGGAGGAGAGGCGATGGAGAGAGCAGAGTCTGTGAGGACCAAGGTGGGGTTCTCGGGTTGCCTCGCTGGCCAATCACGGCCACTTGCGCGGTTTTGCTGGAGGAGTCCGACGCCGCCTTAACAATTTTCCATGGGCAGCTTAGTGGGAGGGAAAACGGAGGCTAATACTGGAAGGGGAGGCTTTTTTTGTGTGGTATTTGTTGGTGCCTTTGATTCCTGCCTGATCGTAAAGGCACGCATTTGCTCATCGTGGAGAAGGCAAGTGGCCAGGCAGGGGTGAAACCGGGTTGAGGTTGCAGTTTGTGACAGTGCTGGAGGTACGTACCAGAACATTCAAGTTGAAGCATCTCTTTTCTCATTGACTGGAACGCAGCGATGATTTATCCGTCTCATTAAAAGAACAACATGGCCTTTGATTGTGAAATGATAGGAATAACTTTGTAGAGGCTCAAGTATTGTAAAGATGATGATGGATGGTAAATGCTGTGTTGGTTGGTGAGAAACAGCTGCGGAAAAGCAATACTGTAGGCGCTCTTGCATGAAACTGATGATGCTGCATCACCTTGAAATAATGTGACACAGATATGTACAATGCATCATCTACACAGAACATGACTCATTACTGCCACAGTGAGAAATCCATTAAGAGAATTTTGACATGCCGTATCAACACTTCATGATATGAAGCCATTGTGATTCATCGTCAAGCAAATACATCGCTACTGGAGGGAAACAACATGGAGGTTTCTACAAAACAAAAGACAGCGGATAATCAGCATGAATATCCCCCACCACGACAACAAACAGGCACAGGCATTGCCCCAAAGGTATAAATGGTGCCATCACATTGCAGGGGCAAGTATATGTGAAGCCGGCATAGCGCCGGTCGGTCTCTCAGGCCGTTGCTCGACTCAAAAATCTTGGTACGAGCTGATGTAAAAATCAAGCGGAAGAATACATGACCATATGATCCTTTTTACCCCCAAATGTTCGCCATGCCCATTTCCTTCAAGACAAGAAAAAAAATATTTAATTCGGTTGGCTTTTTTTTTAACCGTTTATCGGACAATGCCATCGAAGCGGCCCTTGAACCACTTGACAGTCTCATCGCGCTTGATGCGGTGAGAAGAACCGATTCTGCTCTTCATGCGGCGGCGGCGGGTGACACGCTCACCGGGGCGGGTCATGCAGCAGTAGAAGTCCATGCCGTAGATACCGATGGAAGGGTCGTACTTGATACCGAGATCGATGTGCTCGCTGATACCGAAGCCGAAGTTGCCAGTCTCGGAGAAGTTGCGCTTGCGAAGCTCGTACTCCTTGACCTTGAGGCCACGCTCGAGAATCTCCTCAGCCTGTCCATCACTGTTAGTCAAAATTATATTCCTTGTTGGATTTCCAGGTTCAATTTACCTTGGGGCCGCGGACGGTGACGTGGACAGCAATCTTTTCGTTACGGCGGATACCAAAGGTACGGACGGTGTAACGGGCCTTGCCTGTAGTCAAAATTGGTTAACATCTTGGCCGTTTTGCCTCCTCATGGAAAAAATTGATTGCGAACGCACTGTAGACGGGGGTTTGACCAGACAGCTGCTCAAGCACCTTGGCGGCACGAGTGAGCCTGTCACCAGATTCACCGACGGAGATGTTCAGAACGAGCTTCTGGATCTTGAGCTCCCGCATGGGGTTGCTAGTCTTCTCGGAGGCCATTGCTGCGGTTGTTTTGCGACGTTTCTGCTGCTGCGCCGGAAAAAAATGGCAAAAAGTGAGGTTGAACAAGCTTGGCCGATTTTGTGAGGGCGGGAAAATTTCGAGGGTTTGTCTGCCCTCAAGCGAGAGCACAGAAAAGCGGGGTGCAGATCCAAACAAGGGCTAGCGTTTTCGTTCGCATCGCCGCTAGTGAGCTTGATGCCTCACATTGGCCCCAGCGAGCTATCACTAGCAAAAGCTACTAAACAGTACTCTATCATGCTCCTAAGAGCAGGCTAATGGTGAGTATTCAAAAAGTAAATGCAGATAGTACCTACAACACGTCTCCTTCAGCTGCCAAATCAGTCACGCCTCGGGATTGATGCAGCAGCAGCCAGCCATCCCCACCACCAAGTAAACCATCTACCATGCCACTTTTTCACGTTTTGCCATTTCACACATCTTCTACTTTGTAGTATTTATACAGGTAGCGACTAAAAAGTAAATGTCGTTTCCATTGTCTCATAACTTATTCATCGTTAAAGGATGTCGTAAAAAGAAAAGAAAAAGCAGAATGAAAGATACATTCAAGCAAGAAAAACCCGCCCAAGACATGAAATTGCCATCTGTTTTGAAAAGAAAGAAAAAACTCCCACTTCTTGCCTCTTCCCCCGTCATCACGGGCCAGCAACATGGCTGAATACCTTTGCAGCCAGTTGGCTCAACAATCTCGCCCTATCGGCTTGGGGAAGTTCCTATGTATACATTAGCGCTCAGGGATATCTGAATAATCAAGTCAGTCTCAGAATGATCTGAGATGCGTAAGTGGTGTTGGGTGGTTATGCAGCACTGTGCCTTACCCGGAAGACTTCGTAAACGCTCTTCCCTTTGGCGTCTCTGACGGCGCCGAGTCGGTTGCCGGCCACTGCTCCGGCGAGCAATCCAGGAACATTGCCAACAATGAATCCCAGAGCGCCGCCGCTGACTGCACCGACCATACCCCACATGGTCGAGCCGGCGCCCTGTTGATTTGGAGTTCCATCCTCTGAGAACCCCTCGTCTCGCATCATCTCCTCAAAGGCATCGCTAAACTGTGCATTTTCCGTCTCTTGGCGGCCGCTTGGGGTTGTGCCGCCGTTCCTGTTCTCAAAGTGCTCCCATGCCCACGAATAGCTCTGCCCCGTAGAGTCTTCTGCGTCTGAAAAGGGATCGGCCGCCGGCGGCACGTGGTAGTATCCTCGCTGGAGGTCGTATTCTCGTCGTCTGGTAGGGTCGGAGAGGGTGTAGTATGCGTCATTGACAAGCTGGAAGCGTCGAGTCCTCTGCTCACGGTCGGGCGAGTCGTTGGCGACCCGATCGGGGTGCGTTTTCAGGGCAGCCCTAGGAGAGAGACGGTCAGTTGGTCACCGCCACGGACGATGGTGTTGACATGGACGGACGGGGGACATACTTTTTATACGCATCTCGGATTTGCGAAGCAGAGGCCTTATCTGAAACCTCGAGAATTGCATCTGTGTGGTGTATAAATGTATTAGCAGGTGCCTTGGCACAAAGAGTCTCCAACGCAGAGCATTGTCTTGACTCTTGTCTTGGATCAATGGCGGGGAGAGCTTGGGCATTGCAGCGTCGACTCACAATAATCAGGTGGCGTGTTTCTCGTCATTGTGTTGATTGTCTTGGGAGGCTTGAAGAAAGAAAGAAAAATCGGCTACCTTCTCATCCCTATGATTTAATAGATGCAAACAAAATAGCCAAGGTAGTGAATTGATAGGTGCCTGATGCAGGTTCGGTGCTACACGCATGCAGGCCCAGCACGATGATTTATCCAGTAACACGTCAACGTCATGTGGCGAGACGAATATGTGGCTGGTGCCACGTTTGCGCATCTGCAGCCCGACTCCACAAACAGGTTCGTTCGCATCATGGCAGGTACATGCTTAGCTTGGCCGCGTGTGTTTTACGGGGGAAAGCTGTTATTAAGGTACACCAAACAAAGCGAAATACGGCCGACGCTGTACAGCAAACACTTTATTAAGGTACTTGCATAGTAGCAATTTATAAAATAACATTACTTGTACGCTGTTGAAGATGCTCTGTCGAGTGTCCAGCTTCGCCTCTAATCCAATAGGCTATCCATCCAAGAAAATCTCTATAAATAAAATGAGCAAAATAAAAAAAACCCGGCCTCCCTAGCGATGTTTCCTAAATGTGGCAATGTCATTATTCCCACTCTCTCTAAACGCCAACTGACCTTGCGATCCGTAATCTCATCAATGTAAAATTTCAGCCTGGAAGATCGTGTAAATACTGCTGTGCCCTAGTGATGGCATCTTGGGCCACTTGCAGAGCGTCGTCTATCTTGCCAACCTTTTGGTAGTAGGCTGCAAGCACCCACATGTCTCGGATGACACGTAAATTCGAGGTCGTACCATGTGCTGCCTCTCGCATGTGGATGGCCTGCTTTAAATTCTCTTCAACGCGGTCCCAGTCCTGTTTGCTCTCACATATTCTGGCCAGCATCTTGCGAGCATATGCGTGGAATCTGGCGTTTGAAAGCGCGCCTGACCAGAACTGGGTGGTATCCAGCAGGTCCAACGCCATCTGCTCCGCCTTCTCCTTATCATCCAGGTCCATTTGCGTAAACTCCAACATGAGAGCGTCGACTCTCAGCTTCTCCAAGTTGCCATCGTTGCCGTCACTCACCAAGGGTTCTTCGTGATGGCCTAGATTCTCGAGACCTTCGTACATAATCTCCCGTCTATTGGCGAGCCCGTTATTCCTACGCAATCTTGTCCGGCCATCCCAGATCAACTGCTCATATAGCCAAAACTCCTGAGGGGCTGATCTCTTAATGTGCTCCGAAAGAAGATCGACATTCCGTAGCCATGCTTGCCGTAACAGATAACAGATGAATTGACGGCCATGCTCGGTTTGATAGTCGCACGACAAGAGCTGTTGGAGGATACGGACGAGAGGGTGGGTTTCGGGGAAGCGGCTCCGTGCCAGGACAAGCGCATGCCGGATGAACATGCTGAGGAGCTGTAAATGACCTCGGTCGATCATGTCATATATTGTGTCAAGCATGTGCCACAAAAGGTCAGGGTGGTCCTCGGTCAGTACGTATTCCATGACGTAGAAACCCTTCCTGGCAGCCATGCCCGCTAGGTCACCTTTACCATAGGACCACAGGTCGAAAACCAACTCGAACGTCCGGTACATGGTGCGGCTGTCTTGAATAGGCTTGTTGGGAGTGGCAAGGTATCGGGACATGGGATCGGACGCTATGCGATACGACTCTAGTTTCTCCGAACTCCAAGTCATGACACCATTTAAGACGAGTTCCAGATCCGCGAGAGGCTTGAATTGGGGGTTTGGCACCAGGTCAAGGCCGGTAACTGCAAAGGTTTCTGGCGTCCTCGGTACTTCCTCGACATCGTCATCCTCGTGCTTTGAATCGGTCGAAGAAGAAGACGTGGAAGTGGGGGTGGCAGCGGAAGCGGAGGAGGGAGTAGAGGCTTTGGTCTCAACGGCTGATTTGCGATATGCTCGTTTTCTTATGTTCCACTTCTTGAATCTCTTTTTATACATTTGCTCGCTTTTGCATTGGGTTAGCACACTGGGTTAGTCCACCCCTCGCCTCGCTTGGTATTTTGCCCATTCTTTGCACCCGAGTAGTACGAGTAGTACTCGCATGTACCTTGGGTAAGGTAGTAGGCGTAGGCATGCGCAAGGAGGTAGGTAGCAAATAGCAAACAGCACACAGCAGGGCCGTGACTTACGTAGCAGCGAAGCCATACTTGGTCTCCATAATGGCCATGATCTCGTTCAACTTGCGGTTGTCGCCTATGTATAGCGCCTCAATGAGGTCCTTCCGCGCGGCCCACTCCTTCTCCGTGTGCTCTTTGACGCTCGGCCTCTCGACGACCGGCGGCGAATTGCCCGGCAGGCGAGGGGCCAGAGCCGGCAGACGGGGCCTGGCGGGATACATGGCGGGATGCTGGCCAGGTGGCGCGGTTACTGCTATGCTGCCCATGGATAGCTATTCTGGAGTACAAGTAGACAAGACATGGCCAGGCGCATGGCCATGACGGGCCCTGAAGGAATCGGAAGAAGAAGGTTTTTGGTGCAGAAGTTGAGCCACGATGCGAGTGGTCGTGGATTCCAAGGTACTAGGCTAGTACCTCGCTACCTCGTGCCTTACAGTGCCGCGTACAGGTACCTCGGCAGCTACCCGGGCCGGAGAAGCAGTCAAGTGATCTGCGTCTGATTGGCGGTAAAGGTTCCCTGCATGGAATTTAAGCTTTTTGCAGCGGTTGGATTGGCCGCGCATCACGTGGGCCGTTTGGCTGCTTGTACTGGTACGGATCCCACGAGACAGAGTTTGTCCGTCTATTTGTGGTTCAGGGCCAGTGGCGCGGAGTAGCGACGAAATTCGACAACGACAAACTGTGACGAGCATGTGGTGCCGTGATTTATCAGCACTTGGGATACCCGATGGCTACAAAGAAAGCTGCGGCAAGTACCGAGTATAAGTTGGGAATATTTTTTGGCTCCGTACAGAGTATCTATTGATTTTATAGCCAGACAGTCTCTATTTCTGGACACGCCTCGCATGTCGAGCAATTATTTCCGCTCATAGTCTACCAATATATCCAGCCGTCTTATCAAGGTACGATCACGGCTCAGCTCGGTAACATCGAGAGGACAAGCCGTTCGACTACCTACGATGTGCCATCACCCAGCCAATTAGAGCAGTGGATGTTCCACCACAAATCCGATATTGATTATCATGAATCTAAAGCACTTTGACCATCCAACCAATGGCTTTTCCGTATGCTCAACCGATCGAGATAAGCTTCGGGACGATCCGGGCCCCAGTTGGGAGGATTTAATCTCGGTACCAATATATAATCAGGCTTATCTTGATGGCCGCTTGCCATAGGTGCTGTGACTACTCCGTATTGGCTACCATCATCTTGTTTGAGCCTGACCAATTGACCGATCAACTATTTTGTGCGTCGCGTTAACGAAAGTGTGAATACCCTGGACAACCTCTATATCGAGATCCGACGGACCACTGTTAGGACTCAACTACCGGAATTAACATATACTTCCGTATGTATTAGGATGCCTCGCTCCAGTGTGCTGATCACGTATTATTATTAGCCATATGAAATACGTTATAGTGAGATGAATTCGGCCCTGGTGCGTACCTGTCTTGGCATAATCAAGTTCTGAGGTATTTGTGATCATACTCTCTGTGCAAACTACTTCACCACACAACCTCACCTAGATCAAACGCAACCGTTCTAGAACATCTCAATCTAACCTTTCACCGACAAATTAATATTATTAACACCGAAAATTTCGGAGGCATTACCCGGAAATGTTGTTTCCGCAACATCAGTCTCCATTACCATTACAACGAGACAGGCTTGTTAGCACGCCTCGTGTCAGACTGCCCCGTACCAATTACGCAACTAGACTCGGCGTAGATAAGCAGTAAAACTAGGCATCGACACCAGGATCCTCTTATACCAGCATTTTATACACAATGCAGCACTCAATCTTCAGGCCGGAACATACACCGTTTCCAGGATAATTCATCTGCTATATAAGGAACCCAGGCAGTAAAATGGCAGGTTGAGAGGATTATGTTACCAATTCCATATTGATAACAAGGCCGCATCTGTATTAGTGGCCCGTAATCATAGGCTGCATGGTAGTTGTAAACTCGTAATCAACTGCTCATCACTCAATGCATGCATTGTCAACTTGTTGGACTTATTTATACCAAGAATATGCTTCACTCATAATGTCTCAAGGAAAATCGAATGATGAAGCTTCCGCTGACATGCCGTAGAAATAGGTACACCTTGCGAGCATAGATAGGTATATATATGAAGCTTGAATGACCATGGTCCAAGTTCCTTTCTCTCAACCATCCTCCACCGGAACCAACTCTAAAGGAGATGGGTAAGATGGCCGGTACTCTTCAGAAAGCACTTCCACTGCTTGGGCTTGCAGCTAGTGCCACGGCTGCTTCCACTTCAAACATCTTTTCTGTCCCAGATTCCGCTTGGAAGTCACTCAATGACAGTGTCTCTGGTCGGTTGCATCTCGCCTCACCTGCGGGACTGCCCTGCTTTACCAGTTATGAGAATGCATGGGGGCTTGACGCAAATGCGCCCAACGCAGCACAATGCCAGATTGTAGAATCTGGGCTGTCGACGTCGCTGGATATCATCTCGAGATTTGGAGGTTACCATAACCCAACTTTCAGCACTTGCATGAGGCGCGGCCAGAGATGCACCCTGACCGCAACCGGAGGCATTCGCAACGATACCTGCTTTCAAGGAACTGTCCCCGACTACTATGTAGATGCTCGGTCAGTTGAAGACATCCAAAAGAGTCTAGTGTTTGCACAGCAGTACAAACTTCCCGTCACTGTCAAGAACACTGGCCACGATTACAAGGGCGGAAGCGCAGGCGTCAACACGTTTGCCATCTGGACGCACAACTTGGCCCCTGACCCGGTGATTACTGAAAACTTCACCCCCGACGGGTGTCCCAGCCCCGTCGGACCCGTCGTGACATATCACGCCGGCCAAATCGGCACCCACTTGTACAACAGCCTTCAGGGAACCGGTTATATGGTAAGCCTCTGCCCCCATCTCTATGCCATCAAAAGCAGCTTCTAACCAATACCGCATTCATAGTCCGTTGCTGGTTCATGTCCCTCTGTCGGACCTTCTGGGGGATGGATTGCTGGCGGTGGCCACGGCATCTTCGCGCCGTCGTTTGGTCTCGGTGTGGATAATGCCCAGCAGATAAAAGTTGTACTTCCCAACGGAACATTCGTAACAGCCAACCGATGCCAGAACCAAGACATCTTCTTTGCTCTCCGTGGCGGCGGTGGAGGTACTTTTGGCGTGGTGACAGAAACTACCACCAAGCTTCACCCAGACCAAGAGTTCTCTGTGAGTCTTCCCCCATTGGCTTATTCAAGCTCAAACTATCCGTATGGTATCTTGACTAACAGCAGGCTCTTGCTGTAGTATGTGTTTTTGCAAATGCCCGTACCGGACGCTCGCGCAGCCAACGAACTTTTGGTTGCAAACGCCGAGAGGTGGTCTGACGAGGGTTGGGGAGGTCTCTACGGAGTGAGGGGCATCGTTGCTGGCAGCAACATTTTATTCCTCGGCTACAATGCCAACCTCAATCTCGACGAGGCCAAGGCTTCTCTAAAGCCAGTGACGGACTTTCTTGCATCCTTGCCGGGCAGTGGGAACCTGACTAGCATCTTCAAGACCCTGCCGAATCAGTTCAGTGCGCAGAACGACCCCGTATTGCTCTCGATTCTCTCGCCTGAGGCTGGAGTTTCTTTGACTCGATCATCCAGATTGGTACCCAAGAAGAACTTCCAAACCGCGGATGGGCAAAAGGCGATTGTCGACGCCCTCATGGCTAACAAGTTTGGCTGGGGAGCAGTCATTGCATCGCCAACCAACTATACCTTGGCCGAGTCAGACCAGCCCGGCGGCCCGGGCGAGGCTTCGGTGTCACCAGCATGGGTAAGTCCAACTTGTCAATTTTACATGGGTGATAGAATCAACATGGAGCTGACACCTCGTTATAGAGAGATTCCGTGTGGCACTTGACTTATGGAACGAACTGGAATCCAGCGGATCCTGTCGCCACAAGCCCTGAAGCTCTCGCGACCAGGTTTCGGGAGATTAGCGAGGCAATGGACCCCATGCGTGCCATTACGCCTGGGGCCGGCGCGTATCAGAATGAGGCTGATGTTTATGAGCCGGATCCCATCGGATCGTTCTGGGGGGAGAAGAACTATGCCCGCCTCCTGGCCATTAAGAAACAGCTCGACCCGGATAACTTGCTGTCGTGCTGGAACTGCATTGGGTGGAACGTGAATGATGAACGACACGAGTGCTATCTCAATGTGCGAGGCATTGGGCCATCAAACTAAGATTTCGATGTTTATCTTGGACTTGGAATTGCTTCCATGTGAAGGTACTGGGTACCTATAGGGAAGCAACTATCCAGCACTAAATACATGTACTAACTACTCTCCTCTTGAAAACGTAATAAATGCTATCCGAGCTGCTGCGAGTCATTGTCCGGGTTGTTGTAAGCTGAAAATTGCATGTGTTACCATCAAAATAAAGCCTAGACCGGAATGGGATAACGGTATTGAAGAGATTGACGAATCTGCAGCATTTGAGACATGCCGTGTCGCGTTGCAAAAAAAAACATTCCCGTTGGCGATTGCATCATGTTGTCATTGATGTCAATCCCATCGATGACGCTCACACGCGTAGTCGCTCCAGTGCAGGGAGAATCCCTGGGCGTCGCCACAGCGGGTCAAGCGCTGAGCAACGCATGCGGGGGGGTTTGAATGTGCTCCAGGGCAGGGTCAAGTGCCGAGCCGGCTGATGAGCTGTACTGTACTCGCATATGCATGCTAAGGTGAGTGACGAGGACAATGAAGCCTTTGCTCGTGTTTTACAGCAAAGCAAATAAGAATACTGAATACGATCAAAGAAATTGACTTTGTACACCGATATGTAGGCAATAGAAATCCCTAGATTGCCCTGTCAATTCCCATCCTTTCTGGCTTCCATTGGATTGTGCAATTACAGTTGAGGGCGCCGCCACAGCACACGCCCCTGTTCCCGAGGTGCATGTACATGTACTCGTACTCACACAACCTCATGTCCATCTGCCTTCGTACTTGCACACCTCCCACGGAATCGGCACCAGACCAGAATCAGCATCGACCAAGGAGAAAATCCAGGAAATCAGCTGCGGTGGCTTCATATCAAACTTGCAAAGCTTACCTGACACTTATCGTACGTGTACGCCTACTGTACGCCCCTTTCTCCGCCCTGCTCTCATTCGTCGTTCTGGCCGCAATGACACGACGAATTGATACGGCGTCTATGACGTACTTGTTACCCGAGTCCAACGTCACTCACCTGTGCGATGAGCATCGGATTGGCCTGGAAACCTGAAGCTTGCAACAGGCAGAGCAGAGCAGAGCAGCACAGCAGTCCAGACCACCTGTGCTAGTCGATACTGTGCCAGCTGCTATTGATTGGTAGCGGTCGATCAGTTGATGGAAGCAGCGAGCAGCTCGCTGTGATTCCGGGGCAGCGGCCTGGCAGCTATAAACTTCGCGGGTGCCGCAACCAGCTCTCGGCTTGGCCTCTTCTCTTCTTTCCTCCCTTCAAGCCCATCAATTGGCAACGTGCAATTCCATTAATCCGGCAGTGTTGCCATCAACCACTGCTCTTAATTCCTGTGATACCCCGAGAGCTGTTGCTCTTCACGTCTACTGCAAAAAATACCCTACCAAACCGACCCTTTTTCTTTTCTTGGTTTGTTTTTGTTTGCTTCTCGTTGCGAATACTCCCCGTTACGCAACAAGTCTAGGAGCGCCTTTTGATTTTTACAATCTGTTTTACTTTCTCTTTCTTCTCGATTTTACGTTTTAAAACCCCAAGACAACCCTAAGAACAGCAAATTCTTCCGTCACCATGGCTGCGAATGTCAACAAACCAACCGACATCAAGCAGAAGGAGGACGACATCAATCGCAAGCTGCAGATCTACGGCATCTTTCATGCATTCAAGAATGGTAAAATCCCGTCGGTATGTTCTATTCCACCATTTGTGCCAAGTGCTGGCGTGCTATAATGCGACCGTGTACTCACTCAAGCTCTAGAACGATCAAATCGACGTGGCATTGAACAGCTTCCTGCAATCCACACCTCTCGCTCGCCCCTCTGACAAGTTATCCGACGACGGAAAACTACTGGTCGAGGATGCGAGAGAGGTGGTGAAGCTTGCAAAACAACTCCTGCTTTCCAAGAACCACGGCAATCTGATCCAGGACTTCATCTGGCAGACTACCCATTACGACACACAGAGCGTTCAAGGCCCGGGAACTCCCTTGACCAAAGACGCCGCGACGCGAGACAAGGACGATGCTCTTGAAGGGCTCAGAACTCTGGGCACTTTGCTCATCACCAACGGGCAGTTCCGCAAACTTCGTGAGTCAACCTCAAGCTCCTCCTGTTCCAGTTTCATACGGCTAACTCTTCTATTATAGTCAAGGATGCTAGTATCTTAGTCCGCGACATGGTTGGGGATGGCGCTACTAACGCTGCCAACTTTGTTCGTCCCTCGGATGAGCAACTCCGCCAAATGGACCACGCCGCCCCAGACAACACCTGGCACGAGAAGCCCGACTTTTCCAAGGACAATTTTAAAAACCAAGCTCGAAACATCTACAAGGGCGATCCGAAGAAGGACGCCCAAGACGTCGTCTCGGCTGCTGCTGGTGGAACTGGTGCAGTGCCTCAAGCTGGTACTGGTGCAGTGCCTCAAGCTGGAGTAGCACCTCAAGGGGGAGACATTCCTCAGATAAGAGTCGCTCCCGAAACAGCAGTCGCACCTGAATACGGAGTGGCTCCTCAAGCTGGAGCTGTCCCTCAGGTTGGAGCAGTTCCTCAAGTTGGAGCAGTTCCTCCAGCCGCGACTCCTCAGGGCGGAGTCACAGGCACATCTCGGACCAATGCAACCTCCGGTCTCGATGCGGCTCAGGCAGTCGTGGATCAGAAGCTGGACCGTAATTTGGACGACGAGACGCAAGAGAAGGTCCAGAAGCGGAACGAGGAGTACCGCCGCAAGGCCAGAGAATACCTGAAAAAGAAGATGCCTCAAGAGCGCAGAGAACAGGTTATCTTTCGTCTCAAGAAGATTGTGCTCGAATGCCAGCAGCACCCAGATTACTCCCAAGCCGTACAGACGCTCCTCCGGCTGGCTGAGGAATACGGCCGACATGGGCGCAGGTATGGAAAGGGTTCCGCCGACTCTGCCAAGGATGTCCGTACTGGACTTTCCGCAGCCGAGGAAGATTTGCGCACTCTGATTGAGCGATTTGCCAATGGCACCTCAACCGAGGATCTTTGGCAGTCCATCGGCCAAATATACAAAGATGCCGACAGGGACCAGGAGCTTCGAGACTGGTTCAAGCAGGTTGATACCTACATTCGCAAGTGCCTGTTGGAGCAAGGCTACGTCCTTGAAGACGCCTCCACTGATGAATGGAACCGGCTCTACGACAAGGGTCGATACCTGCTGCGTGAGAAATATCGCGGCCACACCGACCGCGTTATTGACGAGCTCAGGTTTGTCGCGGATCAGTTTGACCACGACCCTCAGAACAAGGCATTTGGCGCTGCAGTCCAGAAACTATTCAAGGACTTGGGTAATGATGAGAATGGAAAGCCAACCTTCAAGCCTCACCTCGTCAAGGACCTGACCGAAGTCATTGTCCCCGCCATTTTTGAGAACATCGCATACGTGCCGATTCCACGCATCGAGTACTCTGATCCCAAAGTTGATGCGGTCATTGAGAATCTGGTCCTCGAGAGCGACAACTTCATGCCAAATGTTCTTGAAGTCGCCAGCGACAATTACTTCCGGTGGGGACGCAAGAAGATTGCCAACAAGCACAAGAATACCGCCGACATAAAGGTTACTGGTGTCCAAATGGATCTCCGAGACGTCAGCTATCACATCAAGAAGAAGTCTGGATTCCCCTCCATCACCGACACCGGAGTACTTGATCTTTTACTCCCTGGCGACGGCTTCTCCTTCAGGTTGAAGGTGTCCACTCCCGAAAAGAAGGACGCTCAGCACGTCTTCAAGGTGGAAAAGGTGGACGTCAACGTCAAGGGCCTGAAGCTCAAGATTAAGAAGTCCAAGCACAAGCTCTTGTTCACGCTCTTCAAGCCCATTGCGCTCAAGGCCGTCCGCCCGGCGCTCCAAAAGGCCATTGAAATGGCCATCAAGGACGAGTGCGACAAGGCTGATGAGTTCCTCTTCCAGGTCAAGCAGGAGGCGGACCGTGCTCTTGAAGAAGCCAAGGAGGACCCCGAGAATGCACCCAACATCTACAACCGCTACTACAAGGCTACTCACAAGAGAATTCTCCAGGGCAAAGCGAAGGCCAAGGCCATCACGCAGGACAAGAAGGTCAACGTCGCTATGACTAAACAGGAGAGCATCTTCCCCGACATCCACCTTCCTGGAGGCATCAGCTCCAAGGCCACGGAATACAAGGACCTCGCTGCCAAGGGCGATAGATGGGAGAGCCCCGTCTTTTCCATTGGCGACGCCCAGAAGAGCACGGATATCCCTCCCGTGCCGCGAATCGAGAGAAAGACCCATACTGTAACTGGCGGGCGAGTTAACGGAAACGTTAACGGCTCAGCCAATGTAGGAGGAGGTGGCTTCACGGCCGGAGAGGGCACAAGTGGCCACTCACTCGGCGGACAAGGCCTCACTGCCTACTAGGGATGCGGCGATGAGCGCCATTCCAAACGGTGGAAGAAGCGTGGCGAGCAGCCGCTTGGGGGTGGAGATATGGAAGTTCTATACCCATTGGGACAGACGTAACGTTGTTTTACTCTATTCTTTGTCATGTTGACTCTCCTTTTTCTTCTTTGTCCTAGTTCTCTTCTCTCCTTTGTTCTTGGCTTCATGTTCAATTCCCTACCGGTTACGATTCGACAAGACGTTTCTATTACATCCACCCCGCTCCTTTACTGGCGATTGCCTACCTGATACCATGGTAGTAATAGTTGTGTAGCAATTCAATTGACGAGTTTAATTTATTTGGTGTTGCAATGTGTGTTTCGTTTGACCGATGTTGGGACATCTTTTAATGACGTACGGCTGTATGATTGGTGTTGGCCCCAGCTCTTCAAAAATGATGAGATATTGAGGTAGACTTAGAAACATGTAGTGTAGTATGATCTCGGTGGCTGACGGCCACTGCCCAATTGAGTTTACGGCTATGGATTGACGACGTATCAATGAGGTTGGATGTCTTTTGCTAGTTCCCTGCTTTGTTTCTTGCTTTGTTTCTAGCCTGTGACCTGGACGCTTAACGAGGTCGAGCTACGTTGATGTTTGTACCGGCAGATGCGGCTTTGTTAGCAGCAAAGTACCGTCTGGAAGAAAACGGGTTGGACGGGATTGCCTACCTAGGCATGCACTAGCCGATCGAACGGGGGGCAACGAAGATCGGATTTACTGGATTCGAGTGCTGTAGGCCAACCTGCTGCTGTTCTTGTAGCATCCATGCTTACTCAACGCCATCCATGGCATTTTCCACCTGCCGAGACGGACATTGACCGCCCCCCAAATGCATACATGAGTGCTCATGGACGGCTTTGTATGGACATGATAGCGTACTCATCGGTATCACCTTTTTAAGATATTCTTCATTTTCCCTTTCTCATACAGGGCCAATTTTGCTCAAGGAAGGATGCGACAAGGTAGCTCGCTGCCTGGAGGCTCCAAATCTCTCTAATAAGCCAACAAAGGGCATATCCAACACCAACATTGACACAAATCGTGCCTGCAGCCATGGAGGCGGAAAAGGCGGCAGCGGCGGCGTCTGAGCCTGAGCCCGCGCATTCATCGACGACGACGACGACGAGGATGAGGACGCTGACGGAGGAGCAGACGCGGGCGCTGTTTGACATCCTCACGCACCGGGAGACGTATGCCGAGATTGAAGGGTTCAAGGCCCCGGATGCGGTGACGGGCTATGGATATCCGTTTGCGAGGAGGATGTTGAAGCAGACGGCGTCGGCGGCGGGGACACCCAAGGCGGGGACGCCGAGATCGAGGACGCCCGTGTCGTTTTGGCGGGCGAGGCGGGGAGCGGATGATGCGAAGAGCGAGGCTGACGGCGACGAGGCTGATAGCGATGATGATGGTGGTGATGATGATGATGAGGCTGGCGCGGAATCCACGTCGCCGCTGCTGCAGTTCATGCTGACGAAGCTGGTGCTGCCGCTGCCGGGCGTGCGAGACTTGCCGGCCGGGTTCTGGAACGTGAGGATGCAGGGCTTGCTGGCTCGCTTTGCGGAGGCGGAGCTGTCGGAGAGTTACGACAAGGGCGCGATGGGGACGAGGAAGACGCTGGCGACGGGGGCGAGCAGCGTGCTGGAGATGGTGGCGAGGGGGATCCTGGGCGGCGTGGTGAGAGCAGCAGGCGAAGAGGAGGAGGAGGAGGAGAAGAAGAGGGAGGAGTATGATGAGAGCAAGGCGGAGGATTTGTTGAGGGCGTTTGGGGATGTTTTGGAGGATTGGGCGTATGGCGATTTGATGGGGAGGTTGTCGGCGCATGTTACGGCGACGGAGGACGTGGAGGGGTTTTCGCCTGCTTTGAAGGCTGCGTTGAATTATGCCATTATTAAGTGAGTCTTTGTTTGTCTTGATCTTGAAGAGATGAGGTTTGGACGACTGACGTTGCTATAGCGTCGCTACTTTTGCTCATCATACCTTTACCGTCTCTCCAGAGGGCCAGGATCTGCTCAAGCTGATCGAGAACCTCAACAGCTTGGTGCCCTACAAGATGATCAAGCAGACGCTGCGCATCGGAAACGCAGCCACCATGATCAGCGGCATGATGCGCCTCATGCTGGCAAAGATTAGCGTCACCAGCTTGACCAACTGGGTCGGCTTGACGGCCAACGCGGACGACGGGATGAATCTCCTGCAGAGGATCATCTCGCTGGCCTTGTCGTGGGATGCCTCGGAATTCAAGAAGAGCGTGGATAAAATCGAGAAGAGCAAGGGAGAGGCGGCGCCGACGGATGAGATGCTCGAGGCGATTCGCACGCACGTTGCGTTGCCGAGGAGCGAGCATGTTGCCGTTCGGGATGCGAGTGTGCGGCATTCGGAGTCGATTATCGTGGCTATTTTGAAGGCTTCGGATCCGTCGCTGGCGGAGGGTCTTGCGGAGGGGCAGCACGCGCAGTGTTTGGAGTATTACGCTGCGCTGCTGTCGGTTCATGATCGTGAGGGTATCACTTCGGTGTTGTGTCGGCAGTCGCCGGATCTGTTTACGCAGGCTGTCAAGGATGTGGTTGGTGCGTACGAGCCGATGATTCGGGACGTGCACTCGCAGATTGACATACGGTACTATCTTGAGGCGATGCAGGGCTTCGTGTCGGAACTTATCCGCGTGAGCAGGCAGAAGAAGGTGAAGCGGAGCAAGAAGAAGGACGATGAGGGTAGTTCCGAGGAGGAGGAGGATGGGGCGAGCGTGGAGGATTACGTGGTGCTGCTGAGGAACCACAGGGGGTTGCTGTATAAGTGGGTGCATGACTTTGCGAAGAACTGTCCCGAGGTGTGGAAGGACTTTCCTGCGTGGGGGCAGGATATCGCTGTGAGGTTTCGAAAACCGGACGCTGATGATGGGTTGGAGGAGAAGAAGAGGGCGATGGAGGAGCAGCTTGATGAGATGGTTGGGGGTCTCGAGGGGGCGGTGCGGGAGGATGTGCTGAGGGCTGTTGATGCGCATGCCGAGTATCTTGCGGCTATTACGCGAGTGTCTCAACGGCGGCTACAAGCTGTCATTGATGCCGCTGCGTCTTCTTCATCTGCGTCTGGATCTACACCTGGATCTCGGACTGCGGCGTCTGGGCCTGGGATCTATCTCTCGCAGTGGCAGTCACTCCTCGATTCTACGATGATCACGCCATCTTCGAAAGAAGGGCCCCTACGACATGGCCAAGACGTCAAATACGTTTCTACAATGGGGAAACTCGGTCTAGGCGGGCGAAAGTTGAAAGGAGGAAAGGGGGTGGGAGAGGAGGACCTCAAGGCGCCGGATGTGAGCGTCGTGGAAGAGGCTTTGGGGGATGCGTTTAGAGAAGTGATTCGACAGAGAGCGGGAAGTGATGGGGAAGTTTAATCGTTTGTGTTTTTTTTTGGTTGGTTTTTGTTTTATATAGGGTATGTTTTTGGGAAATAGAGTAGGATTTTGTTAAGAAAATAATAATAAGCTAAGTAATGAATTGCGACGGAGTTATGTATGTGTATGTATATATTCTGGAGGCAGAATAAGGTGTGCAGTGTGAAAGCCATAGTAATAATAAAGATGAAGATGAAGAAATCACCCCCGGTGGTATAAACATGAGAACTGGTGACAATGGTTTCACATGACTTTCAGAATCCCCGTACCTTTGCCAGCACTCAAAATGGATCGGGAGACTCGGAGCATCGACGGGAAGGAAGCTCGATCCACATAGTCGACCCCCTGCCTCGAGGATGAGGAGCAGCCGTAAAGATTCTCATGCCTCCACCATCGTTGTGGTTGCTCGGAAGACGAGTCGGAGTTACTTGTTCCCTTCGTGCAGGCGGTGCTTGTGAGCGAGAATTGCGCGTCCAAGTGTAGTTTCGCGAAGTTCTTGGTCTGCTGCTATTGGCACGGGCGCGTAACTGTCTGCTTCCGCTCGGTGGTGGCGTAAGCATGGGATTCGTCGTGATTGCAGCTTCGATTGTATCTGCAGCCACTGCATCATCTGGCTCTGCAGAGGCAGCTGCAGCGTATCCCGGGGGCGCAATCTGGGGTGTAGCGGGGAGAGGTTTGTTGATGTTCTCGAGGTTGACGACTCTGCGCTGCTGCTGCTGTTGAGCGGCAAGAGTGAGGATGGCATCTCGGGCGCTTGCGGGGCACTCGTCGATTTGGCCGACACAATATGCCAGGCCTTCGATGTAGGTGTCCGTCGGGGCGCGTGTGTTGGGCTCTTGTTCGGGCGTAGGCGAGTCGGAGATTGTGTTGCTGTCGCCAGTGAGATTGACAACCTCGGAATTGATGGGGTGGTCGCTAGAGAGATCGATAGTCTCAATAACATGGACGTCATCTGTCATGACGGTGTCGGAGTCGAGCTGAATGGCCTCTTGCGACTGCGGATGATTCGCCTTACTGCTGTCCATCTTCTTTTTTTCATACACCTTTTTCACCAGCCGGTCTCTCCATATAAGCTTGAGGGTGATTCCCGTGGCACTCTGCAGCCTCCTGACAAACTTGCCGCAGAAGTGACAGTTTTTGCGCGAAAAGTATATTTCGAATGCGGGCTTCGAGCCGTCGTCCCAAGATGCCTGCCGTAGCGCCCTCAGGTGCTCCGGCGACACATTATCCAAGTCTTGCGTGATGCCAAAGCTAGTCAGCAAGATGCAAACGGCATGCACCGCGAGCTTCACCTCGACGTGGCTGCCCTGAAACACGCCATCCATTCTCACACCCATGGTTCGAGAGATGATCCCATCGTAGGGTCGTCTCATGCGCAGAGAGAGAGCGCGGCCCATGTTGATGGCCCTCTTCGTCCACACGTCGTTGGGAAGCACGCTCGGGTCGGGATCGAGCAGGTCGCCCAGACGGCCGATCCCATGCCCGCTCTGTGCCCAGGCCAGGACAACTCGCTTCTGATTCCTGCCGGTGCGGAGGGCGAGGAACCCTGTCACTTTGGCTTCCAGACGCTTAGAGATGACGGAGTCGGCTAGACGCAGCTCCTTTGCGCGTTCGTGTCGGAAAGTGTAGACGAGGTTTGGACCGAGCACTTCAACGCGGAGGGTGGCATCAGTGACATCGATGATGTGGTGGAAATAACAGGACGATGTGGTATCTCGAAAGGCAGCGTCAAACTCGGGGAGTTGCCTTGGTTGGGGCGACTCTTCCTCGGCGACCGCCTCCATTATGGCATCAAGACGATGCCGTGAGTTGGAGAGAGTTGAAGGAGGTTTCGCATTCGAAGAATCTGCAGGTCAAAAGCTGCTGTCATTGTATCAGCCCATATCCTTGACTCCTAGGCAAGAAGTAGGTAGTGATGATGGCTTCACACTCACCCAGGGTATCTCACGAGCAAAGGGCGATGAGAGTTTCACGATAGTTGCGATGATCAAAGCTTCTGGGAGGCTTGATATCGATGGAGGATCCTTGAAAAGCGCAATGACCTGCGGTAACACGGCTCTGCAGGCGGTCAAGCGCATATCCTGCCTCTCCACCTAGAAGAAGAGGTTGTGCTGTGCTTGAAATCGTTGCACGGGGAGCATGCGCGGTGATTTTGCTCAAATAGCTGCATGATGAATTGGTTGCTTGGGCAATAGGTATAGCTACCAAACAACGGTCTTCACTTTGTCGGGGCAACGGATGTGATTCCATGTGCAACATAAGGGCTGTCAGCGAACATGGCGCCGAGAGGCCAAAGGCGAGCCTTGAACATGGTAGTAGTGGAATGCGATCGTCTGATAATACGAAGGTCTCTTGAAGGGCATATTGAAGCAATTGATGGGTATGGGAGTGTTCATAGTAATGAGTGCGAATACGTGATCAAGTAAAGAGTATCATGAAGTCTGTCGTGGAGGAGAGCTTGGTGTTTTGGGCCTGATATTGATGGAGGTTGATTTGGCTTATGTAATCCAGACAGCAGCCATATCCAGCATGTTCCGGGCAACATGGCGACACAATCATTACTGGGATTGCTATACATGGCTGTCCATAAACACATAAACATCACATCGGATTGAAACGCAATATTGATCAAGAGACGGCTGTGGCACGTCCAGTTTGGTAACCGAAAGCCCAAAACCAGAGGGAATCTTGTTCATACATCTCAAACACTAAGACCGTACGCCCATTCCAATGCCGCCATCCATGACAGTTGAAAGAGAAAAGCAAAAAAAGGACTTTTTTATTTTGATTTACTCCTCATCCTCCTCCTCCTCGGCCTCAGCGGTGGTCTGGGCAATTCGGTCCAAATCACGCTGGCCGGACTGGGTGATGCGGCGGCCACCCTTGTCCTCGTCCTGCTCAACGACGCCAATCTTCTCGAGGGCCTGGAGGACCTTGCGGTCGACGGAGCCGGAGGCATCGACGTGGTGGCTGGGGCGGTTGCCACGGTTCTTGGCAGTGCCGTGGACCTTGCGGAGACGGCCAACACCGACGGTCTTGCGGAGGTAGACGTGGCGGGCGACGGAGGCGGCACGGACGTAGAACCAGTCAATGTCCTGGGGAGGCAGCTCCTTGGCGGGACCAGTCTTGACGGTATCAACCCAACCTTGGATCATGTCAGCACATGCGCGCCCATGTTTTATGCGATCAACTAGACAAAAGAAATAAACTTACCAGGGATGGGCAGCTTGCCCTGGCGCTTCAAGAAAGCAGCATAGGCAGTGATGAACTTTTGCGCCTGATTACAGAAAAGAGACCCATTAGCAAATATTCCGTCGTCAGAAGTCTTGCGACTCCCTCGCGCCTGCTCCTAGATCCCTCAAAGAATGTATTTTTCTCCACATATATGCCACGCTCATACACAACCATGTATGCAGCTGGTCCGAGGCTCAAGCAGCTGGTTTTTCTCAATGCATTCATTGTATTCAGATCAACTCAAGCCGCTGCGGCTCGTCGGAGCCAGACCACAACATTGCCGCGTCGGAGGTTTCGAGGATAATTTTCTTGTTTCTTCGGGGGCCAAGTTGCGAGATCGTCGAGAGGTGATCGTGAAGGGGGAGGAAATCCTAGATTTTATGATTTCAACTTGTTTCAAGGAGGACCTACATCGACATCGCGAACGGTGATTCCGCCGGCCATTTTAACGGTGTTGGATGGGTTGGTTGGGGAGGTGGTGAAGCTGGTGGACAATTGACTGGGCGTGAGGTCAAAGAAAGTTCGTCTAGATGGGACACGCACGAGTTGCAGTGGACTTTGGCTCAGTCTAGGGCTTTGACCCTAGCGCGAACGAGCTGTGGTGTGAAGTGAAAATTGAAATGATGACTAAGGATTCAGCCACGTGCATCAGCCACTAGAATCCTTCGCGCTCATCCTGGCTATCGGGATAACATCGGCTAGTTGCTACAACACTGAAACCTTGGATGCTGATTCGATACAAGTTGAAGTACACGGCGTTTATGATGGCGATGTACAAGCAGATTGATGAAGTTGTAAATCATGTTGAAAAGTCTATATAATACCCATGATACACATAAAATCTATTTCTTTGTCCCAACTCCAAAATTCAGTGACCAAGGCGCCTCTAGAAAACAGACCATCCCAAGATAACCGTTATACTCCATATCCATACAGTCATAACTGAAAACGCAAGGCAAAGAACCCAAGAACTTTTCCCATTACGCCCATTTTGCCAACAAAGACATGATTGCAACTCCAACAGCCACGCATCCAAAAGCAAAGAGCTGGATCTTTAACGGTGCCTTGCGCATGTGGGGGTTGAACATGAACTCATGTGCGAGGAGCTCAACCAGCCCTGTGTACATGAGGATGCCCGCGCTAATCGAGTCAAAGATGCCATTCACCAATTTCTGGGTATTAGCGTTGTTAGGCCTAGCCCCTATGCCGGCGGCCGTGCCGATTGGAGTTGAAATGGCAAAGATGAAGCCAAGCAGGTAGGGCATCCACTGCCTATTCTTGGGCCAGGGCGCTGTTGCTAGCCGAGACCCCAGACCGAGGCCCTCAAACATCTGGTGGAACACAAGTACAACAAGGAGAACGACCAGATCTTTCGTCGTACCGAGAGTGAGTCCAATGAACACGCTATGAAAGACGACACCAAATTCGAGGACAAAGATGGCGGTGAGCTGGCCCGCGAGGCCACCGTGAGAGTCACCATCATCGTGCTCGTGGCCATGTGCGAGGTGATCCTCACCACCAGGTGGATAGCTCACGTCGTCGGGGAGGCCAGGAATATTCTTCGGATCGGGTCCCCGCAAGACACCCCTCTCGAGGTCGTGGGGGCAGTCTTCCGCAAGTGCATCCTTTTCTTGTGATTTCTTCCCAGATAATACGGCCAATGACGGGTCAGAATCGCTGTCTGAGCCCACCGAGTGGCTGTGTCCATCGTCGTCCTCCCCCATTCTTGCAGCAAGAAGCTCAACGAAAAACATGACCATGACCGTCATCAAACTGATGCACAGCGCCCACGGATAGTCGCCGAGTCGTGGAGCAAGGCAGGGATCTGATAGATTTTCCACGGCCGGGTCCAGCAGGTGCATCCACGCAGTAGCAATGATGACTCCAGTACCGACATATTTGCAGATGAAAAATGTGAACTTGGGCACATGCATCTTCTGTTGTCTAGCCAGGAGGATGGGTGCAAATGCTCCAAAGGTCGCGGCCGCCATGACGATGAAGATGGAGCCAATGCGCAACGCGCGGTTGTTGAGGTCGACAGCGTCTCCGTTGCAAGCATTGTCGGTGTCCGCCATGGTTATTTGTCTTGTTGCTATTGTTGCCACGAAAGCAGTGAATGTCGAGTCTTTCTCGATGTGGCAGGTTCGCAAACCAGAGGCGACAGGTGAGCGCAGGATGCTCACTATTTATCGAATCCCGTCAAAGCATAAATGGGCGATAAGCGGTTTTGGAAAATAAATTTGCGCTGTAGGAGGGTAATCGGTATGTGTTATCTTAGTGGCCGAGGTGAAAAGGCGCGTCCAAGTAAAGGAGGTATGCGTGCGCCAATTTTCTAATGAAAGTTGCTCTCGAGGGAAGCAATTTGGAAGATAGAAATGAGAAAAGACGGTCGAAAAGAAGATGCTCGCAAGATGTTGCACAGATGCGGAAAGTTCCGTCAGTCGTGACCCTGGCAGTGAGGCAAGAAGGAAGATGCTCCAGCAGAGGAAGAAAACAGCGCTTCGACGATCAAATGAGAGTTGGAGAGTTGTAATGTCCAAGAGTTCTCCCGGATTTCCCGGATTGAATATCTACAGTAGAAGGACCGAGAAATGAGGTTGGCCAGTCGCAAAACGTTTGAGCTGTGGCTTGGGGACTCGGAGTGTGCGATAAAGGAGAAGTAAGATGTGGACCAGGGGCAAAGACAAATGCAGCGCGCCTCGAGACGAAGATGAAAGCCGTACAGAATGCTATGCGAACGCGACAATGGACATGGAATGCTCAAAACGAGTGCCTCGGTGCGGTTTTGGTGAGAAAATGAAGAGAAGCAGGACTTGATACTCGGGGAGAGAGAAAAAGGCGTCTCATTTTTAGCCCCGCAGACTTCCAAAGGTGTGCTGAGAACCTTGATGGCCTCTGCCCGGCAAATGCTCCACCAAATCTCCCGGCGCAAGAGAAGTCGGGCGCTGCAATTTGTAATTCCTGCATCGGCGATACTGAGGCCTTTGACTGGATCACAGCTTCACCACGGGGGCGTCGTTACTGAACGAATGGGATATTCCCCTTCCACCGTGCGTCCATCTTGGTCTCGCAGCGAAAAGGGGGCCAAACACCCCCAAGACGATAAAGACGACGAGCTATTCGCAAATCACCAAGCCCAGCTGTCCGGATCACCAGGCTGGCGAGTCTGCGGGGAACATCTGGTGAGCATCGTCGCTGCAGTCACGAGGCACGATGGCAGTTCTCGGCGGCCGCGCATGTGAGAACTAAAGTGAGGGAGTCGTGATGACGGGTACCTTGGCTTGGAGCTCTATCGAGTTGTTTAATTACGCCGGCGGTGATTCGTCATAGCGGCCCCACCGCCAGCCTTTTCTGCTGACGAACCAAGAACCAGCCTGGACCATCAAGGTTCTCATGAATGGGAGCGGCGGAATATGTATCGAATCATGCCGCTTGGCTGTAGATAACAAAATGCTCGATGCAGAGATTTGATTCTGGAGGAAATCTTCATCTGGCTGTATTGTTACTAGCGTGCACTTTGACAAGCATCCACGCACAGATGCCAACAATATGCAGTGTACGATATGTGCATGAATGAGTGATTACACAACCTTCCCGACTCGGTAACTGTGGGGGTCGATATTTGCAGCTGTGCTGCTCCGATCAGCTACCCTGAACAACACGTGGGTGATGATGCTTCAAGTATTTATTCATTCTTCTCCAGCGCCAAAACCCATTGGAACACGTAGAGATAGAACATGCATATTCAAATCTATGAACCAAAAAACAATTAGACGACCCCGAATCACATGATACGATGCAGATAATGGCATTGGCGGAAAACAACTGCAAGTCCGCGAGTCCGAATCCCGCCTGGCTGGCGGAGCGGAGGACGCTATTAGGCAGACAGAATCCTTTGCTATTCACGACCATCTACAAAACTCATCAAAACATATAATCTCTACCAGGCGAATCTATCCGCAGAAGTCGCCTACCGCCCACAATGGTTTCCTATAAAGAAATACAAGCCTCCAACTCGCTCATCAACGACGCGACGGCGCCCCGTGTCTCTGTTTTCGTCGGTGGCACATCGGGCATCGGAAAGTTTACCATCAAAGCCCTCGTGTCCACGGGTGCGAGCGTGAGAATCTACCTCGTCGGGCGGAAGAGTTCTGAAGAGCCCGCGCGGGCTTTCATCCAGGAATTAAACGCCATCAACCCCAAGGCGGAAATCGTTTGGACCGAGGGCGAGGTCTCGCTCCTCGCCGACGTCAAGAGAATATGCGAGCTCATCAGAAAGACGGAATCACGCGTCGATTTGCTGTTCCTTACCGCGGGCTATGCGCCATTCGGTACGCGCAAGGAGACTAGCGAGGGAGTGGAAGTCGCGCAGAGCTTGGAGTACTATTCGCGGGTGCTGTTCATTCATCATCTTCTCCCCGTCTTGGGTGCATCTGAGGCTCCTAGGGTCATCAGCGTCCTGGGAGGTGGGCTGGAGAAGTCAAGCGTCAATGTGGACGACCTGGACTTGAAGAACCCCGGAAATTTCAGCGGCATCAAGGCACAGATACAATACGTAACCATGAACACGGCCTATCTGGAGAAGCTGGCTATCCAAAATCCTAACGTGACCTTCATTCACTCCTGGCCGGGATGGGTCAGCACGGGAAACATGAGGAGGGGCTGGGATGAAGGCTCGATTGTAGCTCGCATCTTTTGGTTCGTCCTCGAGCCAATCGTCTATCTATTCGGGTATAGCGACGAGGAGTCTGGGCAGAGAAACCTGTTCCAATGTACCAGTGCTGCCTTTGGCGGTCGTGGTATACCATGGGCAGGGAACAAGGGAGTCAACTCGCTCGAAAAATCACAAGATGGATTATTCCTTGTCAGTTATAATTGCGACTGCACTCCGAATGCTAAAGCTCTGCCTCAACTTCGGGAATCGTCACAGGAAAAGATTTGGGACCACACGCAAAAACTTCTTCAACCATATCTATAAGCCAGGAGCTTATGCTACAAAAGTTTAATGCTTACCACCATGATGGTTTAATAATTTGAAAGACTGATATCCCCCCTCTCAGACTCTTTATTTCTGATATGCATCCCATGCTGCGGTACCAGGCTTGATAAACTCTCGGGCGTCAGCAACAAGTTCGGTTGGTGAATCCCACGAAGCGAAATGGCCGCCGGAAGAGTAGTGGTTGAAGAAGACAATGTTGCCCTGGCGGCGAGCCCAATCTTCCGGCTATTGCAAGGTTAGAGACCTCGTAACTAGACGTATCAAATACACTTGACTGACCGTGATAAAACCTTGTTCGGCAAACTGAGTGATGCCCACTGGCTGGTGAATGTAGTCAAACTTGCCAGACCATGGATTTTGTCCCTATATTCAGTGAGTAACCGCAGAACGACCTCTCACCGAAGGAATGCTTACTCGTAACGAAAGCTCCTTGTACATTCTGGCGCTACCAAAGGGTCCCTGTATATACAACATCATAGTCCACGAGATGATTTCTTCCAACGTCCAGTCGTAAGACGGACTCCCACCTTTCAACTCGGTGAGTATCCACGCCGCACAACCAACCGGGCTATCCGTCTGCGCGTATGCCCACTGTAGAGGCTCGTTTTCAAAGACTTGTCGCTGCCCCAGAAACGTCATCCTAAACGTTGCTAGCACATTGATGAGATATGCCTCCTCCGCCGTGGAATTCTTGGCATTGAAATTGTCCATGTCCTGCTTGTTGGGGACTTGATACCACAAGTTGGTGTGTAGTGCTCGGACGCTCTCTGGTTCCTCAGCGGCCATGTATCGCACGGTGTGAGAGCCAAGGTCGCCGCCATGAACGATGTACTTGTTATATTCCAACTGCAGCATCAACTTGTGAAATGCTTGACCAGACTCTCGTAGTCCCAGGCCGGGATATTCGGGAGCCGGCGAGAAGCCGAACCCGGGCAGGCTAGGAGCTACCACATGAAATGCCGTTTCATTTCTGGGGGGATTTGTGTACCCGTCAATCACGCGCTCCACCTCTATTATAGACCCTGGGTAGCCGTGTACAAACAGCAACGGAATGGCGTCTCTTCTGGAAGATTGCCGATGAACAAAGTGGAGCGGGATTGGGTGTGAGTAGTTCCCAGCGCCGTCGATTGTAGTGGTAAACTGCGGCAGATGATCATTTAATCTTTTCTGCGTCTCATTCCAATTGTAGTTGTGAGTCCAATAATCTTTAATCGCAGTGATGTTCTCGACAGGAGGGCCATCCTGAGGAACATGCTGAACAAGGTCTGTAGTAATTCGGGCCAGAGAAGCCTTGACTCTCGTTTCTTCGATAAAAGAAGCATCTACATCAATCGAAAAGGGGGCAGGACTATTTCCAAACTTGGATTTGAACGGTAAGTTGGTGGAAACTGCCAGTGTGGCAAACAAGAGCTGTAAGAGAAACCGTTTAGACATTGTCGCGATTGAAAGAGCATACTATTTGCTTCTGGGTAGTAGCAAAAGAGAAGGCCATTATCAAGAAATACCATTGTTTATATGGTCCAGCAAATTGAAGAAAGATCAATTAGATGGGGAGTACTCGGGGAGTAGCTATTGTCCGCTGCATTGTCTTATGAAGCGGAAAATTTACCGCAGCCCACTTACATGCAGACTCCGTCAGCAAACTATTACTGTTACCATTATAATCTCAATTCATGCTTCGTTGTAAGGGGGCAGATGCGATTGATAATCATGAGGAACGTAGGGGCGTCGTGGATTTTTCATCTCCGAGTTGTTCCTCTCGACATGTAGTTAAAATCGAAAGAGATGTGTATTCTTTGGCCAGCACCGTGCATACTTACTAGATATCAAAGGTGGAATCTGAGAAAGCTTTCCGCTATATAATGTACCTAGATTCCATACGAGCGCTCAAATAACTACCTCTATGAAATAATCCAATCATATAAATTTTATTTTCAGAGGTTTGGATAATCATAGTGTCATGTTCTTTGAATCAATTTGTCTTGACAACTTGTTTCTAATACAATTTACTAAATACTACATTACCCCAGTCTCATTGCTACTACAACACCTCCTTCCCCATTTGAAACCATACACCACGTAGTATTTATGCAAGAGGACCGCTCTATTGTAAAGGTATTAGTGAGATCAGTGTATGAAAGGGCGGCTTCCGAATGGCTTCCTCTTACCGGATCTTGACAAGTAATACATCCCGCGGGACAGCATGTCAATCTACCATCGGGTGATCCCTTTGTTTGGTTTTAGTAAAAGTACAATATGAAGTTATTGCTATCCACAAGCGAAAACTCACTCCAGCGATTTGCTAGTTACGAGATAATGTCAGCTTTGTCCGAGTCGTTGTTCAGGGCGGGTTTACAACATACATCATCGTAGGCAGCAGGAAAGTTGTCTAGCTGCGCGGTACACAAGGTAGCAGATAATGCCAATACGTACACTGTGATCCAGTTGAAGGTCTTCATCATGAATAATCTGCGAGGGCCGAATTGCCTAGGATTCTGAAGGTTTTGGTAAGAAAGAGAGCAGTTCCGGTGTTGGAATGATTCAATTGACTGGCTCAGCCATATATACATTAACCATACGCCTTATTGATCTGTTTAAAGAAGGACATCCGTTGATGTAAATTTACCAGAACTGAAAATGGTCATTCAGCCGGCGGGAAAACGCCCGCCACCTTGTTGGGTGATATTTTGTCTGTCGAGTTTATAAGCCAGTCAATTTACCCTTGCATATCGTGACTACCTATTTACAAAATGCCCTCTCATTTCGGCCCGGTTTGATCGGAAAAGACGTCCATAACATGGGGAAGACGGTAAGAGCGGTCAGTTGATTCATAGTCATGGGATGTTGCTTTCTGACGAGGGTTTGGCCGGCGTTGAGCTGGTTACTGCATTGTACGCAGCACAACGTTACAGTCTGCTCCCTGGATTTGAGTTACAGAGAGTGTCATCACTCAAGAGGAATGAATCACTCATGCATCTTGTAGTGTTTCAAAGAAGAGAAAAGATCAAAATCCATTGTATTCTGCTCGAAAACGCCTTCTAGTTGGTCCATTAACACGTAAACATGATATGCAGGAATGCAGCTAGCTACTGGCTGTTCCGCCGGTTGCCGTTGTCTTTGGTGCCGCTGATGGAGTCCCCAAGTCATTAAACACCTTTGCCTTGATCTGCGCCGCCATCAATCCAGACAACTCTTTCGTGGCAACCAAGTTTGAGTCTTGAGCAAGCTTTTCCACCGCCTTGTCGGCGCTTTTCCCACCCACCATTGCAGCCTGAGATACCCTGGATCTCATGATATTGGAGGTTGCTTCCTTGATTTTGGAGCTGAGATCCAGCATTTGCTTGCTGCCAAAGTCGCGATTCGTCAGCAGAGGGCTCTGGCTCAGCGTCTGCACCCAATATTTATGCCACAGGAGCTCTAGTAGATGAGAGTCCAATGTGCTCTTGAAATGGGAAACGTCGAGGCTGTAGTATCGGCTAGAGTGAGCGCCAAACTCGGCAGCCTTGTCTAGGGGGACTGCCTGGAACCCGTCTGATGAATATCCACTGGCGCCCTCTGGTTTATAGTTGGCGGGATAAGTGCGGAATGCTCCAATCTCGACCTTTCCGGCGCTGATGGTGCGATCGGGATCAATGACCACAGCCAGGAAGGGATCCTGGAACTGCTGCTGCAGTGCCTCCGTCTCGACATCGATGCCACTGAGCCAGCATCCGTATCCAGGATGGCTGTGATACCACCCAACGACATTCTCTTGCCTGCCCTGTGCGCGGCTGAGATCCAGATATTCGATGAGATATTCGTTCGCTTCGTTCTGTGCGTTGACTCGAGTCTCGGTGCCTTCGACAGGCAGTCGGAAAGCATCCGTCACCACAAAAGTTTCCCCATCGATGTAGCCTTGCATCAGACCCATGACTTCCAGCGAGCCTCCAGACCGCGCATGCATCGTCATCTTGACCAGGGCGACGGCGCTGATCCTCACATACTTGAAGTAATTCGCATCCTTGGTCCACGGGCGAGCGTCGGCTATGGCTCTTTGGACATCGGCATCGTAGTTGTAGAGAGCATCCCGTTTGGCGTCAACCAGCTGGACATTGTTGTCCAGCTCTATCGCGCATCACACAAACGTCAGCATCCATACACGAGATTAACAGGTCGAAAAGGAAGTCATCGCGTACCCCATGATCGAAGAGCTGTGGCCTCCATCTTTTGGCTGCCGCGATGGTGTTTAGCAGGTGAAGATGCAGCTTAGCAGGCAGTGCAGATGGAAGCTTCAAGTGATGGCGGTGCCCCGCCCGGAGACATCGCACATGCTTTATCGATAAGGGATGGATCAGACTGGCGGGGAGTTTTCCGCTCGATTTGTTTGCACCTGTGTACATATGTACTCTATAGACATTTACCTTTAATGATCCAGCTTGATCAATCAATCTGCCTCCAAATCATCACACCTGTCTATCTTTATGGGAAGTAGAAGAAACCCCGAATTTCTAATGGAATTGGGGAAAAATTGCTGAATTGCCTTGTTGCTGTCTTGACCGATCACAATGATAGCAAGCCACAAACTCCGGCAATCACCAACACATTAGCGGAAAGCTACCCGCTGGGTACCTCAACTCAAACAGATGCTATTGTACATGGCGACACTTTGTCGACTGTATTATATTACGAGGATGAGTGAGTTTGAATGCACAGCAAAGAGACTTCAAAGTGAATGGATTTGTCTTGGTATTGTCTTAGTATTCTGTGAGTGTCTACCAGTGTACCTAGGTAAAAGGCGGCGGAGGCTCATGCATTCGGAGTAATGCGCCGGACTACTAACACCGAGCTTTTTATACAAGTAACCTCCTTTGTTGCGCCTTTAGGGGTGGTCTCCTAGCAGATAGATATTGTTTTCTTCAATGTCGTTGTATGACCATATGGCCGTTTTAATAGCTGCTCAGCCTTTAGCATCCAGACGCGGGAAAAACTCCGAGATTGCGGCAAAGACTTACTTGAAGACAAGAACGCCATCCTGGTTGGAGACATAGTCGTTCAAGTTGAGAAACTGCTCCTCTCCGAAGCTTCCATCTGACCGGTACAGCAGCGTGATGATGGTTGTGCCGTCAAGTCTCCATGACACCTGGTCAGCGGACTCAAAGACACCATTTCCTCCGACTTCAAAAATCCCTTCATTGTTGCCAACGTGGTTGTTGAGGTCAAGTATACTCTCGGTCCAAGAGCCGTCCGCACGGCAGACGTCAGCAATCAGGCAGGAGCCTTCAAGGCGTACATTCTGGGAAGACTCAAAGAATGACATTTTGAAGCGGTTGTCGTGTTTGCAAAGATTTTGTTGATGATGTGAGAGAGTTGCCAAGGGGCAATGATGAAGGGATTCATCTTATTTATAATACCTGAGCTTGGCTCGTGCCAGAGGCCCAGGCGAGAGGGTCAAACCGCCTTTGTGTTACTTCTTGCCTCACCGCCGCATGCATGAAGATTAGTCTAGACAACGGGGATATCTATTGCGGAGTTGTGAGGCCTCTATCCTATCGGGCATGGACAAGGCAGAATTGACACGGCAAGCTCCACGTGTGGGCACAAAATGCCAACAAAGCCAAGGAGCTGCCAAGAAGAGGCATGTGAAAAAAGGTTATTGTAGTTGCCAACCGACTTCACAGGACAGTTGGCAATTCCACCATAGAAGTGGAATACAACAACAAAGCGAGCTTGGCCTGCAGCACCTATTCGCTACCACAGATCCAATATCCCACCGTGATAGCGGTATAGTATTGATACTCTCTGCAGAATCTCCATTTCCCTGCAGCATTACCCCTCATTCGTTTGGCCATTGACACCCTTGGCGACTCCATCCGCATGGGGCTGTATTGATGGCAAACTGGATGGTAATTCACTCAAGTTGATCCGAGTGTCAGCTCGGCTCGCCGGCAAGCATCATTCCACCATGCGATGCTTCAATGTTACCTGTCGGCACTCTGCAGCCGCAATGGGTAGTCTAGCTGTGTAGAATGAGAAACATTCAATCTCTATTAGCATGTGTAAGTCTTGAAAGCCAGACACTTGGGTGATATTCTGCTCTCCAGAAAACTATATATATGTACGTGCGTGGTGTTCGGACAACCCCCTACAAGCTTGAGACGTTGGATGCTCGTTCTCTTTGTATACATGGCAACAAAGGGCAACATGCGCGACACTTTGGGCCACGGCAGGTAATCAATCCCAATGAGTATCGAGATCCCCAAAGTTGGAGCTTCTCTTGCCCACACGTAAAGCGAATTCTTCCCGCCATTATAATCTGATAACGTTCATCAAAATCTTGTCGTTGAGTTCGAGTTGTGGGTGTTGTTTAGCGCCCGCGCCCGCTACCCCATACTTCCAATCTTGATCGAGTCATTGCTCCGTTAGCCTCGTCCCATCGATCCCGATCGCACAAACGAATAGCTCTAATTTTTATGATGTAAGACTACTCCGTACATCGTGTGTAGTATATTAATACCCTTGTTGTTGTTGCTCGCTCGATGCTCAAATTTCGCGAATCTGATACTGCCGAGATGGAGACGATCCTCATGACATCTGGACTAACGAGTGGTGGGTCAGAATTTAAGAAGCAATCTTCGAAGCTCGAATCATGAACAGAATTTTGACATAATCGGTCAGTGCTCACGTGAAATTGAAGAGCCTGAGAATTGTAAAAAAACAAAAAGAATAGGTATGGTATAAAGTACATTGCAAAATCACTTGGAGATCTCATTCAACCTTCGCAAGTTGGCCCCCCAATTTGATAATCCAACGCCGTGCTCGTCACAAAAAAGTTCCAGACATTTCCCTACATTATTAACGTCTTCCGCATGGTTGTGAAATTCTCTTCCTCCCCTAGACCCAAAAAAAGAAGAAGAAATATTGTACCAGAGAGGCTGGTGTGTGGCCCCATCTTACGACGACTTGAGGAGGAGAGCGGCGTGGCACTCCGTTCCAATGTTGGGGTTCTTCAGGAGGGCGTTGGATAGTGTGCCGGACTTGAGATAACAGTCTCCGGGAGCGCCGCCCTCTTGAGCATTCTTTGCGAAACTCCACGAGGGAATGAAAGAGACGGCCACACAGGTACCCTTGGTAGTGGTGTTGTACGAGTTCCACGCGCCGCAGGCATCCATGCAGCCGTTGAAGTCCTTGGCGAAAACAGAGTAAATGGCAGGGTTGTTCGTATCCTGGTTGCAGTGCATGGTGAAATGAGGCTTGCCAAAGACTGGAGATGAGTGGTTAGCGACTGGGTTTGTTACGTATCGTAAGAGGGTATGTGGCAATGACTTACAAGCAGAGGTGTACACGGTTCCGGTAACACCTTTCGGGTCATTGGTGCATCCGTTATCAAGGGAGTTGAAGATCGCAGCAGTACTAGAAGGAGCAGCTGCGGTGCCTGTACCAGTGGCACAGGCTGCGTCGGGCGGAGATGTAGACTGGGCGTCAGCCAGAGAGGAGCTGAGGGCTGCCAGTTTGGAGTTCGCATCGTTGTAGTTCTTGGTGGCAACGCCAGTACCAGCTGCCAGTCCGATTACCGCGGCCGCCAGAATACCGATGATGATGGAGAGGATGAGAACCAGGGAGATTCCACCAACAGTAGTGGCCGTCTTCTTTTCCGGGTGGATCGATTCGGGAGAGGTAGAGTATGCTCCCTCAGCTCCAGTATGGGTTGCTGCTGCTCCCATTACGCCTCCTACAGCACCCGCCGCCGCGCCCTTTCCGGCATCCGAGTACGTTCCAGTGGTGCTGTATGCGCCGGTGTGTTGATAACCCTCATTGTTTCCATAAGTCCCAGGAGGCTGGGAGACATAAGTCGGCGCAATAGACGGCTGCGGAGACCAGACTTGTTCTGGAGGTGGGTGGCTGACATAGGCCTCGGGCAGATCGTGGCCCTCGGCAAGTTGAGGTGAATCGTCGTACTGGGTAGTCATGTTAGTCAATAGACTTCACAGTACTGTATGTAGATGGATGACTTGGCATTTTACAAACGTACAGTAGGCGCCATCTTATATGAGTAAGGATATGCCCTAGACATTCAAGCAAGCCCCAAGAAAACAGGAGCTCTGCATGGGGACGGGGGGCAGCTGGGGGCCTAGCGAGCTTATGAACGATTTTACGGAGTAGACCTGGCATACCGTCTTCCACAGCTGCAAACAGTTCAATCAGGAGATGGAGGACATGGATCTCAGAGCCTCCACCTCGAAAACCCACCCTGCTCACACAAGGATTCCGGTTTGCCTCTCCAAACCACAGGTTGGGGTCCCTGCTCAGCCCTACATGTCAAGACTCCGCGTCCAAGTATAGCTCACGATGGTCTGTTTTCAAAGCCAAGGCTGAGCCAGTATTCTCTTGGCTGCGTTTCCAATCTATATTTCGGAACTCAAACCATCCATCGAGTCAACGTTTCTGATAGTTTCATTGATGAGGAAACATTGGACGGCAGAGATTTCACGCGACTCTCCAAACATCCAAGGTCTCTCGCTAGCGCTGACACTGCCAACGTACGAGACCATGTAAGCCGCGCTTCTAATGAGGCGCCGCAGATTCTTTCCACCCCCGGAAATCATGTTAGTGCGCCACATAGCCTCTGGTTGGCACCGCTTGCCTGGACCGCTCCGCCGGTTATCCGCTTCTAGCACGACTATTCTGTGGTTTTATGGGGGGGGATTGTGCCTGTTTCTGGTGATTGATTAGTTGGACCCCCTGCCGTATCACGTCGCCACCTAAGTATAGAAAAGCCGGGCTTCTCCAAGCCTCTCCCGAGTTCGACCACTCACATGGCTGAGCAGACACCAGAACACCAAATCTGAAATGAACGTGTCACTCCCGCGTGGGAAGGAAAACTTGGCTAGCCCCAGTGGTTGGATGTATTTCCGGAATACTATTGCGCTAGAAGGTGGTGAGGGTCAGATGCCATGAGAAATTGGTCTGAGACGTGGGTATTGATCGGCAGCACACATTAACCTGAATTGTATTGCGCAGAATCAAGGCAAGCTCATGAGCTGTTTTGTTTCTCTTCGTTCTCTGATAAACAACAACCCAAGGATTGGGGTCTAAAAAACGCCTCGCCAGCACCGTCGTATCTCACCAGGCGGCGCGAACGTGTACGAGTAATCATAAGGGGGTGGGTCAACAGCCCTGTAATCAATTAGCACAGGGGAACATGAAGATAAGTGGACCTTTTGAGCCTCTTCTTCTTCTTGTTCGCCGTGAAGAGCAAATGCTACAGAATGCCGAAGGCCTGGGTGTTGAGCGGGAGAATCCATGTCGGCTAGAACGTTTTGCTTCTCGCAAGCTCTGAAACTAGCCGCGCTACTGTCGCCGTGTAGGACATGGCAGCTTTGCCGGGGAAAGGAAACGGTGCCCAATGATTAGTACTTGTAGGGTGTAAGTGGCATTAGATAATACCATGCATGGATTTTTATTTTTATAGAGTCGGCGACCAAGATGAGCCACCCGCGATTGGGCTTACAAACACCGGGCTCGGAGTTTGGCCGTGTCGTGAGTCCTTTTGCATTTGATATGAACAATGTTTTATACAAGCCCATTTGCTTCCGTTTGAGCAGTTTTGCTATTTTGACTTGTCCAGCTCTTGGTACATGTATGTATGCTTGCTTTCATCGGCGACACTAGGTACAATCGTGTCATCCACTGGTAAGATGGAGCTGACATGATACTCTGTAGCAAGTCCTTGCTTGCCACGCGAACCCTCCTCTATCACCGATTGACTTATGGAGTAGTGTTAACCGCGGATATGGCCGGCCCCTTGAGAATGGCGCTTAAAAGGGTGGCCCTAGGGGTTCACACACCATCGATCCATCGCGCAACCAAGGCTCCATTATTGATGATGCCCTGGAGAACGAGAGCGATAACTCCGGATACGGAAGAATGCTAATCGTTGGAGCGGGTGGACACTTTCCATCGATGCGTAACTTCACGCGCATGTTCCCTTCATTCTTAGCTAGATAGAGCAGCTCCGGCTGCATTCAAAGGTGGGTGGAGCTGCATCTGGTCGACATCTCTCAATGCATAACAGAGGAAGCAACCCGCATTAGTGCTGGCTGATGAAGGTGCTGCCCCTTATCTGTGATTTCTACGGAGTAGTGAGATCATGGTTCAAGGCTGCGATTGGGGACTGAATTTCAACGCTTTCAAGTGTAATCTCCAGAACGCAGATGACAAAGCCGGGTGCGCCAGTAACACTGAATGACTCAATATGACGGCCTTGATCCTAACTCCCCGGATGAGAAATTCTGGCGTACTTGAGGTCAGTGAGTTTCATGCAGGATGTATGAGATTAAATTCATCTTCCGCCTGCAGGTTCAGGTAGCTGCAGGAAGCATTATCATAAAACATCTAGCTGGGATAGCATTGAGAAGAATTAAGAAATGAATTGAACCAAAAGTTCGTTTTCGAGAAACATGAAAGAAGCAAGTGCAAGGTGGGCCATGGGGATGATTCCAGGAGACGGGACGAGGGTGCGTGGGGTGGTGAGGCAGATTTTGTTGTGCACTTTCCGCCCTTTATGTCATTCCATTACTACCGTCTGCCAGGGCTTAAATGATGGAATGAGAATTGATACCCTTTTTGGACATTGACAGCTGTTAGCTAACTATGCTTCTGCCGAGGTATCAAATGCTGTAGTTGTCTATCTCCGTTCTCATCTGATTCGTAGCTTGCACAAACGTCTACTCTCGGCAGCCTCAATGAGTGTATAGCAACTAATATGGCCGTGCTTGAGATAATACAGAGTATAAAACGCATCTGATAACGGAGTCGCTATTCCCTGCCTCGACTTCAAGTATGGTTCTCAATGCTACTTCGGTCTGTCGTACGCCCATCTGGGGTTACGGACATTGACAGGTGGGGCGCTTGGCTGAGTGGCACAGTCCTTTGGCCGCAGATTTCCGACAAGAAAGGGGGCTCATGAAGAACGGGAATGTTCAGTAGACTTCTTGATTTGGCCTGATTTTCGTGTGGGTAAGGATCTTGACAGCGGCTTCACGGTTGCTTTGTCCAGTCAATATGGGAAGCAACAGGGGACATATATACAGCAACACGTTCTGGTTTGGAGAAGGCCAAGCGTAATATAACGATATCATGCTAATCTCAAAGGGAGTTCCTTGAGGGTGATTTTCAATGGCCTGCATAGAGCGCAGCAAAGGCGTGATCGTCTCCTATCTTGGAGAGATTGTTCAAAGGACTGCAAGGCGAGAAGGGTCTACAATCTGTGCCCTTGCAGCGCTTTTGAGTTTCTAGGAGGAAATATACCCTGCGAAGGGCTTGATAGATTGGCTACGAATTGATGTGTATGATCATCGTGAAGTCGACCTGCATGTATGAGATGTAATTAATAGGGGCTACATATTCGTTCAAAATCGTTGAAAGATACATAAGTTTTCTTCACGGAAACAGCAAGAACCATCTATGAATGCATGGTAATATTGACCTGCCATGTACAGGTTACTTCACCCTTCTGTGATCGATAGCCAAGGCCGAGCCTACACAAAATGTGTATCACACAACACATCCATGAGGTCACCACAATTCAGGATCAAACTATCCATTCCAATATTTGTAAATATAGACACCTATAGTAAGAGCAGCAGAAGCGTCATAAATATGAAATAAAACGGACGGATTTCCTTGGTATTAGCCATACTACTCCTAGAATATAAACCTGCTCTACTGGAGATTGCCTGTCCTATCAGGGCATGTTCTCATCTATGACTGATGCACAACCACCCCAAGCATTTCCCAGAAATCTTGGTTGGGATTTGAGAAGGCATTGTAAGTTCTCTTCGCGTCACCAAAAATCTGGTGCGTTTCAAAAATAAAGGGGGATACAGGAACTATGGTGCGCTCCCTTCAGAGAGCGGTAACTGGATCATCACAACATACGTTCGTGGGAATACATCAGGCTTCATAGATATGTATATCGCAGCATTTATCAATCTCTCAAGTTGTAATCTAAAATGAAATACAGCTGTCCCGCTTTGCTAAACTGGAGATCATTAGTCTCGAGTCAGGACCCAACCAACGGCAGCGGCAGCACCAACAACGATACTAAGGCGTAGACTAACGACAATACCAAGGCGGAGACTAAGGGCTTCGCGGCCCTTAGTCTAGCTTAAGTTTTACGACAGACCTTCCAAGGTTCTTTATCCCTCTTCACTCTCTTCCACCAACCCGACTTCTGACACTCGAACCAGATGGTTTGGAGATTGACTATGCGTTATGATCTGCAATGCCGATGTTGAGCCTCTATCGCGATAACAAGGCATTGCAAACCCTTTCCACCCGGAGGGGCTTTACATCATTGTCTGCCAGCCAAAGAGACGCAGATGCGTGCATACTCGGGGTCCCAAATGCTCGAGATCCACCGTTGGATGTTGAGCCTTGCGGTGTCGTATGAGGCCATCTTTCCATCGGTAGTGACCGGCTCATCAAGGTTTGCAGATGGTCCAGAGCTCCATGTTATTCCTATATAAGGCTCAGTCTAATCAGAGAACTCCAACAAAGATGTTCAGGCGGGTTGGTGGAGTGGTCTAACACGTGCGACTCAAGATACTGTCTTGATCCTTTCGCATCTCGCAAGAGGCGTAGGTTCGAATCCTGCACCCGTTATTCTTTTTTTCCTACTCCAGAGCTCTATATTACTCCTATATAAGGCTTGATGTAACCCTGAAGTTCCAACAAAGGCGGGTTGGTGGAGTGGTCTAACACGTGCGACTCAAGATATTATCTTGATCCTTTACAAGGATTTCGCATCTCGCAAGAGGCGTAGGTTCGAATCCTGCACCCGTTAGTTTTTCTTTTTTTGTCCAGAGCTTCATTCACGGAGTTTCAACGAAGAATTTCGTGAAGCTCTTTATAACACACGCCCAATAGACCCAACTGTAGTTATATTTAGTTTCAAAAGACTAGTGTAACAAGCTAACCGTAGGGTACTTTGAAAGCTAATTAATAATTAGTTTCCATTTCCCTTTGCACTAAGAAAAGAAGCTGTGCTTAAATATTCACACTGTAACCCTGCTGACTAACACATACACTTGTGTCAAAGTCACGCTTGACGATGCTGTTGTTAACGAAGCTCTTCTTGCAAACATTTTAAAAGTGGCGAGACGTTTTCTCATGGCGCGAGCCTGTCTGCTGTTGTTTTGGTTGAGGTCGGGCTAAAGGGCTGCTGTTGGCTTTCATCCCAGGGATGAGCAAGATCCAGTATAAGAGAGTGAGGGAGGTTGCGGGTATCACAGCGGTTGTAGCTTGAGAAGCTGTCTTGTTGAGCACTACATAACACTCCTGATCCTGAATGGACACTGCCGGCGCTCTCGTTCTCTGCCAAAAACGAGGGGGTGGTTTGACATGTGGCTCTACTCCGTACAAGCAGGCGACTTGTTACCTGACAGTGATCAGGATTTGGGCCTCCTGTTTAAAAGAGAGGGGTTGAGAAATGTGCAGTCCTGGGCCTTTCACAATTTATACAAGCCCAAGATGATTGATGAGAAATAAAGTATATCGAATTGAGGCGGGAGAGACTGGGTTGCCTGAAGAAACTCAAACCGCTTTCCTTAGCGAGATGGCCTTTGGCTTGGCGCATACATACCCTTCATCCAACGATTCCTTTGTCAGGCCGATTTACTTTGAACCCGCACAGAGGCAAACTGCCAGCCTCTTGAATGCTCAATGAGGTTATGCTTAATGTGTCTAATCCATCATGAGGCTATCTACATGTATTGTGGTATGGGGCTGAATATGAAGGCAACCCCAAAACTGACCAATTTGAGGAGAGCTGTGTAACATTACAGGCTGTATCAACCTAGTTGCAGAACAAGAGCATTGTTTAATGACACAATGAACATGTTTTGTGGGTTATGATGCAAACTCAACCTCAAAACTGGCCAATTGAAAGGGAGTGCACATGTGTGGCTCACTTTAACGGCCTCGAAAAGAGCATCTCACCATAATTGATGTTCCTGGAATTTTCCGCGATACTACCAAAGGAACCACCAAAGATGACATGATGATAAGAGGGGAGTTGGTCACGAGATACATCAAAGACGACGGCACCATTATCTTGGCAGTCCTGCCGAGCAATGTCGACATTGCCACCCAAGAGATTTTGGGGCTTGCGGAGGAGTATGACAAGAACGGCGAGCGTACTCTCGTTGTTCTCACCAAGCCTGATTTAGTAGTTGAACCTAGTGCGCAAGCAGCTATCTGCGATCTTTTTCAGAGCAAGAAACGGTCACTCAATCTTGGCTACTTCCATGTTCAAAATCGCAGACCAAACAGCGGCTTAGAAGGGCGTTCGGGGGTTGACAAGATTTTCCGAAAGCAACCATGGGATCATCTTCCGCGGGATCGAGTAGGTATCGTAGCCCTTAAAGAGCAGCTTAGGTCACTCTTGGTTGAGATTACCCGACGCGAGTTTCCTAAATTGATCCAAGACGTCGGCAACCAGATTAGAGAATGCAAGAGAGAACTAAACAGCCTTGGGCCCCCTAGCCCGGATGAGCGCGAGCAACGAAGCTTTCTTTGTAGTATTGTTGGGGCTTTCCAAGATCGCGTCCGGGCAGCATTGACGGCTGATTATAACGCCAACTCGGGTTTCGACGAGGATGAGCCTCGTCTCATCACTCACATGGTGAACATGACCGATACCTTCAGCGCTGATTTCCATGAGAGTGCTCATTCACGACGCTTTGAGAAGCTTGGACAGGTGGAGCCGTCCGAGGAAGTTGAGGCGCCTGATGATTGTGATGATAAAGCTGGGTTGATGATGTTGCACCGGAGGAGCTTGCTGAACTTGCCTACATTATTACTCTGGAGAAGATATCCGTGCCCGTGCCGTGTGACGACTTTAGCAAATGGATCAGTGGCGTTTACTTGCAATCTAGGGGCCTGGATCTGGGCACCTTTAACGCAAACTTCCTCACTACAGCTTTTGTATAGCAGTCGCACAAGTAGGGAGACATGATAAAAATCTACACAAGCAGACTCATCATCACCCTTCATCGCTTCATCGCCGCCGCACTCCGTTCCGTCTGTTCAGAAGAGCAAGTCCGTAGCAAGTTGTGGGCCGCAATGATAAAGAGCTTAGTGGAGCGCTACAAAAAGGCAATGGACCAAGCGAGGCTGTCGGTCGAAGTCGAGCAGCGCAAGCAACCCTATACTCTGAACAAGCAGTTTGCTCAAGCGTTGTCCAAGGCCCGAGGCTACCGAGTCTCGGAACTGCTCCTCCCCAAGGCTAGAAAGGACACGAAGCAGTTCGGAGGGACGCAGTTCATGATTCACTTGTACGACATTGCCAAGGCTGTCGAAGTGAAAAGCAATGTGGAGCAGTTGCAATAAGAGATTCGCGACATTCTTCATGCTTACTACAGCTTGGCGGCTGACCGGTTCATTGGCAATGTCTTTCAGCTTGCTTTTGACCACTGTCTGCTGCGCGAGCCTTATAATCCCTTGAAGGTTTTCACCCAGGATTGGGTTATCAATCTGGAGGCTGAGCAGCTTGAACAGATTGTTGGCGAGACTAGATCTGCCAAGAGGCGCGGTCAGGGATATGCGAAGAAGATTGTGGATTTGACTAATGCCTTGAATATCCTCCGAACTTGACTGCAAATCGAAATTGATACCACTGGGACAATGTATCGGAAAGTAACGTATTAATTTATTCGAGAATGGGCTTAAGTTGGGGATTGTCATGTCAACTGGTAATGTTACCCCCAGATCAACGCAATCATAGATTTGGGGTGAGAGACAGAACAAAAGAGAAGGGATCTTTTCATTTCAAGATAGTTTTTATATGTAGCTTTGAACACATAAAGAATCCGCAGCTTCAAGTCAATCGTACTTGGTCTTCTATCTATTTTACATTGTATTTTTGTTGACCACAAAATCTCATCGAGTTCGTGGTTAAGTGGCTCTATCTATACTGTGAAACTGAACACTTGTTTCTACATCATGTCTTGCATTTGTTACTACTCACTACTACAAGTAAGACACCATGAATTAAACTTTACAAGATCAAGTAGGGAGGAATGGCGGTCAACTACTTGAGGCCTAGAGATATTAAATGGGTAACTCCCCATTCAATTCGACACTCAGTTCCGCTAGATCTTCTCAATAACTCGACAAATAACGGTACTGTCTGCCCTTATATAAAATGAAGTCCATCCAACTTCTCTCCGCCCTGCCTCTCCTTTTCTTAGGGTTTACTGCCATTGTTCAAGGACAGAGCTGCCTGAGCGGCCACCTATACTGTGGATATGCTTTGGAATACATGGGTGAGGCTACTCGGACAATATCTATATACACATTGGGCTTTTTAACAGCATTACATACTGCAGGTTGGAGTAAAAACGACCTCATTGCCACCGTAACCAATGACCCTGATCCCAGCCAAGGCGCCATCGATCATCCAGGCCATGCTCTCTACCAGTGTCTCGATTCTGAAAAAGAAATCTTTTATGTTGGTTATTGTAACCAGGGATGCGATGCCATGATTGATGGCTCCGACGACATTTGCAATGGGAAGTAGAACAATGTTCTTGAATAACTGCGCTTACATTTACTGACTGACCATTACAGCACCTCGGTAATCTGATGAGATACTGTGAAGCCGGAAGCGATGATGATTATCGGCCTCAGGTTCAAGGTTCAATCGCTTCAGTAGATTTCTAGCATGCGGAGAGCTGCAGCTGGTAGTTATAGTGTTATAAAGAGAACGCTTGCGACATCTAACTGATAGACGATCTAGGCATCAGTCTAATACTACTCGATATTATTGATTGGGAGGTCTTTCTGAGCTGGTCATATCGAATGTTGGCTTTCGATTTCACTTTTGTCTTTATCAGCATAGGATGCCTAGTTTTAAGCAATGCGCCAATCTATCTTGGCGAGTATAATTGTTTCAAGTAAACAGAGCAGAGCTTCAGTATGACCCAAAGCGGCATCCACATCCGCCAGCTTCAAGATACGCACTGCATAGCACCGGCATCGATTAGACAACACGCCAATCGCATTCATTTCTACGAGCTAGACGTCATCGGCCCTTTGGTGCGACTCCATTCACTCGCGTAGCAATGTTGATCCGATTTTTCATCGTGGACATCGACGATGGTAGATCAGAGTATATCGCACTGTAATGGAATCTGGCCATCCAGGTGGTTGTCGGAACTTGTACTAGTCAATCCCCAAGAGTTCTATAGTGATTTTTTTTTTTCATTTGCATGGCTGAAATAAAAAGATGGACGAATATATTAACCGTCGCCGGAAGAGGCGCTCGTTCGATTACCAAGCACCCCAGGCGGACTGCGGCGTCGTATTTGATGAGGCACCATTAATTTGCAAGCAGTGGTTGCGACGGAGAGGCGATTAGCCGAGTGATAAACAGTAGAGATGCGCATGCTGCAGGAAGATATGATTAATATACTGTGCGGCCTCAGAAAAAAAAGGCTGTCATCGAACGGGTACGACCGGAGCGGTGATGAGGGGGGCAAGATGAGAGAAATGAGACGAGGGTTCACAAAGTTCAGATACGACAGAACACGTGGATATATGAATGGCTACACGAGGAGAATAGCGAGTGATGAGAAGGGTAGAATCACACGCTTGATTTCCAGATATGCTTGAGGAATCAAAGCAAAAGAAGGGGCCGATATAGGAAACAATTCAAGTCAATGTTGATTGAACCGTCCACGGAAATGTCGCGATGCCCCGTAAAAGAAGCGGAGCAGGATGGAGAAGGATGGCATCCTCCCCGCATTCCATGGTACGTACCATCCGGAGCAGGCCTATCACAGACAGAGATCCAGCCGTTAAGAGCAGGCAAAGGGCCAAGAATGGGTACGACTTAGTACCACGATGACGGCATTATCGTGGTGGACGAACTCAAGCTAAACAGCAGCAAATGGGGCGCCGTTGATAAGACAACTTCAGAAGGTGAGACGACAACGAGGTACCCGGTGTTAGTAATAAAGCTACAAAAAGACTCCTCGAGGCCGAATCTGTAATAAGCCGAGTCGACGATACAGGTACGGCCAAGAGCCAAGAGCCAAGAGCCAAGAGCCATTCAAACAGGATACGCTTCTTTGTGTTGAGTTTCACGAATACGGATGCGTCCCGGGGGCTGGCGGGCGATGCTGTGCGCCCTAACGCAAACTTTTTTTCAACGGCTGCATATGAGTATGAGGAATGAAAAGATTTTCAGCTTCTCCCCTCTATTCTGCATGATAAAGAGGGTGTGAAGCCGTTGCTGATGCTGCACAACGCATGGACGTCTCACAGTGGAGGGGATGTGTTCGAAGGGAACCCCCGCAAGAAATTTGCGCATGAGACAAGTCAGCCAGCGAAGCATGGCTGAGAGCACGCGGACTTGCACGTGTGGTTGGCTGACCCTCTGGTTGCGAGTGTGTTTGCCTGTTATTGGGCACCGGACATCTTGGGCATGGTCATGTTCTTAGCCGTGTGATGCGCCCTCAACCGTGACTGCGCAAGTGGTACGCTTGTCGACGGCCAGGCTGCCTTGGGATTCAGTCAGAAATATGACTCAGAATCGGAGCCTGAGTTTGATACCGTAGATGCGATACTGAACGAGGACAAATGGCAAGCAATGCAGGTCTGAAATGCTACAGTATCGTTTATGCAGGGGTTAGAGCTTGAGGCCACTGGCGAGACGAAAAAGGCTCAATTTAAACTTACCTGGACACTTGCTTTGGACATGGCCGGGTAGCTGTTGATAACGCCTGTAATGGAAATAACAAGACCGACGTGTCCGGGGGCGTGGTAGGCAGCAGAATGGCTGGATGGCTCATTCATTGGCTTATCCCGGCCAGCACACTCAGATCCAAGGCAAGCCATCCGTGTCAGCCATCCAATAGCTCTCTGACGCCGCATTGTCCATCATATGATAACAAGGTGCTTCGAATGCACAGCGGCATCTCATGAGACGGCCAAGGACGCCCTGCATATCCCAAGCGCTGCTTAGCTGCCCGACCGAGATGCCACAGCAACAGATAGAGAGAATCCGCTTCTATCCTGGGGCCATCCGGGGGCCAGCACATACTGGTACTAGCACGGCTCGAAAGAGGACATGCGTCGATTGCTACATGCCACAATCGACGAGCAAACGGGGCCGGGAGGAGCATCGGGAATGGGGGCCTTTTGGGGGTCCATGGAACTTTGTTGAGGTTGAAGCATCGATGCCTCAAGCTGCGGCTTTAGTGTTTGCGTGTGCATTGCACCCCTGCTGGGATTTCATGCCTCGTAAACGTACAAAGCAGGGCCGTCGCCGTCTTCTTTGGTCTGCCGGATCTTGTTTCCTCCAGCTGCATGTTGCTTCTTCTACTTGTATTCGCCGTAGACGCAGATCAGATCATCGAGCCTCGTGCCATCTCGATCGCCCTGACCTTTATCATCTGGCCCTTTTCTTGATTTCGGTCGGTGCAAACAAAGGGTCCCTCCCTGTCAGGCCTAAAGCACGCCGTCTCGCCCGCTGCGTCATTACCCCGTACCCCGTATTTCTTTGTCGACACGATCGGGCAACTTTGTTGAAGAAGAGAGAGAGCCGCTTCACAATTTTTCTTCTTCTTCTTCAAAACTATTACTCCTTCCCATCGCCTGCATCCATTATTCTCCATTTCGCCTTCCCAAGTCCTCCGTTCTCTCACCGAGCAGGACAGCGAATAACGCATCGTCGATAAGGCGAGTCAGCTAATCGCACACGACCGGCCGTTCCGTAGCTCGGAGTAGGTGCCACCGCAGAGGCACTGTGTTATCGACACCCAAGTCCTGGCTACCGCCCCCGCCGCCTGCGCCCTCGCGATTACAGTGTATCATTTACACTGCAAGGCACCGCCGGCCGGTTGCGGCACCAATCGCCTGCCCACCTGAAGGACGCCTGACAGTTGCACTTACCTACCTAAATCCGCCCCAGCCGTTAGCCCTAATCGCACGCCTGCCATTGGCCCGTCCGCCTCCCTGACTCTTCCCCTTCAGGCCAACTTGTCCGTCTGCGCACGGGTCGGTACCACAACGGAGCACCCGCCCTGGTACAGGTACTCGCTATCAGTGGCACCCTCGCATTGCATACGCGCGGCCGAGTAGCGCGGCAAGTACGCTGTACAAGGCGCAAAGTCGTCCACTCCGTATTCCAGAAGGCCTCGCCTGGAACACAGCGCTCGACCCTTCTGGGAACTGGCATGTCTCCACTAGTCTCGGGCTGTCTCCATCGTCCCCCGGCTGCTCGTGCCTTCGCCATGATGCTATACACTCCTCGTCCGAGGCTCCCTCCAACTCCTGCACTCTTCCCTACCACCACCGTCTCTACAGCCTCTCCTGCTCGCTCCTCTGCTCGCCCTCCATCATCATCATCATCATCATCCGAGCCTCTATCTTCGAAGCCCACGATAGCGGAAACCAACATCTCCATCTCTGCCGTCTCTGCCAAGTCCACTAAATCAGTCGTCACCATTCTTCCACCACACGCGAGCAGCCCAAAGCATGCAGAGGGCAAGAATAGACCATCATCGATTACAATTACCGTCACACCCATCCGAGCTGAATCACCTTCGCCTTCCGAAATCGATGCGGACATGGGGAAGCACGGCTTGTCTTCGCCAATGTCTGCCGCATCAGACACCATGATGAGTCGGCCAACGACACCAACTAGCCCCGTCCAGATCCCAAAGCCAGGCAGCCGTAGCCGACACTTCGATGCTGCCCATCCCGTGCGACGCCATAACACCGCTCGCCGCAAGGTCCCAAACAATGTCCGCTCGCCGGAATCTCTATCGCCGTCGGTGGCTGCCTTGTTGGCTGTCACTGACATCCCACGGCCCCGACGGGCGCAGCGGAAGCCGCGTGGTCAGGACCGCCTGTTAACCGTCGATGCCATCATTGCTGATGAGAGCTCGCTTTCAGAGAAGGAGTTCAGCTGGTCGCTGAGTCGCGGCAGTCCGATGGACGTGCTGATGTCGCCTCCCGACAGCCTGGACGAGGATTTCTTGGGCAGCGACTGCGGAAGCGTCCATATGGCTAGGACGCTCTCTGTTGACTCCATGCCATCTCTTGGCAACTCTTTCGGCACTGATGTGATTTCCTCTGTTGAGTCTCCTCGAAGCTTGAGCCCTCAGTCTCTGCACCGGAGAAAGGCCAGCCCCATCCGTAGCTCTCTTGGGCCCATCCGATCTCCTCCAGACAGCATCGTCGAGCACCCACTCTCTCCTGAGCCATCACGAGACGAAGATGAGCTGGACTCGCTGAATCTTCCAAGTCCCGAGGACGACCAAACAACTTCATACCAGTTTATACAGTTCAAGCCGCTCCGGGCCGTCTTCAAGTCCAATCTTACAGCATCACTGCGAGCGCTACGATTAGCAGCCAAATCCTTCTCCAGCATCAACTTTCCGTCTATTCCGCCCGATGATCTGATTACCCGCTCCATCCTCACCATGGACCCCAAGGTGCCCTACGCTGACGAGCGTCGACCACCCGTCACGGAGGAAATACCATCTGCCGAACTACGCCGGTACCTGAACCCAACAACCAGGCTGTCGCGTGAGACGCAGTCTCGACCTCTGCAACAGGCCGGCACTTTTGCCGCATCCATTCAAATGCAAACCTACAAAATTCAGCGCACACGACCCACCGACGCCGCGGCGCGCAATGCGTATCCATCCGCCTCACCGCTATCTCCATCGACTCCCGCGAGCCAGCCTGCATTAACGCCGGCACAAGATTCAGTCCCTCCGCTTCCTACTATGCGCCAGCGAGAGATGCGAGAAAACCCCGACTTTATTCGCATTGCCGTCATGGAAATGATTATGCGCCGGCGAGGCAAGCTGGACAATAGCAAGCCTGGACGTGCGCGCTGGGCACTGCCCCCCAGAAAGACGTCGACTAAACCCTATGAGATTGGAGCCGATGGTGTTCCAGAGCGATGGATTCCTCTGCCAATTGCTGACTAGTGGGATTCGCCGGAATCTGGACTCATTGGACTCGCACATCGCGCGCCGAGGCAAAGCTCAAGAGGCCGAAGCGCGATTTGCCTTGATTCTATTGGCTACCGACCGCGACCAACACATCGGCGAACGTTTGCCTTGGTGATCCGAGACAGACCCTGATTTTCCCTCTCAGCTATTCTGCTCCCAAAAGTCGACGATTCGATCCACCGCACAGAATTAGTGTGGGTCCGTGTCAAAATCACCAGGGAATAGCATGATAACACTTGCCAATGGCGAGCCATTCACTCTTGGCTAGGGTGGCGATAAGTCTCCAGTGACACATGGCAGATTCGGCACTGGGACGGAGTTGAACACCCTTGTCTCCACATGGAAGGGTTTTGGAAGGCTTCGAGCCCTGGAGAGCCACGGAACACGAGTCGGACAACACCCACCCGCGGCAACATGTCACGAACTATACCGAGAAGAAAACGTCAACATGCGTTTCGGGCCGCCATTACTTAACAGGTACCGGCTGTGGGCATTGGCCGACAGGGCAGCAACCTATCCGGACAGCTGGCATGCTTTGACTGGGTGAAACATAACACTGAAAATTTTTCAGCATTCGCGACGCGGCCCAAAGCAATGCATGCGCGTTTGAAAAAAATTTTCCTCCTCGGCAAACGACCTGGGAATAGCCTTGTTGCGGGACGCTACAGATGGTCTCGCTGGCATTTTGATTTCATAATATGTTGCAGATTTTTCGGCGACAAACAAAAGGGCAATCTTCTGGGAGCAAACCATTACTCAATTCGGAAGGCCGAGAGATGACGCAGCGGCCATAAATCTCCGAAACGGCAGCCGATTCCGTTTGTTATCAACCTGCTTCTTCCGCTCTACTGCACAGGTTGTCAGGGACCTTTGCCAGATTGGCATCCATCGGCTAATGTGATCTAATCTGGACATACCTTACTTGAGATTTGGCGGATGTCGGGGCCAGAATGAGTGCAAGTCGCTGATGGTCGAATGGGTTGACCATTGGGCTCAAATGCGAGCCTTTGGGCTACGAGGGCCACATGCGCCATTTCTTGACCCATTGACTTGTCCGGGATCATCTCTACCTTTTTCTTCTTCTCTGAAACCGCGCGTTCTATTCTTGGACTAGTCGCTTCATGTCGGTTACACGGAACTTTTTTTTTTTTCATTTCTGATTTTTTTCGTTCACAGTTTGCCGCATCGCGATGGTGGAGTCTTGCATCAACTTTTCTCTTTTATTTGGAGTACCTGGCATTGCGAACCGGCGGCGTATGATTGGGATACCCTTTGATTGGTGTACAAGGCTTTTTTTTTGGCATATTTTCCCACGATTTTTTTTTTTTTTTTGGTCATCTCTTATTTGTTGCCATATCACCATTGAGATGGAGAAGGTCCTTGCGGGATAGTTTCTTGATTGGGTTGTTTGAACAACATTTTATGGACAAGAGATTTACGTGGGAGGAACACATAAAGAGATGGATGGTTACGTCGCAAGGCGATTCATAGCGGTTTTTAGCTAGCATTGATAGGATAGATTTACAGCTTTGATAAGCAATATGGTTAAAAACTGATAACTTGATATATATATCTTGGGTTCGAGAACTGGGCGGTCCTTGTGAAGTGCTGACCTGTTGAATGATATACCTAAGACGATATTGGCGGTTTGAAGTAAAAAAGTTGCGTTCAAAACATGGTACACTCTCTAGCTGGGTTATGCGTCACATAGGAACTGTTGGACTTCTCTAACTGGAACAATGAATGAATGGGAGCTTAGTTGATCATTGAAACGCTGGCTGAATCGAGAATTTACATTACTGTTTGATGATTTGCTACTGTTGTAAACTTTTCATAAAAGCGTAGGTAGATTATTATTATACGGATACATGTATATTGAAGCCTCTCAGATCATTGTTCTGCTACAAGAGGGTACGCAATATCCTTGAACATGATACATAGTAAGTAAGAAAAAAAAAGGGTTCCTAGGAGAGCAAGTTTTCTCTCCGAAAAAATTGATGTTCCTCTAACGCCCTCCATATGTGTGAACCTCCGTTGAATGTACTTGTACGCGAAATGCTGATATATGTCCACCCAGAGTTTGACGTAAAATGTAACGACACAATGCTCGCTCGCTTGCTTTGCAGTAGAATGAGGACTGAACGAAAAAAAAAAGAGTAGAAGAAGAAAACGAAAACAAGAGGCGAATGCGGTGAAAAGGGAAAATCACTTTTGTGCCCACCAAGAGATGAAGTTGGCGTAGGAATGCACTCTTTTATCCCAGAGAGCTTTCCGTGCGGATGCGAGATAGACTTCCAGCTCGGTGTCATCCCATCCTAGCGTTCTGAGAGGTTTGGCGGCGAGGGCGCCGACGAGCTCGTTGATGGCGTCGCGGAAGAGGATTCCTATTTCACGCTGGTGGGGATCCTATGAGAAAACGCGTCAGTCTACATGTTCGAGAAGGAGGTCCTTGTCTGAGCGTTACGGTACCTTGGGCCAAGCGCCGAGGGGCGTCTTGATTACTCGGCATTGGATGTTCTTGAAGCCCGCGGCTTTGTATTTGTCTTCCAGCTCGTTGATGACATAGGCGTTCATGCCGTATCTCGACAGGGCCTGGTGCATCATCATGGCGACTTGCGCCGGTGGGTGGTTCTCGGGCATCGTGCCGTCATCGCATCGGAGGAAGCTGCAGTAGTCTGTAATCTCCAACCAGCCGCCTTCTTTCAGGTGGGAATAGCTGTTCCTTATCATCTTGTCCACGTCCTTCAAGTAGATGCATGAGTGGCGCAGATGGATCAAATCGTAGCCGCCGCGATCCATCCATTCATCCTCCACGTCGTCGACTAGGAACCGCACATTCGGGGGGACCATGAGGGGTTGGATCGGGCTGAGGTCGAGGCCGACGATTTCGGCGCTTGGATACATTTTGGCAACTGCCTCTGCCTTAGCAAACGAATCGAGCAACCTTGAAGGAAGAAACGGAGCGAGTCGCAAAGCTTACCCGCCACTGGCCAGAGCCCTGTGCCGGTGCAAAGGTCCAGTATTCGTTGTGGGTTCGGCGCAATGGGAGAGTTGAACATCTTGCCGCCGACGAGTTCCATGTGTATCACATGTTTCAGATACTCTCGCTCCTGCTCGATTTCGTCGTTTGGTAGGGGATAGCGACCGTGGCGATAGTGATGATACTAGCAAATTTCTTATACTCAGTGACGCGCTCTTTATAGACTCGGCAAAGGCACAGAACTACACACCCTTCGTCCTCCCTCCCACTCATGCTCCCATATGCTACTCCGTACAGTGACAGACTCGGCAGATTGCGTATCGGTGCCATCGAATTCGTCGTCGTCGTCGCCGCCGTCGGCGTCGTCGCTGTCTGTCGCATCAAGCGGTGGATCCTGTTCCTCGATGTTAGGAGGATCTCCTGACACCATCATGGAGGGCTTTCGAGGCTCTGCAACCTTAGCTTCCGGGTCTGAGTCTGTTGCTGGCGCCTTACCAGCACTGGCACTGCGCCGCCGCCGCTCTTCTTCGCGTGTGGTATCTCCCATTGCGTGTGTGTGTGTGTGTGTGTGTGTGTGTGTGTGTGTGTGTGTCAACCGAACAGCGTCGTCGTCGTCGTCGTCGTCGTCGTCGTCGTGGTTGTAGTTGTAAGTGGTGACTTGATGTCTTGTCGTCAACGTTGTGTATGCCGCGCTATCGAGGAGAGCGACTGATCGGTGATAACGAACAAGAACCGCCTCGATCCGTCCCGAGTCCGATCCGTGGAGATTGAAGAATAGGCGACCGGGGGAGATGGAGCATGCTGGGACGGAATGCTGGCGGCAGCTGAACTCAGCCCGTTCGTTTCCCTTGTGGCTAAGCGATGGATGGCGATTCAAGGACCGGCGCGGTTTTGGGCTTCCATTAAGCGACTCTCGTCTTGTGATGGGATTCGAAGCTACTTGTATGTATGCGTCTGTTCAATGCAGCGATGCTTGTTAGCGATGTCGCCCGGCCAATCCGGTTGAGTTGCGAGAGGCGGGTTGGATGGATTTGATGCGACAAACATTTGACTGGACAATTGCTCTGCTTCTCGAGTCAGCTGATTGGAGAGAACGGGGAGAGAGGGAGTACAAGTACGGGGCACTTTGGCTGTGCGTCCCGGATACTCCACAGCGGCAGGGCATCGGCCAATGAAACAAAGTATCCTGTACGGCGCCTCGAGTATTCTGTACCAAACTTTGCGCTAAAAGTCGACGGACGAGGTTGGCAGGATTTGGCGTCCATTAGGATCTCAGGTGCTAAGGTATCTATAGAGATTTTGGTTAGCCTTGGCATTTATCGATCAAGGAGACCGAGATGGAGGCAAAGGAGGAGCATTTTGTAAACTTTGTATAGAAGATACATGTTAAACACGATGCCAGACGAAAAAGGTAGCGACCAGACATGAATTAGTGAGCCTGCATACCTCTACTGGGTACCTCTCGTATATCTCACCACTAGACCAGGTATTACTAACTGAACTGAACCAAAATATCCATTCTCCTATTACGTCTTCATGCCTGGAGTATATCTGCGGCAATTAGCGGGTACTGCTTAGACTCGAAACGGGCTCTTGATACTACTCGATGTGTCTACATGTAATCTTTGCAGTTTACACACTGCCTGCTGATACATACGTGGTGGCCTATAATAAATAGGTAGGTACCTAAAGGACCTAACTACATGTAAATCATGCACAGGGGCTATATGGAGTACATGTAGTGATGCAAGCTATTCCTCTGCTGGTTCATCTTGCATCTCGTTTTATCCCCATCAAGTAACAAGTTGAACATGGATCAGAGTCATTCATTCACATGGCTAATCAGCTTCACCAGTCTCGTGCTCGTGTGCTCAAACCGGCATACTCGACTCTTCATTGTGTCCCTTCGTCCCCTTCGTTTGTCCCCTCCATATCATCACCCTTCGAAACCATGAAGATGGCTGTGGCTGTGTCATCTTGCCACTCTTGCCTCGCCTCCACCACAGCCAACAAAGTGACAAGAGAACCAACACGAGTGTCAACGGTATCGAAATGTACCACAGCAGATAGAACAACGGTGTTGCGCTGACGTCCCATGAGCCTTCTTCGTCTAGTTGTTCCGATAGTAGTAGCCCCGATCCTGCAATGGTTGCAACGGTGATTGTGGGCAAGAATATCAGAATCGAAGCCGCGATGAGCTTCATCGAAACTGGGCCTTGTATGGCTGCTGCGGACTGTTGTTGCGATACCAAGTTTGATGCTAGAGCAGCTGCGGCTTCGATTCGCCTTTGAAGGTGGGACAGTCGTAGCTGGGTTGAGCGAAAGAGTGTGCGGCGATACTCTAGGCACTCTTTTAGCTGTAAGTCAACAAGAGGCCGCCGATTACTGCTGGTGTTACTCGGGGGGGATGGTGTTTTGTCAATAGAGGTTGCTGTTGAAGGGATGCTGGTGCTGGCATTCATAAGAACACCCTCAGTGATCATTAATGCAGACTCAAGTGCTCTTGAAAGCTCTGTTGTATGCCTCGCAAACAAGTATAATTCTTCATGCTGTGTTCTTGGGCTTGATATCATGCCCTCAGAGCCTGTGAGCTGAACGATGGACTGTTGATGAGGTTAACAACACTCGTCTACCGCCTAGGTATGTAATAGATGTACAAAAATGGGAAGTGAGTACATACCTTTTCTAACGGCTCAAATTCCTCCTCAATCTTCCGTGCTGTATCATCAACTTCTTCGTGCAGTCCCTCAAGTGCAACATCAAACAATATCTGCGGATTGGTTGCAACATCACTCCATGCCCGACTCTTCATCAAATCATGTATCCTTCTTTTCACCCTCGGCCCTGCACCAAAACACACCAGTGTTACACTGGTATCAGCTGAAGCTTGAAGAAAGAAGGAAGATTCCCTCTCTGGGTATTTATCAGCTGTCGTAGAGAACTCGGTCGCATCATCTTCTCCATCAGGCGACTCGTCATCAGTTCCAGCTGATGCAGTCGATGCATACGAGAATCGGAACCAGGAACTGAACCCGTTGTTTTCGTCACTTCTCCGACTAAAGCTATGGTTTATAGACATCACCCTCTCCGCGGTAAAGTCATGTGGTATACCGAATTTGTGAAAAAGTTCCACCATCAGCCCTTTTGTTTCTCGTCGCGGTACATCTGAGGGTACAAAACTTGGAAAACAGATCAGTACTGGTTCCTTTGCTCTTCATTTACATTGACAAGTCCATCAATTAGACGAGCATGACAACTTCATCCAGTAGACTTACACGATTCTGAGCTGTGGCCTGCCATTGAGACGGCGTACGGTGTTCTGGACATACTCGCGCAATTGCCCATCTAATATATTGTTAGGCTCCTCTTTGTTGGGTGCAAAGGTCTTTCATTTTACCTTCTGATATATCCCAGGTCTCCAGGCTCCAAGGCCTTTCGCTTATGCTCGGAGACTCGCTTGCAGCCTTCTCAGTGAAGTCTCTGTATAATACTTCTTGTGATCGTTTGGTCCAGGACATGGTTCAACCGTTCTGTTTTGCAAAACAGTTTCGAGAATCAGTGTCTTTATTCAAGTCTTCACCCACTACTAGTGGTGTTGGATGAGTTTCAGCAGCTGAGCATGAGCACCAGATATGAAACCCCAATTCTATTGAATCGGGTGAACCGCCTCTTTATTATGGCCATATCAATTACAACAAATACATCAATACCAACTTTCGGTGTGGTTGCACCCACATCTTGGCATCATAAAAGCACCGTTTTACGGAGTAATACCATCCTCTTAAAAGCATCGACCACTCTATCCTTGCCACATTGCTCTAACAGCACACAACGAGGTCGTTTAGCGCAACCCCCCTTGCAGCACAAGCACGGTCTCGATCGTATTCGAACATTCATTCACCCCAACAGCTCCCCTAAAAACAAAAGGAAAGAAAGGAAATAGCAGCTCACAGCCCGGATGCTGCGAGCGAACCGAACTCCTTACCAGCTGCATGGCCACGGTGTCATCCCTTGCCAAGCCCAGTCGGGGGTCAACGACTCTGTATTGCGAGCGCGTCGTTGCGCACGGCTCAGCGCAGCGGCTGAGATGGAACGCTGTGAGTGGACCACGGTGACAAGATGCGAACCTGAAGCTTGTCGTGTTACCGGGCTAATCCTTTGATCGCGTGCTTGGCGTGGTCAGATGAAGCTTTCAGCTGGGAGAATCCGCCCCCAACAGCGATCCAATTGCGGAGTAATTGATCCAGTCAAGGGAGAGTTGAGGTGCGATGACGGCAGATGTCGGGTTGTTGTTCAGAGGAGCTAAATATAGAGTACTCAGCGTGATGGATATGGGTAGAGAAATTAATTGAAGAGACCAGGAGGCATGTTCGTGACCGCTACATTAAGATTGCTAGGATATACACATCAAGCAATGCCATGTGCCAAAGACAATCCACCGTGGAGAAGTTACCCCAGGCATACATACAGCTATAGCTTGGCCTTCGGCTCGGCGTTCCACAACGACACCACTGGTCCTTGTTTCCCGTATACCGGGTCAGCTTGCGGCGTGGCAACTGCTCCAATCGTCTGGGCGAAGGAAGCTGGCGGACGTTTGCCCATCTCATTCGTCCACTTCGGGCATTCCTACGTAGTGCTTGTCAGCGTATACTCACCGAAGAGGAGAGATTATGATAAGTGATATTCTAACTACTGACCTTCGGATATACCCCAATGTAGCGATAGTCGTCGGAACTCCGTAGAGAGGAGTGGGCGGTACCAGCCGGAAGAACGATTACGTCGCCGGTTTTTACGTCAACTTGAACGCCGTCTCCGTCATTGATCTTCCCGAGGAGGAGCGTCGAGCGGCCTTGAAAGATTCCTTTTTGCACAGAATCAGTTGATATCATGCATTGGCAATTTTCTGAAACATGAATGAACATACCGTAGCATTCATGTGTGTTGGGATGGAAATGTGGCTCTCCAATATGGCCCCAGGTTCCCTCAAATCATGGCCCTCTGTGAGTTTGCGTATCAAGGAAATTAAAGAGGTTCATTAAACGAAACATACCCTCTTTTCCCAGCCAGTTCTCGTCAAAAACTGCGTCGTCGTCTCTTCTGTTGGCGGCTGAGGTAACACATTCCTGTAGTGAAATACCGGTAGCCGACTATTTGGTGCATCACTGGTCGGGCCAAGCAGATAGCATTCAACAGAGAAAGGCATTTCAATGACACCGTTTTTACACCTCGGTATCCGCAAAGTCATTTGACTGCTTTCCAGACTACAAAGAAGCGTTTAGAATAAATTATACGGTAGTTCAAATGCCGATGTTCGTAAGCACCGCCAATCATGGGTGGCAATGTCTTTTTAGGTGGAAGTTCCGAGAAGAGGGGTTCGGCAATGCGGGCATTCCCTAAGTACTAAGGCAACATGTACATATTTGAACATTGAAGTCAAGTAGCAGGTCGCTAAATCATGTGCTCTATTGACTATACGAATACTACAATCATAAGCTTTTGAGAAAGATGATACTTAGTTATGTAGTAACTACAACACGACGAGAATAAGTCACAGGTACGACACGACGAGAATAAGTCACAGGTACAACACGACAAGAATAATCATTACAGCGAGGTACAAGATGTCTGGCTAATGTTGGTAAATGAAAGAGGTGAAACATTCTGAAGATTTCTGTAGTGAATTTCCCAATTTCCTGAATTCCCACTCAGATCCTGCCCTGGCAACAGCTCTGACACAGAGACAACCCGTCTCTATAATTCTCAATATATTCCCACCATCCTCCTTCCATCTCAGCAACTGCCCTGACGGCCCATTCCGCCCCTATAGCCGCATCTCAACGAAGACGAGCTGAATCCTTGACCCCAGCGTGGTCTCTGATCTCTTACCTCCTCCGCTCTTTGGCTGCCTTGATCTCTGCTTGAAGTTTAGGTCTCACAGTTTCCTCTACTTTGGCCATGGCTTCAGCATGACCTTTCGTTTTCTTCTGCCTTCATCTCGGCTTCGATTATTTTGTGAGCTATTCGATCAACCTCTATTTCAGCTAGCGTAAGTCTCTTCCTGAGCCTCTACTTGCAACATTGTCTTTTTTTCCTATACCTCTTTGCTAGGGCAGTTAAAGTATCCTGGTGGAATTGCTTCTGTAGCCCTTGAAGTTTTAATTCTTCTTGAGCCCTCTCTTGTTCGTTCTTCGATTCAGAAAGCTCTTTCAGCAGATGCTCTTCTTCAGGATAAGGCAGCAGCACGGGTGGACTGGGTTCTTTCGGGGCCGGAGATAGAGTCGCGCGGGAGAGAGCTTCAGTTGGCGGTAGAAGTAGAGGCTGCGGAGAGTCAGTTTGCTTCTTGGATAAATGTATGTAATTTGCTAACCGGTACAGAAACGTACTTTTTCAAATCTATCGTGGTTCAAGGCCTCGGATACTAGATCTGTAGAAGCTCCAGTCGGAATGCTGTTTGGGTAGTCAGTGTTCTCTGCATACTGCCCAGATCGCGAATGGCTGATGTCTTGTTCCTCATTGATGTTTGGCAAGTTTTCGTCATCTGTCAACTTCCCCTCTAGCCATTCTTCCCCAAGTGTTCGTGGCTCCTCCTGTTCCCCGGGTTCCGATAAGTCAGCAACAGTAGAGCCCAAGCTGTTGATACAGCTCCGTTCATCCCCATGATCATCTTCTATTGCACGCGGGATCGCAAAAATTGCGAGTTGCTCTAGATGTGCCGCCACATGTCTTTTGAACTGACTGGTGCGAACTAGTATACTCTTGCCTTTGGTTTCTCCGGATTGCGATTCATCTTTGGTCTGAAGAGCTACAGACCAATCGTCACAGAACGGGCAACTCTCGGCTTCGAGACTTACCGGAGCTCTTCTTCCAGCATCTTCCATGACTCGCATCTGATGTTCCGAAAACTGGCCATGGGAATTAAGAATATGTGATCTTAGACCAGATATTTCTGGGAACAGCTCACAGTCGCACAATGAGCACTCATACTGAGACTTGTGACAATCAAGCTCATGTTGAAACCACGAATTTCGGTCTTGGAAAGCCAACGAATCACATTCCGCACCTCCGACCGTGCAAGAGTAAGGCCTGAGGTCATGGAAAGCGTGCAAACTAAAGCGTATTAGATCTCATCTAAGTATTGTATTTAAAGGATCACACGTACCGCCATGAGCGCTCTCCCTTTATAGATCTCAGTGTAAAGCAAATGGGGCATTCAAACGCCTCGCCATCTTTCGAGAGATCGGCGAGACGAGGCAATGCGAGTGTTGAAAGCACATCTGTTGTAGTGGATATTGACAAGATAGAAACTACTTCGTCTTCATAATCGTCAACGGCGAAGTTCGTTGCCGCATGTACACGTATCTTTTCAGGATTCAGAGTGGTTGCTTTGCTGGACTGCATCACGGTTGTAGCACTTTCAGCTTCGATGTTATCGTCATCTAAGGCGAGGCGGTCCCTATGATCTCTGCAGTACTTGATAAATTGCCGGCGCCCCGCAATGGCCTTGCCCAGGCGCTCGGCGAGCCAGGATTGTTCCTTTGCTTTGAGCTTTGAAAACTTCTCCTTGACATGCTCAATGTCAAATGTAGGAGGAAAGGTGCATTTTGAAGAGTTAACGGCCCGCTCGAAGCGGTTGTCGGGGCTCGCTTTCCTGACGAGAACGGCAATTCGGAAGAGCATCCTTAGAGACTCGGAGATCAGCTCGAGATTCATGCGAATCTCTTCGGATGGCCCTGCCTGGGTATCACCAGGGCCATCAAAATGTTCCATATCCTTTTCGTCTTCCTGTAATTCGTAATTTGCCTGTCTCTTCTGCACAACTGTTGCCACTGATGGGACGTTAGATGTATGGTTTAGAAGGGCTATTTCAAGCATACCATCATCAATAGCTTCTAAGAGATAGTCGAGCTGCCGATGAATCTCATTCCGAATCTCTGGAGCTTCTGCGAGTCGGTACTCTATCGAAAGCTTAGAATTGGGCTCTCTCAAAGCCCCAAGGCTTCCGGCCCACAACGAAAATCTATCTAGAGCGTCTATTGCATCCCTAGAGTAAATATCATTCAATAATTCATTCTCCTCCAGGTGTTTAATAAAGCTTATGAAGCGCTTCTGCACCGTGAGGCTCTTTTGAGGCAGGGTTTGGGCTTGTTCCGTCATCGTCACTGCTCGATAGTGGTCGCGGCCAACTTTGAAGAGATGATGGCCGATTTCAACTTCGAAGGCAAACTCTTTCGATTACCCCTTTTATAGACAAGTCGTTACACGAGTTACACGAACAAAGAAATTTTTGTCTACTATGATTGGACACTTGAGCGTGTTGTGGACAATACCCCGCTTGGAAGGCGATACCTATAAAATCAGGGTCTCTTTGTTTATTCCCAGGCTCCTTGTTGCTTCCCAGCCTCTTTGTTTACATCCAGTGGTCACACGATTTCTCATGAGCTTTGAGTAGTAATTGTTACCGTTTACCTTCGTACCCATTCTGCAGCAATGTCCGCGTGGCAGGCTACTGGCGTGCTCTTTGGGGTGTTTCCCCTTGTCGTGGCCGCTCTGGAGAATCATCAAAAGCTAGCTACTCGTCTTAAGTTGTTTGCAAAGACGAAAACTGAGTACATGAAATGCAGAAACGAGCTCACACTTCAACAATTAACATTTACGAGACACCTAAAGCGACTCTTACTCCCACTGGTCGACAGTGAGAAAGTTCAGGAGCTCATTGATAGGCCGACAGGAGAAGCGTGGAGGGATGCATCAATGGTTGAACTTCTTGAGAAAAGGCTTGGAGACTCTTTTCAACTTTACCAAGAATACATCGAGGGTATGAACCACGTGATGGACGAGCTATATCATGAGCTTGCCTTGAACGATGAATCTGTGCAGTCAAAGCTTTTAGACGCCTCTGTAAGTCTCTTCGAGAACTTTTAGAATCGAACAGGTTTAAAACTTACTCTAGCAGAAGCGTCCAGCGACCGTTTCGAGAATTAGATCTGCTTTTGGCAAAGATGACTTGTCATTCCAGTTATTCAGACTTCATTTCAGCAATGGCGAGTCCGTTCGCTGTAAGCTCTTTGCAGAGCTACAGGCCTATAACGATAAACTCGATAAACTTCTCGATTCGAGCGACAAATTATCTGCTCTTGAACAACGAAAATTTTCACGAGAACAAGAAACGGCTATCGACAGTACTATTTGTAGCTTCTGGATTCAAGCAACTAAGCTATTCAGAGCACTCGTCGCAACATGGAACTGTCATTGCATAGAACATCGCACCATATTACCACTTCAACACAAAGCGACAAAGAATGTTGAGCTTGAGCTCCTCTTTCTAAAGTCTCTACCTTCATACTGGGAAGTAACAACAGCTCGTATATCGAATCGGGGAAATACCATTGGGGAGCCAGGTTTTGCAACGGAGACTATGAAAGTAGTTGAAACATTGCCTCTACGCCAGCCAAACCATCGATCCAACCGCCCGATTAAATCAGCAATGAAAAGCAGAGCTTCTGCTATACGGACAGAACTTTTAAAGTAAGGAGCCCTAAAACTTTGAGCCATATAAAGCTCGATGCTGATAAAGTCGCAGACCACCATCGATTACAATTACCGATGTCACGGTGAACCGGGGCCCAGGTCCTCATCAACCAATTTCCAATTTGTGCGACGATCTCAATCAGGCTGATGGATCATGCTGCGGTTATCTACCAACGGACGAACAAAACTGCCGGTACTTTGTTTACACTATTTCTTCTCAGTGCAGAAGCTCCGTCACATCCATCTCCCTTGACCACATCCTTCGAGGCGATGTATCTCCTCCCCCAACGCGGCGACAACGCTATGCTATATCACTCTCTTTGGCATCTTCTTTCCTTCGGCTTCTTGAAACCCCCTGGTTAACCTCCCCTTTCTGTAGGGAAGATATTACATTCTTCAGCGATCCTAGTAATAGCAATGTTTTCCTCCTCGATCAGCCCCATATCACACGCATGCTTGTTGCAACCACGTCCGAGGGTAGAGTTCCTGCAAGTTTAGCACAATCTCTAGACCAGTTCGGAATTCTATTACTTGAATTATGCTTTGGAAAACTACTAGCTGATCAACCCTTGAGAAAGAAATGGCGTGCTGGTGAGACTGAGGAGGAACAGGCGAGATTGGATGCCATGGCTGCGAGAGACTGGCAATGTGAAGTGGTTGAGGAGGCTGGCCCAGATTATGCAGAAGCCATTGCATGGTGTCTTGGTGGTAATCGGAGCACACCACCTGAGAAATGGAGGCAAAATATGCTGAAAAACGTATTGCTGCCACTGCAGCGTTGTCAGGAGTCTTTTACACCTAGTAGAATATGATTGCAGGAATAGCTACACCTAATTATTATTCTCCTCGATCCTCTTGAGTTCGTTGAAGTATTCGTATCATAAAGGGGCGAGTCAACATTGGTTGAAACGCTTGCGGCTGCTCCATAATTTTGCCTGCACGTTGATTTTTACATTAGAGACTCAATCATGGTAGGTTATGGAGGTGGTAAGGGTAATTCTCACTGCTACTCCGCGGATGGACCAGACTTTGCTAAAGTCTATAGAGTGGCGTAAGATGGTGATATAACTTGTTATCTGGATGTGGAAATAGAGCTTCGTATACCAACCCACCTTACCTATATACTTCATTGACCCACATCATTCGCCGCATTTGACATCGACACTCTAGTAGGCAAGAAGGCTTCAGAATCTTGAAGCACCATGAGAAGGAGTTGTGAAACACATTTTGGTAAAGAAACCTTCCCACTTGTTTCGGGAAATGTACCTATACACAATGGCGTTTTGCTTTCTGAAGACGTAAACATACACCACCCAAGCTAAGCAAGGGGTGATCCAACAGAAACAATTAAATTAACTGTCTCATAGTATGTATGCGGCAGCATGCACATGATAGCTGCCACTAACCGCATGGCATACCCCTCATTAGATAGTGAATATGATGTCTTCACTGGCTATAATCCTCCCTTGCGGGGCAGTACTATATCACATAGCCCAATTGGATTGCCGCGGTTGTGAATCGAGGGTGCCATGCGGGAGGCCCATTGGGAGGTCTACGGGGAGGCCTACAACATATCTGCGGATGGTTAGTAGATTACAACAATGTGTAACGGTTGGCAACAATGGATTTTGCATATAAAGCTCTCGGACTCATGCTACAGATCTGATTCGAGATCGGGGTAGCCAACACTTCTTTCAGTGCCCAGCAGACTCATCATGGTTCTGACACAGCTTGCATCAGCAAACTTGGAAGGGCTCTGCTCTAAAGAGCAGCTTGAGCTTCTCAATACTGTCGATTCTTTGCGATCTCAAGGCGTTAGTCACTACATCTCCTTGCCCCAAATAATTGTATGCGGTGACCAGTCCTCTGGCAAAAGTTCTGTCCTCGAGGCCATCTCTGGTGTTTCGTTCCCAGTCAGCACCGGGCTCTGCACGCGCTTTCCAACAGAACTTATCCTTCGAACGGCTTCACATACTTCGGTCAAAGTTTCCATCATCCCACACCAGCTGAAACGAGATAAGAAAGATGCTTCGTCCGATTTCCATGAACAACTGGACTCGGTTCAGCAGTTGCCAGACTTGATCGAAAACGCCAAGGCATATATGGGAATAAAGACCCTTGGCAAGGCATTCTCTAATGATGTGCTTCGCATCGAGATCAGCGGGCCGGATCGCCCGCATCTCACTATTGTTGACCTGCCGGGATTGATCCATTCGGAGACCAAGAATCAATCGGCCTCAGACGTCCATCTTATTACGCAAATCGTCAAGGGCTTCATGTCAAAGCAGCGAAGCATTATCCTTGCTGTCATATCTGCAAAGAATGACTATGCCAACCAAATCGTCTTGAAGCTCGCTCGTGATACAGACCCGAGAGGGTTACGTACACTTGGTATCATCACCAAACCTGATACTCTTGCTGCTGATTCCACAAGCGAGAAAAGCTACATCTCTCTTGCCAAAAACTTGGATGTAGTATTTCGTCTTGGATGGCATGTACTCAGAAACAGAGATACAGACGCAGACAAATGGACACTGGCGCAGCGCGATGTACAGGAGAAAGAATTCTTCTCCAAAAGCGCTTGGTCGGCCTTACCTGAGTCATCTCTTGGTATTGTATCTCTGAGAAGCCGATTGAGTAAACTGTTGTTACATCAAATTGCTTCGGAGTTACCAAGCTTGATGGATGAGATTTCCACCGAGATTGACGATTGTGAGACAGAATTGGGGAAATTTGGCCAGCCTCGCATAACCGCACAAGAGCAACGCATCTATATGATTCAGATCAGCCAATCATTCCAATCTCTTATGCAGGCCGCAGTTGATGGCACATATACCGATCCTTTTTTCAGCGACTCGGAACTGGAATCAGGCTATAACAAGCGCATCCGCGCGCTTATTCAGAACCTCAGCCGAGACTTTGCTAAAGAAATGGAAGATAAGGGTCGGTTTTATAAGACTGTGGACTCTCACAAGAAGGGTGAAAAGTCCAACGGCCACATGATGTTGACAAGAACTGAGTTTGTCGATAAAGTCGTCGACATGATGGCCCACAGACGTGGCCGAGAGCTGCCAAATTCCTTCAGCCCAGCTGTCGTTACGGATTTGTTTCGTGAGCAATCGAAACCATGGCAGGCTATTGTCAACCGCCATGTAAACAAAGTCTGGGGGGCAGCTCGAGTGTTTATGGATCATTTGATTTCACACATCTCTGATTCAGAGACAAGTGACGCCATTATGGACGCGGTTGTGAGGCCCAAGATGAAGGCAATACTGACCAGTCTCCTCGATAAGACTACAATCTTACTTCAGTTGTATCGAGACGATCATCCCATCACCTACAACAGTGATTTTGGCGAGGCTCTTCAGAAAATCCGTGTCAAACGACACTCGTCACAGATGGATGAAATTCTGCAGAGACACTTTTCGAGCGCTTCTCTTGACAGCACTAGTTCGCATGTGAGCGTATATGTCAATTTCGTAAGTTTAAAGCAAGAATTGGCACAGTGCAACGAGCCCGATTTGTATCGTTGGAGTGCTGCCGAAGCGCTTGACAGTGCCGAGGCATATTATGAGGTGAGTTTGTAAATCTTGACAGATACATGGGTCAGTCAACCAAATTAACAATTTTTTTTAGATCGCCCTTAGACGTCTAATTGACGAGATCTCGATTCAAGTCATTGAAACAGGTTTAATTGCTGAAATCCGCGAGATCTTGAGTCCCCTTGCCGTGGCATACATGGATGAGGATGAAATGGAGGCCATTGTTGGTGAGAAGGAAAGCATTCGTGAAGAACGCAAGAAGCTAGAAGCTAAGCTGAAGCTTCTTCATGCTGGCTCCGAGACATGCAAGAAGTTTTCTGGATTTCGAGCCTTAGGTACGCACATTTCTTGGACATCCTGATCTTGACTAATTGTGGCCAACTATAGTGTTTAATGATAGCAACGATGATGCTACCATTGCGGCGAGGCCTCAGAGAAGTGTTTGGTCTCCGGTAACCCCGGAGGAGCTGGATGAGTGAGAGCTCGAGCTCCTAGGTCATGTCAAAATGGGGATTTGAATAGCAAAAGAGAAAATGAGTCTCATTTAATTGATAGCTGTGTAGCTTTGTTTCTAACAATGTACCCACGATTGATGCTTTAAACTTGCCAAGAGAATTACTGCAGCAGATATCGCGTAATAATACTCTTGCCTGTTGTGCAATTTGTAAAGAGTAGGAATACTCCGCCTAGTGAGGCTCTTCGATGTCTTCCACAAGTCCTGACGGCTCGGCAAGATGGCAGGTGTACCGCCATACGAGCTCAACTACAAGCTGAGACAAGCGTGAAGTGTATGGTTTACACAACGATAATACTAAACAATTCTAAGAACAAACCATTACATTCAAGCTTTTTGTTTGGGCTTCAGTTTCTAGGTGAGGGAACTAAAAAGGGATGCCTTGACAGGTGTCTTTGATCAAATCATTCAACGCCCCAGCTATTTCCATACGATCCATAAACTCTCAAGGAACATCGTTGAATTATTAGAAAAATTATTTCATTAACAATCTGGTGACGTAATTGGCCATACACTAGCTGCTCACTCCAGCTTCAGTATTGATACGCATGTAAAATCACTATGACAATAATCTTACATCATACCTGTCCAACTTCCTTTCAACAAGATAAAGAGCACGTATCCAATGTACTAAATGAGCATTTACTTTTTCATCTTCGGGTATAGAACCGATCTCTTATTCTTAAACTACTATCATGGCACCGAATGTACAAGACAAGGAAGGCAAGCCAATCAAAGAAGGCGACGAAGTCTGGACTCCAATTCGAGGCGGAAAACGACGAGGAGAAGTAGAAAATGTTGTATACACGGAAGAAGAAGCAAAATCTGCAAACGTGAAACGCCCACCAAAGGTACCTAGCGCGAGCGGCTAATCCCAATACTTTTAATTCGTACTGCAAACATGCTGACCAGATGCAGGTGGTATTCACGGATCAACATGGACATGAAGTCGCACACAATCCAGAGGCACTACAGCATGTAGATGAATAAATACGCATTAATTGTGGTGATCGCTATAAAACTCTTGGCATAGAAGGTTAATAGGATGTCTATAGCAGTATATGGACCTTTCAGATCCTATACAACGAGATGTGCCTTTGGCGGTGTAATGGCTGCGCCTTTACGCCTCCGACTTCGCGATATTCAGCTCGTAAATATCATCTGGATCTAATTATAGTGTTAGCTTAGTATATATGGCTTGATTCAATGTAAACTTACCTTTTCCAAATTCTCCAATATACTCCTGTACTCTTGCCATTTCTTCGTTAATGCTTGACAACAGGCCCGATAATTTTTCATGAACGGCGTCGTTATGTATAGCTGAAGCATTCAATGCCCTTGAAGCCACATGGAAGCGGCTTACGTTGTTCACAAGCATCATGTCAAAAGGTGTCGTAGTGCTGCCCTCCTCCTTGTAGCCCTCAACTGTCATGCGATGCAACGCTGGGCGCCCAAAGAGAAGCCCCTGTAATTCTGTCGCGTAGCTATGGTAGTTGAAACACACGGGTTTATCCAGTGTGAATAGTTCTTCAAAGTCCTTTGGCTGGAGAGCATGTGGGTGGTGAGATTCGTGAGGTAAGACCAAAAGGTCGGTAACGTTGATGACTCTGACACGCAGCTCCGGTACCAGCTTAGCCAAAAGTTCCGCAGCTTTGATGACCTCAAATGTCACTTCGACGCCAATTCCAACAAGAACTACGTCTGGGTCTTCGCCGTCATACGTGCTTGCGAATTTCCATATTGAGATGCCTCGCTTGCAGTGCTGCATTGCGTCCTCGGTGGAAAGATAAACTGGAGTAGGCTGTTTAGACCCAATCATCAGGTTCACATAGTTTTTAGACTTGAGGCAGTGGTGCAAGGTGCTGAGGAAGCAATTCGCATCGGGGGGTAAGTAGACTCTTGCTGTTTCGGCCTTCAAGTTCAAGACTGCGCCGATGAAGGAAGGATTTTGATGTGAAAAGCCGTTGTGTTCTTGTCGCGCCCATGTACTGGTTTCAATGTAGTTGATGGAGCTTAGGTCTCCTCTCCATGACAGCTTGCGGCTTATCTTGGAGAACTTGGCATATTGAATCATCATGGTGTGGATGATTCCCAGGAATGACTCGTAGCTTGGGAAAATGGCAGTTCTCCCCGTCAAGGTATACCCTTGAAGGAACCCTTGACAACAATGCTCAGACAATATCTCAATGACACGGCCGCCTTGGGCACGAGAATATTGGTCCCATTGGAAGTTTCGTCCCGAATGATCCAACACGGCGCTGAGTTTGTTGCTTTCTAGTTCATCGGGTGAGAAGATGCGAAACGTCTTCATATTCTTCCTTGCCACGTTGTCGAGAAACTCGCCCGATTGTTGCATGCTGCTAGCTTGGCCAAATTCCTCGACTGCATGGGGTTCCCAATCCGGCAAATCGAGGCCTCGATAGCAATCGTACACAGCTTTAAGCTGACCAAGTCTCTTCTCTTCTTCTGGTGGCAGAATATCCAGGACATCTTTCGAAGGTTTCCCATCTGCCAGCAACTGATGCACCTCGTAACTCTTCAACCAATCCTGCAAGATCTGAAGGTGATTCTCGCTCTCGTTGGCCTTGGCCACCGGGACCTGATGTGCCCGAAATGAGCCTTCAATAATCTCATTGTCAACTGTTCGAGGTCCTGTCCATCCTTTGGGAGTCCGGAGGATAATCATCGGCCAACGAGGTTTCGTAATAGGACTGCCTCTTCTCGCAGCTTCCTGGATTTTCTTGACTTCTGACAAGGCCCAGAACAACGCTGTGTGTAATTCGACATCTATAAGATCCAGGTCTTCCACAATACACACCTGATAGCCGTAACCTGAAAATAACAGGATCAGCTCTTTGTTGTCCATGCACCCAAATATGGTCCGTTCACTAATTTTAAATCCGTTAACGTGAAGAATAGGGATAACTGCCCCAGATTCTGCTGGGTCCAGGTATTTGATGGAATGCCATGCTCTAGTATCTGTTAGTAAAAGGGAAGAACATATACAATATGTCTTGTGCATACGCTGCTGTAGGGCCAGTCTCGGCCTCACCATCACCAACAACACAGGTAACGATTAGGTCTGGATTATCCATCACAGCGCCAAATGATACCGACAGTGCATATCCTAGCTCACCACCCTCGTGGATACAACCTGGAGTTTCCGGATTAATATGACTTTAGGCATGTTAGTATTAGTCAATAGCTTTATATGCGTCGCCGGATGATATACCTCGGAAACCCTCCAGGAGTAGAGAACTTTGTAATTAGATTATGCAGTCCTTCCCCATTGGTTGGGTATTTGTCTGGATAGAATCGTCCTAGTGAGCCTTCAAGCCACAGGCAAGCCAATGCAGCAGGGGCCCCATGGCCGGGTCCAATAACGAATAGCATGTCCACGGAACTATCGCGAATGAGAAGGTTCAAATGTGACCAGATGAGCACGAGCCCGGGACACGTTCCCCAATGCCCTTGATATGGCAAGTCAGTTTCGTACAGTTAGAAGAGCAGGAATATGTTTACCTAAGAGCCTCGGCTTCACATCTTCCAGCCGAAGGTCACGTTCTAGAAGAACATTGTCTTTGAGGAATATCATAGCTGCTGGGCTGTTAGCAATACGCGTATAGCGGCGTGCGTTCTGAGAAGCTCTCCAAAGCACGTACCACTGGCGATATAGCACGCCGCCCGTTGGAACTCTCTCAGTGAGCACAAGTCATGGCTGTTTAATGGTGCTTTTGTCGGCTTTACGGCCAAATCTTCTGTTGAAGCCGGGAATTGGCTGGGCAAAGGCGGAGGGTTCGGTCGGTCGATAACTTCTCCAGCCATGTTGGTTTACTTTACGCAGCAATATGCTTTTTTCGGTTGTTTAGAAGAGACTGGAGGTATTGACAATCTGGCGACGATGTTGGTCTTCATATCACTGCTGGAAAACTGGCACACTTTGTCTATTTCGGGCCTGCTGTGGAGATGCCTGCATAGTTGATTAAACGATTTAAATCACCAAATGATGGCGACATTGCTCTGTCAGAACATCTTGGCTCTTCTTATCCATTAGCGATTTCATGACGTTGAGCGGACGTCATCCAAATCATCGCTCATCCAATACCGTCGCCATTGGTTCAAGGGTAGCAGGATTCTGCGCAATGTTCTGAGAAGCAAAAAGGAAGCATATTCATATGAAGCCCAGCATCTGCCTCCCAATTGAACAATTCGGCTGTGCTATCTTTATAAAAAGTTTCGTCTTATTTGGCTTTCTATTCATTGTCTACGGTATAGCTGAATTCATGCCAAAGTATTTGTTGCATTTTGGTGATCATGACGTGGCCCTTGAGATCATCATTACTTGCTGATCTGCAGCACTATATCCGCATACTATCACCAGTGGCTGATTGGGTCCAAGAAATACTCCATGTATGCAGACAACTGGACAACAACAAGGATTGAAAATCATCTATTTGCAAATAATCCTTTGATATACCGATTTGGTACAAAATGGCATATAGATCTCGTATACAGGAGCCATTTACCATGCTATGCAAGAATCACAAAGATACCCAACCAAAAGATTTAAAAGCCGATGACATACAAACAAAAGGCGTTCACCCAGGTACCGTTGATTGATACAGGACAACTTTTTGCGACCGGCCAACTAGTTTGAAGCATCTGCAGGCCCTCGCTTTGATGGAATTTCGGAGCCCATCTTGCTAATGCCTCTCGTGTCATGATATCCTTCGTGATCCTGCCGACTTGCAGTTGCTTTGCCTCCACCACCCAAGATCGAACTATGCAATCTGAAATGATCCGACTTACTTGAGGCTTCGCCGCCACCAACACCGCCAGTGGGCAGCTGGACCTGGTCACGCTGAGGATCTCTTTCGGATCCCGAAGGTGCTGCTGAATTGCTTGGGCCGCCGGTCATTCTGTTGCCCCCAACGCCTGCGCTTCCCAACCCGAGTTCACGGATATCTTGAGCCTGGTTTCTCCTTAGCTGCGCATTATTCGCTGCTGATTCGTTTTTCCGTGTGGCATAATAAATGACACTAATCATGCCTACACCGGCGATTGTTGTCATTGCGAGTCTCTGTCTAGACATCTTGTAGTAGTGTGATGGTGATTTTTGCTAGGAGAATGAATAATCGGGAAAATGATGATAAAGAGTCACTTAGATCGCATATTTGTGATTTTAGGAGCATATATAATATGTTATGTTGATCATTATAGAAAGTTCATTAGTCAGAGTGTGATGTAAATAACCGTCCTCGATGACGCATAGGCGAAAATGAAAGTTTGACAGAGAATGAATTATGTTATAGTGATTCACCACTGACGTGAACGATTTCCGGCATTGATTCATCGAAGGGATAAAGCATACAGGCAGCGTTACAGCTATTGATGTCTACTCTACTTTTTCACAGCGTATTGGCCCTTCATCAAAAGCGCTCTAATTGCCACTCCGTGAACATTCTTTCACTTCAATGGCTTGAAAACATTCCCATGCTGAGTATTAAAATAAGTATAGAGCTTTACAGTCGTTAATATATCGTCACTTGCATTTGCTGGTACCGTTACTTGCGAATGTTCTTAAATTAGTACCCATTGAACACCCATTTCGAGAATTACACAAGCTAGGCAACCCCATCCTCAATTGCCTTTAGCTGCTGCCGCCCATACATCTTTTGCTGGGTTTCAAAGATCTCCAGATTCTTGACTATATGCTCTATCCGCCTTCGTTCTTTGTCATCTATCGCCGTATGATCAATAGATGTGTTTCTCTTTCGTCTTCTGCTATTGCGTTTATCTGTCTCCGAAGCTTGTGCGCCACTCTTCTCGTCATTCGCTCTCTGTTCCATTGTAGAAGTATCTGGAGCAGCAGTCTGGGCGATAAACGTATCTAGCCGTGGCGTTGGTGTTGGTGACCACAATGGATTGTTCGGCACATCGTTGTCACAGCTAGGTTGCTCCCAGTACAGGTTCTCTGCCCATTGTTCAGCTTTTATCTTTTTATACAAATCTGCATCTAGCATATATGCTGTTCCCGTACCAAATGAGTAAGGATCGGTTGGCTCAGAGAGCTCGCTCTTTGCAGGCACGCATTGCTGGCCTAGATATGAGTCGACAGGATCTGCCATTCTTCTCTGTTCGCTGTATCTATATCTCTCGCGAGTGTTGAGGTGAGCTGGCATATTTAAGCTGAAATCTGGATTTATCTGCCCAGTGGCCTGCTGAGCATGATTTCCTGTAGCCAGAGGCAGCTCCCAGTCTTCCATTCGTGTTGAGGCAGATTAGGTTTATATGACTTATATAGTTGTGTACCGTTTATTATTTAACACAAGTCTAGGAATTGATACGATGGCGCTCGTAAGCATGAGAGCTGTCGCGTGTTGTTCCTTCTTTTATATATCGGCGTGTCTTCGATCTTCTTGTAATTGGAAGGGTTGCCAATATACTATTAACATGGCGCCCCTGATTCGCGGATCTTACATTCCATACGCCACGCACTCTCGATACGAATGGAGGCGATATTGATGTGTTAGTGTCTTTCGTGTCCGCACGTTCAAACATTCCTTTTGCGTGAGGCTGCATTCTACGAAGAATCTGACGCACTGGCTGCGGCTTTCATCCACCAATCCATCGCATTTATGATACTAACATTTGCTAGCTATAAAGGATCACCCATGAGCCTATGGGTAAATAGTTGAAACATAATATCCCAGATAAATCATTGAGTCCAATAAACACATCAGGCAGAACATTTCAACTCTGAGAGATCATTCTTAAGATTGCCTCTGACAAGAGCGCAAGTGGCGACGGGTTGAGGCGTAGATTTCGTCATGATTGAGCCATGCTAGAAAGCCCCCTGAGCCAATCCGGTCCAGCCATCTGAAGCCACCATTTAACTTATGGCAAAATGTGAGAAATCGATCAGGAGCTGCCTCAAGGAAGGGTGTGGGTGGGTACAGCCTCTTTTCATTAGACTACAAAGGCAGATCAGCTACTCTTTGGTTGCTACCCTTAAGCCCGACAAGCCCGTGAAGGTGAAGCAGTAAATTCCACGCTTTCTGTATCCAAGAGAAAAAAACGTGCACTTGCTGAGGATAAAGGCACTTGGACGGGATTTTTACCGTCGGAATCCATAATATTGGTTAATACTCGAAGAGTGGAACAAAATGTCGAAATGCTGTAATCTCACATGCCAACTATTTTCCTTCATGAAGATCAAATCTTGACGTCACGTTGAGCAATATGAATCTCAACATCTACGCCATACCTACGTATAGCGATGTAAAGCAAAGCATCATGGGGTTGGAAGAGCTCAGACTAATGGAATATTCCCACTCACTTATTACCATTTATTTCCTGAAATGTATCTTTGCGAGATGTAAGCAGGTCTACGGTGAGATGACTGCCCAGTGTGAATCCGCATAACATTCTTTATACATTTTTGTCCCTGGACACAACGAAGCGGTGTTTTATTCATCCGTTATTCTGCAGAATTATATTATACTACTCCAGCGATTCACGGCTGCTTCCCCAATGCTTGCCAGCGCCAACACGTCGTCCATAATCGACCATGAAGATGGTCCTCGAAGCGTGGACAACGATGAGTCATGGATCTTGTTCGTCTCAGGGCCTACTGGATCGGGCAAAAGTTCAGTTGCGAAATTTCTCGCCTCAAAATTAAACGCTCGCTTCTTAGAAGGCGATGATGTGCGTGTTTCATGAATTGACTTTTAAATGACCAGAAACATGAGGCTGACGCCATCAACAGCTCCATCCTAAAGCCAACATCGACAAAATGCATAAAGGAGAAGCTTTGACAGATTCAGATCGCCAGGGGTGGCTTGAGGCAATCAATGAGCAAGCGTCATCATACAACAAGCAGCCGTCCCAGCACCACCACATGATAATCACATGCTCTGCTCTGAAGCGAGCCCACAGGGACGTCCTGAGAGAAAGCTGTCAACGAGCTGGGTATTCGCTCGTACATTTCTTCTTTTTAGACGCGCCCGAGTCTGAGCTGCACCGGAGAACAGAGGCTAGACAAAACCATTTCGCAAAGGCGAATCTTGTTCACAGCCAATTCGATGTGCTAGAGCGCCCGAGGATCGATGAATACGATGCTACGATTATCAGCGTAGTGCCGTCGCTGGATGAAGTGCAGAGTGAAGCACTAAAGGCAGTAACACGACTTTTCAACAAAGAATCATGAGTGCATAGTGTTCTATAGCTCTGACTCTTCTGCAATCACTCATCGCAATGACCAAGCATATTGGCATTTTAATACAGCATCACGATTTATAATGATAGCTACAAGTCCATACAATGACTTTATATACTTCCCAAGCGTTTCTATACCGTCTATAAATGTATCGCATTTTGTTGTGCACTGAAGCGCCCGCACTATGCTGCTCTAGCTGCGCTGTCTTAAATCGAGACGTCTCAGTCTAGTTGTGTAAATGTATGTCTATGTGTAATCTTTGTATTCTGATTTTTTCTTGGATTTTTTGTCAGAATCTGCATAAACAAGGAAACATCGGCTTCCACATACCTAATACCAATCCGAAATCTATTACGGTTCGTTTCCCGGCGTCTTCGCTCGCAGCAGCCTGTAGGAGATGTCAAGTTGTAACCCTCAGTTGCAGCTGTCTAAATCGCATCAATGCTGCCATGTCGTCAAGGAAGCATTCGTAGTTGACTTCATGTTGTTGTAGATCGATCAATAATCATGAAGGGGGGGCGGGGGTAGCAGTACAGTGAAAGCCCCCAGTTCCTTACTTCGATCTGGGGTTGTAATGAGCCTTATATACATTTTGACGGTCAAAGTAGAAAGTCAAAGTAGAAAACTAGATGCCTTCAGCGAAAATGCACTTGTTCTAGTGTGTCTAGCTAAATAAAATAGTAATTTCATTATTTCTTGGAAATGACGACGGCATTCTTGAGACAATTGTTCACTTATACGTGATATTCCTCATCGCTATACCACCAACAGTGGGAGTGGTTCAGGTCAACACTCTCCCAGTCATAGTCAACTTAATGACATCAAACATAGATAAGACTTTATTTGTCCCTTGGTTGAATAATTCAACGTACTGATCATGTTCGCCACCCATTATGTCATTTCGGTTGGTTAGACTACAGAGCAGGATTATGGACTCTGTTTCAACACCGTCGGACAGTTTAATATTACAACGTCCGTGTTATCAAATACAACCAACAATTCCAAGTATTCGCCAAGTTCAAATTTCTCATCTTCCCGTCATCACTTCTGGTTATAACTCGGCGGCGTTTTATTCCCCCTCTCCCTCCAAGCATGCCAACACGAATCAGCATCTCCATGAATCTTCGGAGAAGCAATACTCTTCCTCGCCTCCCTCTTTTCCCTATAATTTGTCCCAAACCTCTCGTCCCGCTCCTCCACCCTCCCAAAGTCCAAATGCCCATCACTCGTATAACTCATCATGAGCTGCGGCTCCCCCAGCGGAAGCTCATCCCCCCTATCCGTCTGCCACAGATGGTACGCTTTCCCGTACAGCGTGATGATCTTTTCCATCTCCCGCTTCTCTGCTAATTCCCACGCTGCTTTCGGCACCATGCGGTTAGGCATCACCAGCATTCCCGATTTCACCTCGTATACGTGGGAATGCCATAGACGGCGCTCATCAGCGGGTAGAGATTCATAACGGTTTGCTGTGATCATGTACTCTATGCCTATGATCCGTGCGTTGGGTTCTGGAGAGTCGTATAATATACATTGACGAACCTCATCATCTATCATCAGTCAGTATGAGTACATGTATCCTTATCTCATCAATTAATATCCACGAGGTTACTACGCACCCAACTGGCTGCAATAGTGATTCGTTTCGACAGACCGCATAGGGTCATTTGCATAAGCGTGGAAGGCGTTAAGATGTGCACATATTTGCTTAACCGGCTTAAAGTCCTATTTCTCTAGTCAAAACATCATTCACGCAAAAATGTCATTGAATTCACCTGTGTAAAGGATGCCGCACTCGAAAGCACAGTGTCTTCTTTAGGCAAAAGATCACCCGGAGCTTTGTCGTGTGCTTCCGAACCCATTTTCGGTGTCGAGTCCAATAGAATGCCGAGCTGTGATTATGGAATGCAAAAGGTTGATTCAACCCAACCTGCTAGTGCAATTGGGAACTGAATCTTGTCTATATATACAGATCACTGAAAAAAGCTGGAGGAAGGGCGTTCATGACGTTGACGAACCATCATCCATATTTATAGTCCGCGATTTAGCGCATGGTGATATCACACCACGTCCGTCGTTCCACAGCTCGTCGTTCCACATCTTACAAAATGTACGCACTGTATGTTTGTATCATTGCCTTTTATAGTTACCTCGCAAATTAAGCACTAAAGCGGCTCAATCTGTCGAATATCATAACCTAAGATATGGCCGCCGATCTGATGAAGCAAAAACAGTGACCCGCAAGATCAGCATATCGAATGGGACCATCAACATCATGTACGATGTAACTACAGATACTGCCATGAACAGCAACCATCACAATTAAGACTAAACATTGTAATATCTCACACAATAATACAATCCTTCAAGTGTCCTTTAAATCACCATCATCTGCAATCTCACATATATATATCGACCATATATATATATACAAACACAACGCTCCGCCAATCCAACCTCTCTCATACGCCATTAAACAAACAATCAACAAGTAAAAGATTAAGAAAAAAAGAATGAAACGCTAATCCCACCCATCTTCTTCCCTCCCCTCCTTTTTCTGTAACCCATAGAATTTTCGCCCCGGCCCTCCGGTTTGATATGCTCCAACACCAGTTTTGTGTTTTGACAGAATAAAACAGTAAAAAGCAAATCCATAACAGAAGAGTGCTGCAAACAATATGTAGACAATAGGTGTGTTCTCCCCATATATCGAGTATATGTACGTATACCCCAGAAGCATAGGTAGCGGCGTGGCCATTGGTATTAAAATTACAACTGTAACATGCTTTGGGTAAAGCAAAAAGGTAAGACAGTAGACAGGGCGTACAGATATAACCCTAAAGCCGTTCAACCAGTCGTCTTGGATCGTGACTGAGACCAGCTTAGCCTCTTATTTCTCAGTGCTTCATGATGCATGTGTTCCGACGTTGGAGAAGCAGCAGCCTCTTCCTCATTCATTTCCTCAGGCTCGTCAGTCTGCACTGCAGCAGGTTCTCGGTGGCTCATCCTCTGCGTAAAAGCGGTAAGCTTGTCCCTCAGACCAAACCCTCCGCTGCTAACACTGGTGGGCCCAGGATTCTTTTTGCGGTCAGTCATATCGACATGTCCAGCGCTGGTAGAGGGTCTTGATTCGCTGCCGCCGGACAAGGTCCTCATAGCATGGCGATGGGATCCTACTCCCTGGCTGGAGGACGGCCTGAGAAGCTCAATGGCCAGGCTGCTGTGGCCATCACCCCTGCCGGTAGCGTCTACCGGCGTTGGGGGCGTCATTGTCAGGTACGATGGGACCTGGGGAATATTTTGAGCAGAGGCACTTGTCAAATGAGACCTACTGCTGGTGATGCTGCTGCTGCGACTTGCAGATCGCGGAGCCGGAATGCCACTGCGAATGCTGCTGCGAGTAGACCGCGGAGGCGAACGTGAGTAGTCTATCGGCGACGTACCGTACATACTTGCCGAGTCATCGCTATCGTGAATGCTGGGTGTGTAATTCTGCGACAGGCTAGAAGACATTGGTGAAATGAGAGCAGAGCTGCTTGCAAGTTCTCTTAGCCTATTCCGCTGCTCTGCGTTGGGCTTGTGCTTTGAGAACTTGTTTCCAATAATAGCACCGGTATGTGAAATCAGAGCTCTCACGACGGCCTTCTTCAGCGCCAAAGCGAGATCCAAGTTTGACCAAGTCTTGTTCTGCCACTCAATGAGAGGCAGGCGGAACACAAAGTTGTGAACGTCTTCAAAGTTGCGTTGGTCTTTGCCCTTGTAGCTGAGACACAGCACAACGGACGGTATCTTGATATGCGCAAACGTTATGTAGTTGTTGGCTCGCTCAATCATCTTGGTGAGATCATCAGACATTTGCTTGTCGTCGGTGTTATGCCTGCTTCGTAAGCCGAAGCGTGTAGACTTCTTTGAATCCGAATCCCGGCTGTCTCTGGAAGAAAATCCAGTTGAAGACCGACCAACAACACCGGGTCGTGGAGTCGCCGTCAATGGTCGCAAAGACTCAATCGAAGACTTCTTGCCCAGTGTTCGTGAAGTGCCTGAACGGAAAAGTCTGAAATGGCCGCCGCCCTCGCCGTTGTTAACGCCCAGGGTCTTCTTCGAAGTTCTTTCCTCTGCGACGCCGGATGATAGTGTCGGCTTAAGACGCAGCTCGAGCGAACCCGGACGGGTTGAGAATGAAGTATCCAAGCTTGGCGTACCGGTCCTGCTGATTGTGCTCTTGGGGGACGCGTTTCCTTCTTCATCCGCCTCATTCGAATCGCGTCGAACCACAATGGAAGGATTCGTCTTGGACTCATCTTCTGCCTGCTCCATATCCATACCGGGGAAGATATATTCGAACAAGCGTTTACCGACTTCGCGTTCCAGTTGAATCTTGATGGGAAATAACTCTATCTCGAACTGGTCCATAACGGGGATACCTGCTATGGCCTCTAACATGTACCAGTAGACCCGAATCATGTCGGAATCGCCGTCGCCGTACCGAGTACCTGGCCTCTCGCCTTCGTGATATGGAGTTATTATCTCCGGGTATGTCGCGTCCGGCAAAAGGTTCAGGCCAAGCAGCTTTCCAACGCGAACCAGATTCATATGGGAGCCATCCGAGTGATCGGTGCGGTCGTACTCTAAATTCTTAAGTTGAAGTTCAACCAGCGGCTCATTCGAATCCTGCATGAGGTGCCAGACAATGTCTCTCACAGAGATGCTCCATTTCAACAGCGCGTCAGAGCGTGTATTGTTCTTTTCGAGTCGTCTCTGCGAACTCATGATGGCCTTCATCATGAAGAAAAGTTCATCCTCAGAAGCGGCCAGGTCACGCTCCAGGGCCAAGCGATCTTCCCACCCCTTCTTGTCCAAATGCAGGGAGTAAATCTGGAAATGCGATTTGATTTCCTCCATCTGCCTGATGCGGTCCTGCAGTTTCATCACCATCTCTGGAATACCGCTCAGGTCACTAAAGTCAGACCCGAGTATAATCTTCTCCAAGCGCTCATTCCTCGTCTTTTCGAGGGGCTCGCTGTACATGAGCAGATCAAGCACGATGACATACACCGCGTAATACTGCGATGAGTTACAGAGAGCGCGAGCTTGCGGGAATTCCACCCAGAGGTTATCCACACGTTTCTCCGTGGGCTCTTCGGCGGTTTCGTCTGTGTTTTCACCACCAACTTCGTCGTTATACTTGAGACGCAGATTGTTGTACTTGTCATACCGAAGCATGGCTGAAGTTTTCTGCACAACACGCTTGAAGCCGAATGGGTCGGTGCGGAAGTCAAACATGACCTCCATAGGCACCCATGGCGGCCACGAGGAACCCGTGGGCGTGCCATACTTGCTGCCCGCATACATGGATACCAGGTTGGTGAGGAACCATTTCTGATGCGTGACGAAGAACTGAGTGCTGTCCATGTTGACCAGGAATCGGCGTTGAACAAGGCCGCTGACTTGGTCCGCAATTCGCGACTTGTCCATGACTTCCACCACTTTCAGTTCCATTCCTTTTGAAGTAACCAAAACAACGTGCTTCTTGTTCTTTTCGCTCTGTAGCTGAATTTGCGGCGCGATAAGCCGCACATGATAACTGCATTGCGGGTTGAATTCGTCTGATATACCACTCTCCAAATCTTCAAGGGAGCCTTCCACAACGCCATTGGCATTGAGAGCAAAGCCTGTGCTCGTCGAGAATTTCCGCCCATCCGCCAAGATGCCTTTAATTCGGTCTTCGAGGTCTGTTGCGGCGTCTTTTTCATGAGTTGGAGTATCTGGAGACGTGGGAGTCCCGTTGGCAGCCGATGCCGGCTCTGAGTTCATGTCTTTCCCCATCCTAGCCTTTGTCTGCTCGTCTACCATGTCCAGAATGAATTTCACTGCTGGTCTGGATAGGTAGTATATAAAGCCACGTCGTTGGCTACTCTGGTGGACATATCGCAGCACAATGTTACGCAACAGGTTGTTCCATTTCAGCTGCATATTGTGAATCACGAAGCGGTTCTCAAACTCGCTTTCAAACTCAGCATTGGAGGGTATGGAGGGCATGTCCATGTGATCACTCGGTGAATCCACGGAGCCTTCAGATCGATGCGTGCTGGCCGCTCCGCTTGACGCATGGCCGTTGGTCGATGCTCCGGCGTTCATTCGCTCCAGCATAGTCTCAAGGAATGCCCTCTTGTCCCGAAGTACATTGGAATGCTGACGAAGGGTATCAAAGTCTTCCAGAATCTCGTGGTCCTTGGAATCAGTACGTATCACTTTCAACTCAGCCTCGCCCACATGCCGGATGTGTGCCCGGATCTGTTCATCAAGTTGAGCTAGACGCTCTTTGATTAGATGCGCCTGTACACTCTTTGGGTCGTTTTCTTCACTCATGGTACAAAAATGTGTGGGCTCGTTTCCAAATGGGCTTGTTCTCGTAGGATCTCCGGCAATTATACCCCCAATGTCGGTTTGACGGAAGTAAGTTAATCGAGGGATATAAGCAAGAGGCAGAATCTGGGTCTCTGGATGAGCTTCGGTGGGTAGAATCCAATCCAACTCGACAAAATCGTCCATATCGATCCAGCTATAATCTCCGTCGGGGATTGTGAAGCGAGATACATCCGGCTTCTCATCCTGATCGAGGGTGAGATGTGAAATTGATCCCTTCTTGATGGCCTCCGTCGTGGTGCCATACAAACTGGCAGAGACGGCTCGAATATCCGCGCACGCCAAGTCCAAGTGTGCTGCATGGAGCTTGATTCCAGTGATTCGACTGGGCGAATTCTTGGTCTTGGCAATGGTGTCGAACTCTTCTCGACGCTGATGAAGATCAAGCATGAAGCTATCAAACCGAACTTTCAGGCCAGTTGCAGAAACGGCGTTCTCGGAGTAGTCCTCGGCATCTTTGTGCTTGTAAATGTGACTCAGGAACAGCGGAGCAAACAGGAGGTTGTACTTGACAGTCGCCAAGTGTCTCCCGAATTTCTTGCTATTCTTTTCTCTCCCAGGGAATAGGCTACCCTGCCGAATAGGAAGCGACATGGGTCCGCTGAAGAGTCCCCACCAAGCGAAGAAGTGCGTGAAGAAGCGAGGAGTAAGATGGATCGTGTTGTAACTCCGCGAGGGTTCAAGGCTCTGCGACATCCATTCGCGATCAGCCGGTGCACGCACCGCAATTGACAAGTGAATGTGACGGCTCCTGAACCCGCGCATAGCATCATAAGGGCATCCATTCTCATCGGGCTCAGCAAAGAGCGGGTTCTTGAGAACAACCTCGTAGTGAGGTTTGAAGTCAAAACTTCGTCTGCCGTCCTCAATTGCACGCTCAAATACGAGGCCAGCGAGCCATTGCACTCTGCCGGACAGCTTCATGACGACTTTCTTAAACTGAGCCGGACCGCATCTTAAATGGTCATCCGCAAGTCGACTACTATCATCATCTCGAAGTCGGGCAGCTTCCCGCACCTGCATGCTGTAGTCCGGAATGGCAAGAATGTATTCGCCACTATCCACAGTCATGAATCTCTTGGGGTTATCCTCTGCATTGATATTCCATTTAATGTCGTTTCGCCAGCACATGATGAAGCCCGCACCATGCCCAGTTACCTGGTATGGATCGCGTGTGCCCTTCATGGCAAAATGCATATCGCCGTCCTCTTTCCAGGCAACATGGATGCGCGAATGGAAGTTGAGTCGAAGTTTATCCCAAAACCCAACTCGTTCAGACGGATCGATCTGCGGCTTGGTAAATGATTCAACGACCATCATCATGTCCTGAATTGCTGGTTGGTAGCAGGGACCCCATGTAATCCTCGTGGGAAGAGCTGTGTTGATGTCCATGTAGACATCCGAGAAAGATTTGACAGGGCCAATGGTTCGCCTCACTTCAATCGCAAAGCATCCCTCTTTAGATGCACCCGGATCCGAGCTCTTGGGGGGGATGATGTTCACGGGAACTCGCCGTGAGGACTCCAGTCCTCTAAACTCCTCGGCCAAAACAAAGTTCGTTCTCAAAGAGACAGCTTGCAGTCTAGAAGACTGCCCAGCTTTCAGCCCCGGGATGTGTAGCAGTGGCAGAGGGTAGTCGCGTAGCGAGCAGCGGGCTTCACCCATATCGACGGAGATATGCATCGGCACCAAGAGGCTGTATTGCATATCTTTGGGCATTCCTTTGCCGACTTTGTAAATGAAGTCGGGGAGATCTTCAAGGGGGAACGTTGGCTTGTCAACGGCAATGTGGAGATTGGAAATGTAAGTGGCCATCAACGCCGGTCTGGGAGCAACCTCCAAGATGTTTTCCGTCTCTTCAACGTCGCTCGGCATCTCGTTCTGTCCCCAGAATAGGCCGCGCAACTCTTTGACACCATCTCGAGATACCTGATAAGCCCGATCAATCCTCTTTTTCCATGACTGAGCATTGAACATGTCCAGATGGAGGCGCGCTTCCTCTACTGAAACTTTTGCATTTCCGTTGATGCCCAGGGTTTCGCTTTCAGGGTTATATCTCGGCATGGCGCTGTGTCGACCCTCGCGACCCCGTTCGTCTTGCTTCGTGGCATCGGAGCTTCGGCTACGGAACCACGCAGATGAGGAGTTTTCTGTCCTCCCACGAGGAAAAGCAGATCGAGAACGATTCTTGCCATTAATCCCCCGCTTCAGTTCCTCTTCCCGCACCCGATTTAGCTTGATGCGGAATGCCTCTTCCCTGGTAGCCCTCTGTATCTGCTCCATACGCCCTGCCCGATAAATCATGCCCAGCTTCCATTCGAATGCGCCATCCTCCATCTCGAAAAGGAAGTTTCGTGATCGAATGGATATTTTCGGAACAGTTTTGGGACCTTCAGGCTTCTTCTCCAAGATGTACTCGTTCGTTCCCGTTTTGAAGCGGTGCTGCAGCTGCTGCACTGCTTTAATCGTGTTGATAATGTTATCGGTAATACGGTGAACAACGACCTCGTGCGGAATGCCGATCCGGATCGCTTCAGCAGATACGTCGATAAGCTTCTCTTCCTTGTAGTCTCCCTGGTTCGACTTGTGCTTGGACTCTCGCAGGTCAAGGCGTCCATTTTTTATGCTAACCATTCGCGACCATATATTGCGCATGCGTGGAGATGCAACGTACAGGCGTATTAGCTTAGACGACAGATACGGCGTAGACCACCTCTGACGCCCGGCATCCACACTATAGATGTGAAGCATTATCATGGGGTCATGTGGTAACTCCGCCTTCACCTGAATCAAAGCTACTTTCACGTCAATGACTACGGAGTCTGTGATTGTAGAGGCCGAATCTGCAGAAGAGAATCCAGAGGTGGTGGGAGGGACTAGAAGATCCGACTTTGGTGGACCTTGCTGTGAAGCCCTTGGCGCGTCACCAGTGGTTCTCATGAAGGCCTGTCTCACAGTCTTCATAGCAACACCTACAGCGTAGTGTCGGTAGAGTGAATACTGAACCATGATGGAACGAATCGAGGACTGGATATGAAACAGCGGGCCATGATTATCGCTTGACGCAGAGAGTGAAAATTCAAGGCGAGGCACGTTGATGAAAGGCTCCAGCTCAAGCTGCTCAGCGGTTTCGATGATTTGAGCCTCAATACCTCTGGCATTGAACACCAGACGACTACCATCGCCGATATTCTGGGGCTTCTTTCTCGACCTTGTCGGACTCGTAGAGGCGAAATCAGAGTCTGACTGAGTGAGGGATCGGCTGTGAGTTCGTCTCCTGAGCATCCGTCTCTGCAAGCCGTCCAGTCTTTGAGCACGATACTCGGCCGACATGCCGTCAAGATGCAGGGATATGCCTTTACTATCATCGGATATTTGTTCGTCTACACCGGCAATCTCAATGTTGACATCATTTGCCGTGATTTGATAACGGAAAAGCCATTCAGGGACCGATCTTAGGAAGTTGGGATGCCTTCTTGACTTGGGCTTGGCTCGCTTTGTTGGCTCGACATCGGTACGTAGCTGGCGGACAATCTGACGAACGCCATCTGTGATTTCCGGCCGTACCATGCTGACTGAGAAGGACTGAATGTTGCTCGTGGCATCGACAGAAACTTCGGGGTTGGCTGCCAAGTGGACCTTGAGGTCGAAAGATTCAGTTGTTATCAAGTCAAACCTCTCGCCAGATACAGCTTGATAGTATAGGTGGTGGGATTGCAGCCGCATTGCTCCATCCAGAGAGTAGTGCAAGTCTTCAAGCGGTGAATGAGATGATTCAGCGTCAAGAGCAACAGATGAGATTGATGAAATGATGAGACCGTAATCATCTGGGTCCTCTGTCTTGCCGAGAGGCTTGAGCTTGATGCGGAGAACAGGCTCGTGCATAGTAAACTTAATACTCGCCTTGGGAAGCAGTCGGGAAAGGAGATATTCCTGCTGCTGCCTTTGTTCCGTCTTTGGAGGCTTTGGTCTAGATCGCATCATTGCTATCAAGAGGGGCAGGTGTCTTGGATCAAGATCGATAGATGGGGAGGTGACGACAGAGTTGGCGAACAAGATATTGGCATTCTTGTCTTCAAAGCTATCCACCTGAGAAAACTGGATGGTCTTGGAAGGCAAGGTGGTTCTGACCGTCGTGGTAGCCATGGGGATGTACACAATCCGCTGCGGTTTACCGAGGCCATCGTCCATGCCGACCGAGATGGAGAGGGCAGCCACCAGCGCTTCGTGGGCGATGTCCGTGGACGGGAAGTACATGCGATGTGCGGGCGATTTTGGATCTAGGCGATGCAGGTCGATGCCAACTTCCTTCATGGAAGCAGTGAGGTGCACGGGTTTCGCACAAGGGTTGACAGACTCAACCTTTTTGACGAGGCCGACAAAGCTAACGGCAAACTGAACTTCTTTGATGCCTCGCAAGATGGAGCTGAAGAATTGCTTGGAGTCTGAAACAGTCTTCATCAAGTGCTCATTCGCGCTGCTGGGAGTTCCATCTTGCACTTTGCTAACAAAGATGTCCACGGGGTCATCCAAGCTGGCAACCTTTGTCTTCTTGCGAGACAGCTTGAACTTGGTTGCACAGTGGTGCAACTCGTCGTACGGAATCTGGACCCTGCCGAGCTTCAAGGCAACGGTCGCATCTCGGAGGCCCTCCTGTGACGGATACAGGTACCCGTGCACGTTTAGCAATGCATGGTCGAGGATCTGGAGGGATTCCTTGCCATCCACGGCGAAAAAGACACTCCGGACGGTCAATATCCATTCGGCCTCAGCGTTTTCCATTGAAGAATCGGATCGGTGGAAGAAGAATCGAGCTCGATCAGCCATTTTGTGTCTCGTATCCACGGCAAGCGTCAAGCTTCCAACCTGAAGGCTGCCCACATCGACCACGTTGATGACCGAGTTGGTCACGACGACATCCACCAAGCGCAGCCATTTCACGCTGTGGTGCAACTTTTTCACCTTCTCTTTGAGCTTTTGGAGGCGTGACCACGTCTCGGCCTCGGATCTAGATTCGGTTTGATCTGGAGGAGGCAGGTCCAGTAGCGGGTCTATTTCCTCCTCCTCCGCATTATCAGTCTTTCGATCCACACTTTGTGGTGTCTCGTCCGTGGCAGGCTTCCGCTCTTCGAGTTTCTTAATATCGGCGGTCACGGTCAGGTCGCTGAGAACTATGCTCAACCACGTGGGTTGCGCAAAAGTCGGACGATGAATGTTTAGGCCCAGGCCGCGAATCTCGATCTTGATGCCATCTCTGGGTGAGTAGGCAAGGCGCCGGAGGGAGAAGTAGCCTATCCGCTGGATGGAGATGCCGGTGACGATTCGAAGAACAGCGAAGAGGACGAAGGAGGAGAGGTAGAGGAGGACGAAGATACCGAGGGCGAAGGTCGGACTGAGAAGCGCCATGTTTGCAGCGGCGCGCAATCAATTACCTAGCTGACGGGGGGAGGTTAGACGGTGTGCCACGAGCACGAGGCGGGCAAGCTCCAATCAATGGCGGCGTACTTACAGGACGCCGGTAGCAGAGAGACCATTCTCTCGCAGAGCAAACAGGCAATCAATGGGAACAAAGAGAAGAGAAACGCGACATGACAGTGGGAAGAAAAAGAAGGAAAATGGAAGCTGGGAGATTCGACGAGGGAGGGGCCCCGAACCGGGCCAGGTAGGGGGGCCTGAACTATCGGGACGCCGGAACAGCTCCTGTGATGCGCCTGGGGTCGAGCAGCAGGGCTTCCCGGGCCGGCTGGGAAGATCGGAGCGAGGCGCGCCGCAAGAACTCCGGATGGTCGCACGAAGAGTGAGGACGGAGGTTTTTGCGAGACGCAAGTACTCGTACCCAAGTATGGAGGAGCTGCAAGCTGGCTGGTATGAGTACAGTAGGTAGAGGGTGGAAGCTGGAGGTGAATGGAGGTCAGCAGAGGCAGCGGAGCCGATGCGGCAGATGGGCGTGCAGGTGGCAGTGGAGGTACCGAGTACTTGGCGGCCGAGTCTGGCGTGTCTGGCGTCAACGGAATCCCAAGGTCGGTACACCGGGTGTGTCTGGGTCCAGGCTGGCTGGAATGGTGGAAAAGGGGGAGTAGGGAATTAGGAATAGGGAATAGGGAATAGGGAATAGGGACCGTCGGGGGATGCAAATTTTCTGAGGAATCCAGAAGCCACCGTGTTCCGTAAAAGGCCCTGCGCAGGCCCCGTATTCGAGATTACGGCTGCGCCATCAGTTGTTCAATCGTGTGCCGACTTGCTGGATGCAGTGCAGTTGGAGTCCCTATCGCGCACACAGACTTTACAGACTTGGAGCCAAAAAGCGAGCGTGGGATTGGTGCCGGGTACTTCGCACGCAGGTGCCCTGTACCTTGGTATCTAAGGTACTCCCGCATTGGGTACTTTGGGGCTAGCTGGGAACATGTTCCGGCTGCCGTGACCTTTTATCGCGATGCCACGCCTCTAAACCCAGCACGGCCGCTAACAACGGAGCTCTAGTGTAGAGTAGAGCACCCGACGAGACGGGATGTTAGACGACGAAGCTCACCGTTTAAAAATAGCCTAAACAGCAAGGAGTGGCTACTATTGATATTTGATATCACTACGTGTTGTCAATAGAGGTAGGTAGCTACTATATGTAGCAGCAGCAATTGATGTGCAGTATCAACATCCAGCAGGACAGTTAGATACCGTATATGCTACATTCTTTGAAGGAGACGAGACTGTTTTCTCGACAGCAGAGAGATGAAAGGCAGCAGCAGAGTCGTCGTAAGTCACGGTTTTGAGAGTCTCCCCAAGTCTAGAGTAGCAGCGGAGTTAACGATAAGGAGCACCCCCCGTTTAGATCTCCATACATTTGAACGCATCATACGCACGCGGTACGTTATGCCCATGTACACACTAGCCATCCATCACTCGAGTCTTATTAATGCTCCAGCTCCTAAAAGGAGGCCTCAATACATTACGAATACTAAAAGACGCGTCAACTCAACCGATGGTTATATTAGCAATTAAATACACTCCTTCGGAACCTTACTGTAATTCTCGCCTTCCTCGCCTATCCTCGCGTCGACCTGTCAATCTCTCTTGGGATATTCCAGCTGCTCCCACTCTGGACTAATCAAGATTCGCAGTGTAGCAGCCGCAATGAGCCGCTACGAGATTGCAAACGGTGCTAGCGGTGCTAAGGCCTCACGGACCACTTCGGCCAGGATTTACAAGGAATCTCCCAGATGTTTTTTTTGGCAGCGCCCACCACGTTGAAGATTATTCTCTGTAAAGAATTCAGGGCAGAATATGATCACTCAATATCAAACCAGGTCCAATGCCTTGATTACGAGCTGTATCTGTTGCTTTCTTCATCCGTCTTGCTTAGGGCTAGATCGGGTGAGACATTCTGCACGGACGGCATATCGGACACGGATGGTAGCCGTTGATTGGACAATGGCAGCTCAGTGGTGACATAAGCACAGGAACGCGATCAACTCCCCTGTTAACCTATAACTCTAATTGTGCCTCTATTATTGGCCATCGCATGCTGCAATTGGTGAGCGCGGTCTTGTAATACGAGATTCATGCTTTTTTATTGTAGCGTAATGGCTATTTCGTAAAAAGAAACAAATTGCTTGCTTCGTTTAAAAGTAGTCGTACAATATCATGCTCCGTGGGCGCCGATCCAAATATGTCGATGCAGCTTGTCGTAGTACCTAGATGTGAAAGCAGCAGGGATATCAACCATAACCACCAATTACAAAAAATTTGAAGAAAATTAGAACACCCCCGGATGAGCTTCACGCCTTATTTTCGTCTTTAGTTGTCCGATCAATAGACTTTAGCTCGGCGATCCGGTCGTCAATGAGGGCAATATCTGCATCGACTCTGAGAATTTTCTCTTCCATCATGTCGATGTACTCCTGGTCTGTGAGTTTCCTTAGCGGGCTCCAGTTGGACCGAAGCCAGCTCTCGTTCTCGTCCCTGACTTTTGGCTTCCTGTTGCTCAATCCATTGGCAACTATCTGCCCGCCTGCCCCCAGCACTCCCCACATGGCCATGGCCGGCAGAATCTTCCCTGGGCCCCCTTCCAAGCTCAAAAAGTTAGTTGACAAGCGCTGATATTAGCAAAAGCTTGTTACTCACGTATCAATCCGGCCACTGCGCCGGCTGCTGACCCGCCTATGGTGCTCGCTATGGTTTTGTCGACTGGCCTCAGCTGCTCGTTGCCCCCCATTGCCCTGACGGTCATAGACCTAGTAACTTGATGAGGTCAATAACGATTCGCATGGGTAAGAGACCGGTCAGAGGCAGGATGAACTTACACCAGAAGCTCCCCCCCAAGGCAAACCATTGAAATCCGGTCACAGCACCACTGGCTACGGGGCTGGTGTCCCGTGCAATGGCACCGGCAACACCAGCTAATACTCCAGCAGCGCCTTGTTTGAACATGTTAGACTAAAGGATATAGTTTGCCATGAGTGAAGGATGAGAAACTTACCGGTGAAAGAGCCAACTTTGACGGGAGCCACGATGAGGTCTATAATCTCTGGCGGCAAGATGCCTCGTTTCTTGTGCTGTTGCGGCTGCAGGGCGCCAGACGAAGGTTCCGGCTTGTTGCTCATGATGATGGTCTGGAGATTTTTCACCCCACGTTTCTTTTTCTTGGTGGTAAATGTATGTGTCTGAGAGGAACAAGAGTAAGGAAATTGATGATTAACTAGATGGTAGTAACTGATAATGAACAATTAAAAGAAGATGAGTATATGGGAATTATATTTATACAAACTAGGAGACTGGCTGGTGTTGATGTAGTAGATGTCAAATAGTACTAATGGAGGTCAGCCTCGGGGAAATGGATTGGAGGTACCTGTGAACATTTAATTCCTCGCCTGGCGTGGTGGGGCATGATATGCACAAAACGGGTCGGCGGCTACTGGCAGTGACTTGGAGGTACCGGCGATGCGCAGGCACCGCAGCCACGGCGGCCACTGCAGACGCTTGGCTGCTAGGCACCGCAGGTATCGGCAATGTCGCGGCGCCTAGCCCTTGGCGGCCTAGCGCCTCCCACTCTTGGGCGGGCGAAAATTGGAAATGGAAAAGGCAGCCAGCCCTCTCACGACGCCGCATCTTTTTTTTTCCTGGACGAGCAAATTTCACCTCGCCAACCCGAGACCCGGCATCTGGGACTCGTAATCGCTCATCCGACCGACTCGTAGCCAATCTGGTCCCTTCATTGGCTGCTCTTGTCGATTCTCTCGGCCACCGCCTATTTCTCTCCCGCCGCAGCCCAGCGTCTGCCCTTTTGCGCATCGGCTGCCGATAGTCATCTCTAGTGATATCCTTGCGCGAGCTCGCCCTCATCAACCGCAATCATGGGTATGTCACCGAATCTGGCTGTTCGGTACTGTCGAGACTGTCCTGCTGACGCTGCTCGATAGCTCCCAAGAAGAAGGAACAGCAGAAGATGTCCCTCGGGGACTTTCTGGGCGGTTCAGGTTCGTGCTGCCGTCGTCCCTCCCTTGATGCCCTCGTCGACCGCTGCCGATTTTGGGGGGGTCGCATCGACACCCCGCGCCGGCACTAGAATATAAATTCCGGACCGCCAATATGCTGACTCTTGGCGCAGGTTTTGGTGGAGGCTCTTGGGCCGATGAGGTTGAGGAAACCTATGGTATGTTGCTCTTGCTTGGCGAATTCTTGCCGCTTGGACCCTTGCTAATCTGTCTACAGTTTCTGGTAAGTGTGTACAATACCTATCTAAAAGCGATCTGCCCGAAAAAAAAAGAAAAAAGAAGAAGATAAAGGACAAGAGGAGGAAAACAAAAGAAAGAACGAGAGAAAGAAAGAAGAAAACATTGGCATACGATCGGCACATGACAACATGATATTGACCTGATGATACAGGTACTCAGGCCCTCCCTCCCGCTCGAGACAGCGGCCGTTCCATGAACACGTCTTCGTGGCAGGACCGAGGTATGAACCTTTCACGCCGTGGCCAGTGGCTGCTCATCACTCATCATTAACGGCTGCCAGGCTACTCTGTCCGCGAGTCCGTCCCCGCCCAGCTTCCCGAGAAGCCTCCGTTTACCGCCCACCTGGGCAACCTGTCATATGATGCCACCAACGAATCCGTGACCGACTTCTTTGACGGCTGCGACGTTGTCAGCGTCCGAATTATCGAAGACCGCGAGATGCAGCGCCCCAAGGGCTTTGGATATGTCGAGTTCGGCAACCTTGACGGCCTGAAAAAGGCCCTGACACTTGATGGGCAGTCGTTTGAGGGCCGCATGATCAAAATTAAGGTGGCCGATCCTCGTATGTTATCTTCCCACCATGGCCTTATATGAAGAGTAAACCCCGTATGCTAATTAATGATGTAGCTCGTGGTGGCGACGGCCGAGAGGCTCGTGGTGAATCTGCCCGCGACTTGAGCGAGTGGACCCGCAAGGGCCCTCTTCCCGATCTTCCTGGAGCGAGGGGTCCCCGGTCCGACTTTGGAGAACGCCGCCCCCCTCGCGATCCCGCCACTGACGGCCGTTCTACTCGTGAGATGACGTGGGAGCGACGCGGACCTCTTTCTCCCCTGGCCCCCCAGGAACCCGGATCCCGTGAAAGCAGCCGTGCGCGCGGACCTCAAGAGGGTTTGGGAGAGCGCAGCGAGTCGTACCGCGGAAACCGTCGAGACGCCCCAGCCTGGGGAGAAGGCCGACAAGAGGGTGGCCGCCCTCCTCGGCAATACAACGAACGGCCCGAGCGTCCTGAACGCCCGGAGCGCACTCCTACCGCCGCTGAGAAGGACTTCCAATGGCGCGATCGCATGCGTCCGGATGCTGCCAACGCACCCCCCGCCGTTGAGACTCCGGCCTCTCCTGGAGCCGCGCCCCCGGCCCAAGCCCCCGGCGGCCGCCCCCGTTTGAACCTTCAGAAGCGAACCGTTTCGGAGGTTGCCGATAGCTCCTCTTCTGCCGCTGGAGACGCCAAGGCCAGCCCCTTTGGAGCTGCTCGTCCCATCGACACCGCGGCAAGGGAGAAGGAGATTGAAGAGAAGAGACTTCAGGCCATCCAGGAGAAGAAAGAAGCGGACGAGAAGGCCAAGGAAGAGCGACGCCTGGCCAAGGAAGCAGCCGCCGCCAAGGCTGAGGCTGATGCTGAGGCCGAAGCCGAGGCTGAAGCCAAGCAGGCTACTGAGGCCTCTAAGGCCCCTGAGGCCCCTGAGGCCGCCGAGGCCAACGTTGAGGCCAAGACAGAAGCCGAGACAGAAACCAAGGCCGAGGAAGAGCCCAAGACTGAGCAGGCCAAGGAAAATGGTGCGTCGGAGCAAAAGGTTCCTATCCGAACTCGAGACCAGCCCAAGGATTTCAGCCAGGGACAGAAGTCAAGAGCTACCGAGTCTGGCAACTGGAGATCGGCCACCAACGAACAGCGAGTTTCCCGTGGAAACTTCCGCGGAAGCCGTGGCGGCGGCCGTGGCGGCCGTGACGATGGCGCGCCCCGAGGACCTCGCAACGAAAACCGGGCACCTCGTTCCAATGGCCAGCAGGCTGCGGCTCCCGCGGCCGAGGGCGACACTCCGGCTCCGGCTGCTGACGAGGACGGCTGGACTACCGTCGCCACCGGCAAGAAGGGACGAACTGGACGAGTGTAAAGAGACAAAAGCAAAGCAAGAAACCAAAAAAGAGCGATTGTAAAAAAATTGATGTCCATTTCCTTTCGGTTTCCATGACTAGAGATGCCGTCGCAAGATTTCCTGCCAGCGGATCCCGGTCCTGACATCGTGTGCACACTGTTCCGATTTCTAAATACTCTACCGATTTCCGGGCAAGGCGTTTCTGCAGTCTCCAATCTCGCCCGTCTCCTGCCGCAGACTGCTTGGATATGGCTCATGACTTTTCGGCAAGCCAAATGATGCCGTGTCGACGCTACAAAGGTGTTTTCTCTATTTCTTCTCTCTCTCTCTCTCTCTCTCTTTTTTTTTTTTGCATCTTTGTCCGCTCGAGCATCTGATGGCGTTGCCCGTTACAGCGCTACTTTGTCCTACCGTGCTTTGCTGGCCGGGCTTCGAATGAAGCTTGTTTGCTTGCTGCTTGGTTGGACAGGATACAGTGAAGGTTGGTCGACAGTTGCTCGGCATATGGGGCCGTAATAACGTTTTTTCTTTTGTTTTTTACTCTTCATTTTTTTCTTTCAACAAATTGGGGCAGGGAGGGCTAGGAAACGGTCAAAATGATGCAATTTTGTTTTTCCATCTCATGACATGCATTTATGCGGGACAGAACAGATTGAAAAGGAGGGAGAGGTGATTTGAACGATCAGCTTTCAATGACGATGACGATGACCGGCTCACGCTTTATGCAGTGTCGATGAGGAGGGCGGGTTCTATCTATTCATCTGCGGACTCTTTGGGGAACATAAAAACGGGGAATCTATCTGCGCAGTTTTGCTCTTTTTCCTTTGTTGCTTGCTTTCACCCCTTTGCCTTTCTTTTCCTCTTGTTACTTTGAAGATGTTGCTCGGACTGGAACAGAGAGAGAGCGAGAGCAAGAGACAAAAAGCTTGAACTGGACAGACTCATACCCGACTGTTGAGAGAATTTGGCGTCTTGACTCTGGAGCTGAGGCACGGGGGAAACAATGCAGAGCAGAGCAGAGCAGAGCAGAGGAAAAGCAAAAAGAACAGACAATGGCGTGGGGGGCCGAATGTAGCCGCTTTGAAGCGAGTCTATTTTGATAGAGGGCGAGGCAAAATTAAAAAAAGGGTTTCTATATATGTGACTCGTGACGACGATGCAAACTGTTTGTGTGAAAATTGTGTTGCCTTGTGACAAGGCAGCGGGATTTGGGAAATGTTTGTGCCTGGATCGGCGGGCTTTTGGAGATGCTTGCATGAGTGCTGCCTGCCGTGCCCTGGCCGGATATATTATATCGCGCACCCTGTCCGTCTTGAGAGTCTTTTGATTTTCCCATGTTGCATCCATCTCGACTTTTTGATCTGATACCCTACAAACCACACCTCAAACCGAACATCATTCCTTGTTAAACGTCTACAGCAACTTCAACTACACAAAAATCATCTACAATGACGGCCCTCACTTACACCCACTCACCCTCCCTCGCCCCCCTAACAACTCACTCCCCCCAATGCCTCTCCGCCTCCAGCAACCCGCCCATCAACTACCTCATGACCAGCGTCCTCGTCCTCCGCTCTCACCCTCCCTCTCGCCAGCCGCAAATCCTGCTCCTCCGTCGCCACCCGGCAGATTCCTACCCTCTCAAATGGGAACCCCCCGGCGGCTCCGTCGACGCTTCCGACCCGACGGTGCTCTTCGCCGCGGCTCGCGAACTGCACGAGGAGACGAGCCTCCGCAACCCTCATTTCCACACGTGGGTCGCCATGGCGCGGGACGGGAATCTCGAGGGCGCCGAGGCGATGAAGAGCTGGGGCGTGCGGCCGGAGGAGGAGCTGGCGAGGGACGTGGAGGTGAAGGTTGACGGGGGGAGCGCGGTGCGGGTGACGACGTTTTTGGAGACGAAGAATGTTTGGGGCAAGATGAATTTCGTCGCGACGGTGGAGGGGGCGGAGGCGGTGGAGATTGATCCGGAGGAACACGTTGAGTGGGGGTGGTTTACGGAGGAGGAGGTGAGGCGGGGACGAGCGGTTTTGCGCTTGGGGGATGGGGAGGAGAGGGAGAGAGTGTTGGAGTTTACGAGTCGGGCGGTTTGGGGGAGTGTTTTGGAGGCGTTTGGGGTGGGGAGGGAGATGGGCGTGATTGTGTGAGTGAAGTGGAGGAGACGAGATTTGGAGATGATGGAGCGTGATGTTTGTTTGTTTTCTTTGAAAAGGACCGAGGTCGATGGGGGGATGGACAGGGGAGAATAGACGGAGCGTGAACATGATGCTTTACTGCGAGCATTACGTCCCTGGCGCTTAAGCCCATAACGATATAAAACCCTCCCAAGGAGAGAGAGAAAGAAAGAGATAGAAGAACATCAAAGTAGCATCCTTGTGAAACATCATTTCAACGCCAGGCCAACATGAACAAGCACAAAACCATCAAACAAATCAGAAAAGCTCAGAAAAAAAAATGAAATCACAACCTCTTCGCCCCCATCTCCTCCATCCCATAATCATCCCAATCAGCCTCCCCCATCGCACCAATCTTCCCACCCACAAAGATCCCCACGCCCGTCACCACGCTGCCCAAGAGGAACCAGCCCTCAAACCAGCCGTCCACAAACGCCGGCGTCAGCGCCCCCCTCAGGACGCCCCCGACGGCCGATCTCGCCTCGCTCGGCAACTGGCTGCGCAGAAGCAAGCTCGCCGAGATGACATACGTCGCCGCCACTTGTCCCACCGCCAGGGCGAGGTTCGCCTGTGCGTGCCGCAGCAGTCCGGGCGTCCACTTGGCGAACAGGTGGAACGTCTGGATGGCGCTGTTTGCGCTGGCCACGAGGATGACGCCGCTGAGGGCGAAGCTGATGATGCGCGCCCACGCCATCTGGTCGAGCTTCGGGTCCCAGTGCCTGGCCAGCAGCCCCAAGAAGCGGTTGATGGGATCGCTGCTGGCGAAACTGGCCGACGGCGAGGATGCTCTCCGGAGAGTCGTCAGTGACGTCGCCAGGATGCGATACACGCAGTAGGCGCTGAAGATGTATGATGGCGCGAGCAGGATGCGGCCCATGGTTGTGGAAGCGCGGGCCGAGGCGGCGCGCTGGTTCTTCATCAACACCAGGTTGGAAGACAAGCTGGCCTCCATGGCCTCGAGCCCGACAATCTCCATCTTGAGCGTCTGCATCTCGGCCTCCTCGCCCGTCGCCCCTCGTATCGAGCCCATGACCATCCCGACCAGCCCAGTCTTGCCCCTTTTGCTCGCTTCCTGGCTCATCTTGCGTTCCAGATACTGCAAACGATGTCGTTTCGTCGCCAACATCTCGCTCGTCGCCTCCAGCCCAGTCTGCTTGCGATTGACATCCGCCTCGGTCAACGGCCTCCGCCTGACATCGCCGCGACCAAAAGTGTGCCAGGGCGCCGACACCGACGCAAAGCCCGACAGCAGCGCCATGAGCGAGATGCCCACGACCCCGATGCGTTCCAGACACGCCCTCGTCAGATCCTCGCCCACGATGCCCCTCGAGTTCCAGCTCGGGCTCGTCCTCCCGTCGTGATGCGCCGGCGGCGCCGACCGCAGCAATATCTCCGCCCTCGGCACGACGCTGCCCATGGACCAAAAGATGAACAGCCAGCCGCCAAACAGCACCGCCTGCAATCCCAGTGCCACGCGCGAAAGCCTGCCCTTGGCCGTCCTCTGAAAGCTCCATCCCGCGCTGGACACGACGCTCCGACACTCGAGCCACGGGATCAGCACCACCAGCATGAACAGCAGCGCCGGCACCGTCACCCTCAGCGCCAAGTTCCGCGCCGCCGGGTCGACCGCCTCGACAATCTCCGCCATGATGAGCGCGCCCAGCGTCGCCGCCAAGCCAACCGTCGTGCCAAAGGCCCACGCCGCGCCTCGCCGCCTCCAGCTCTTGGTGCCGTGCTCGGCGTGCACCTGCCGCAGCGCCGCCGGGGCATGGGCCGGCAGGACGTGGTCGTCGCCGTCGCGGGCATCGTCTTGCGCCGCGCGGCTCAGCTTGGGGAAGACGAGGCGCACGGCCACGGCGTTGGCGGCGATGAAGACGGCGGCAAAGGGCAGCGCCGACAGCAGGGCGGCGGCTGTGACGGCGTGCGGGCTCGGAGGAGCGCAGGCATCTTGGTCGCAGGACGAAGTCGAAAAGGGCCACATTTGCGTCGTTGTGTTTTGTGTTTGGTTGTTGTCGTATGATCTTGGCCTCTCGTTGGGGGTTTCCGTATCCCCCCTCCGCTCTCTCCGTCTCTCTCTCTCTGCTCGTGTCAATGAGATTAAATCAAGTCGAATTGAATCGGCCTCAATCCGTCCTCTCGTATCTCGTAGTCGAATATCCCTCCCCTCTCCAGTCCAATCCCGTCGCCCTCCTTATCGCAAGCTGTCGTCGCACTTGTGTCCTGTCCAAATCCAAATCCCCCGCCAAAGACGCGGGCATAAGTCACTCGAAAAGCCACCAGCTGGAAAAAAAAAAGCCACCTCTTCCCTCTTCTCAGGTACTGCTAACAGCGTCGTCGTAGTAGTAAAAAAAATAGCAGCTTTCAATCAAACGCACAGATTCAATCAACGAAAGCCAAGCGAATGTTCTGGTAAATAGTAGGTACCTAGGTATTTATCGCACCCCACGTTGACTTTGAAAGTAAAGGCGCCGTTCTGTCCGGTTCAATGGCAAATATACCTTGGTTCCCGTACCGCCCTTGCAATCACGTACACAATGTAACCCTCCCCAGCAGAGTAAAGAAAAAAGAATAGCAAGAAAAGAAAAAGAGCATGGAGGGATTGGAAGACGGAAAGAAAAAGAATGACGACGATCCTCTTACTGCAATCTGGGGCCAGTCCCACCCAAAACGCCGTACGAGTACCTGTACTTTGGCAGCAACGACGCAATAGGCGGAGAGAGGCTGCGTGTGGCCTATCATTCCAGCCAATAGCATCTGCGGAAATCATGGTGGGCTCGTACTCAGTACTCGGTACCCGCACCCAACTCTCGACTTCTCCCCCACTCTAATTCCCCAATCTACCCCGTACGGTAAAAAGCCCACGCCATCTATTTTCTATTTTCAGCAACATCCGAACCTACAACAAAATCTGCAGCAAAAGATGCCCGCCTTATTCTTAGTCATTCTTTCAAGGGTTCTTGTTTGTTTGTTTGTTTGTTTGTTTTACGAGTAACTTACAAGTACACTGCCTAGCATTATCTGCCAGAATCATCCCACTCCATGTTGCTTCGCCCGGCGCTGATCCTTCCAAGTCCAAGGCCATGCAAGTCTTTTAACCGCCAAGCCGTCCCAGATGATCCCGTCCCGTGTTTCGCATCGTATCAGAATGCCTCAAGCCTCGCTCACTCTCGCTCCCATCATGCTTCCCCTCTTCTTGAGCCGCGTAACCCCCCCGACAAACATGGATTATTCATCTCCCGTCATCGGCATCTTCACGGAATTCACGGCACGCTCTGTAGTCGTCATGCTTAATCGCTTTCTTCATCTGGCTGTCTCGGCGCAAAATCTAGATGCCATATTGCCATGCGCTAATCGTTACCTACACCAACATGATCCACCGCTCTATCATTATTCCAATCAATCCACCTCCATCAACCAATCAACCAACCAACCAACCAACCAACCAACCAATCGCTGACCTGCCTGTCTTTGCCGAGCTTGCTGTCTTGTGAATGAACCCGTGCTCAGTATGCCAGTCCTTGCCAAATAGCTGCTAGGATTTCCTCCCCCCTTCTTCTTGTCTTCTCTCATGGTCAACGACTCTTTTGAAACCATTGCTTCATCTTTGCAACAGGTGATTCCTTTGTGGCTGCGTTTTCGGCATCGGCGGCTGCCCTTGCCTCTGAACCAGGCTTGTCTTCTGCTGATTCCACAACATCGCCCGAGTTTTCTACCTGGTTGGAAGTTGAAAGGTTACGCCCTGGGCCCGTCCCTGAAGCGAGGGCTTCCTCAAGGCGTGCGAGCGGCCACAGGTTAGCTTCTCGTAGCATCCGTATGAAGTGCTCTTGCTGATGAGCGTTCATCTCCTCCCCTTCCTCCGAATCGTCCTCATCCTGCTGCTGCTGCGGCCGCTGTGGCGACGCCGTTAGCCGTAGCGGACGGTTCGACGGGGCATAGTATTGCGACCTGGGTACATTCTGATCGGGGGACCATTCAAGGGGTATTTGCCCCGAGACCGCCTGAGCAGACCGTCCCTGGGGAGATCGCGGCACTGACATCCGCTGTGGGGACCATTGTGCCGATGCTGGTTGAACAGGCCGTCCCTGGGGAGAGTTTTGTGCTGATGTCGGCTGTGCAGGCCGTCCCTGAGGGGAACGCTGTGCTGATGTCGGCTGTGCAGGCTGTCCCTGAGGAGACTGTTGCGCTGACACAGGTTGAGCGGGCCGTCCCTGAGGAGAGTATTGCGCTGATACCCTGGGAGAAGTGCGCGAAGAAGGGGGAGAACTCGTTGCATGCGGTTGCCCTTGTTGCTTCGGCTTGCCTTTCTTCAAGAGGTCATCAATCTTGTGAGCCAAATTTAACGTGTCCGCATCCTTTGGCCTAAGGGGAACCTCCTCCCCTTTCCCCGTAGGCGAAGATAACCTCATAGCGTCGGATGCCCTTGAATGCTGCCCTGACAGATCGTTCCAACCTTGAATTTCCCTTTTCACCTCCTCTGAGATCTCATCGCCGTCATCTAGCAGCGTTCCACCCGAAGACTCAATCAAAGCAGTCACCCAAGGTTCCCTCTTTTTTCTGAACATGGTAGAGGGCGTTTCCATTGCATTTTTTGCACCAATCGCCAGGCTCCAGACCTTTGAATCCGAAGGCGAGGGTCGATCGTGTATGACTCTGGACCTGGAACTTGAGCCTCTTGGAGCGTGACCCTATCGATTGAAGCGACTGCTCTCGCTCGGGGGAGACTCTGACTTCATTGGGGCATTTTTGGCAAATTGGACAAGGCCGCGCTGTCTCTCTGTCCTGGCACGTGGAGCTATGTCTCTGGCGGGGGGAGGTACATCTGTGACAAAGTCGGGAGGCTCAGCAACCGGAGACAAAGAAATTGGCAGGTCATGTGCCGATTGCCTTTTCCGCGATTTCCTCCTTGAAGGGCCAGCCATAGGAGGATCGGGCCAATAAGGGCTCGTGTAATAACCGCCCGTCGAGGGACCGGCTGTCGAAGGACCAGCTGTCGAAGGACCAGCCGACGATGGACCGGCTTCGTCAGGAATAGACATGGGAGAAGTTCTTGGAGCAGCCGATGGGCTGTTTGTCAAAACCGACGCTCTCTAGCCATGCGGCTTTGAGCTCGGCTGCTTTGAGGCTGGCGCTTTTTGATCTTGTGACTGGCTTGACGCCAATGGCCCAGAATGCGGTGTCGCTGGCCTTGGTGTTTCCAGAGTCGTTGGTCCCGAAGGAGGCGCCGTAGATTCCGAAGACTGCGCCAACTGGTCTGCCATCCTCTTGTGGAGATAGCGGCTACGAGTGCCATCCTCTCCGCCTCCCCTCATCGTAACCTCGGGGTCTGCCTCGCCTGCGTCGTCGCCACCAGCTTGAAGAGCCACAATCGGTGTATCCCTGGAGCCTTCTGCATTCTGAGCCCGGGGGGCACGCCTTGGGCCGCCGCGCATCTTCTACGATGCACTCCCAGAGTTCTGCCCCTGGGCCTCGTCCTCTTCCTCGTCCTCTTCCTCATTAATGCCGTGCCTGAGCGCGGCCGCCTCGCTGACCTCCATTTTGTGAAGCTGATCCAGTTTCTGCTGCTGGTTCAGAGCCTCTACTCCAGTCATGACCTCAAACTCTCCCTCTTCGTCATCTTCCTCATCGTCGCTATTGGGAGCGCTGTTGGGAGCGCTGTTGGGCGCGCTGTTCGGCGAGGGAATAGAGGGAACGCGGCGCGCAGCACTTGTCCGGGGGCCGGCCACGAGATCGGGGGATTTCGACCTCATCAAGACCGTCTCGTGGATGGGTTTGATGGTTGGGTCGAACTTGGCGGGCAGTCCTAGCACCTTTGCCACCTGATGTGCCTCCTCTTCGCGTGGAATTTGAACCTCTAGTTCGTAGCTGCTGCTGGCTTCGCTGTCGGCCTCATGTTTGCCGTGAGTAGCGGCCAGCATGCTGACGTATGTTTGCCGCGAGTTGTCGTTTGTACGCTTGGCCTTTTTCTTATTCCGTTTCTCGGTAGGTCTCACGACGACGACGGGTATGGGAGAATACTGCAGGCAGTACTTTGAAAAGGAATTGCGGTTGTTGACGAGGCCCTGAAGTCCACCAAGGGACCGTCCTCGTGTGCCCACGATGAGCATGGCCGGCTGATATAGTTGAATCTGGCATTGAGAGAAAATAGTTAGGTCACGTCTCGCGAGGCTGGTGAGATTGCGGCCACTTACCAGCGACTGAAAGGTGGCGTGTAGCTTGCCGACTGCGTACTCGAGGACGAAGGCAACGGCGCTGTTTCTCTTGTTCTTCTCCAGGATGCTCTTCATCACCTGCTGCGCATCGCTATGGTATGACTTCTCGCCAAGTCGCACGTCCTTTTCAATGACGCGCACGCAGATAATCTCGTCGCCGTCGTCGACAAGCTCGTCTAGCAGCCACTGAACGGCATAGTCTGAGTACGAGTGCTCGTCAATGCCGACCATGAAGGTGCGCGATCTCCGGCGTGGCTGATACCCATCGTGTTTGACGTTGAGTACGAGGGACGAGGGAACCTTTTTGGACGTCTCACCGCTGGGAACATTGTCGAAGCCGACATGGCGCTGAAATCTGTCGTGCGGTTGGGCGGTTAGTGTCGCCATTGCCGTCGCAAATGAAACAGGGGTTTTGGGTCAATAGGATCACGAGAAGGAAGAAATGGGTGGGAAATCAAAGAAAGCATCTAGATCACCAAGAGCGCAAGAGACATAATAAATACAGCCCAAGAGGAGACGGTGAGGGAAATATGCAAATGCCAAGGGCGAGGCATGTGAGAGCGAGATGACGGAGATTTTGCGACTGCGGCGAGTTGGAACAAGCTCCGTCAAGTTCCACCACAGAAAAAAAGGTGCGAGCTATTCCGGCTCGTTACTGGCGGGGTACCAAAGAAAATAGCCATAACGAGAAGCTCCCGGAGCGGTGGGGCCAATGAGCTGCTGACTCTTGGTCGCTTCGGCCGCATCTTTGTTGGAGGAGAGAGGAGAGGAGAGAAGAGAGTTGGAGAAGAGGCATCCAATCACCGCGCAACAGGGCGTCGAAACCGGGCACCCGCAGTTCTGTGCTGCCAACCTCCTTGTGCCGCTCGCTTGAGATGCTGCAATCGAAGCCCCTCAGAGGCACGACAGAACGGGATTTGGATCCCCAGGGTGCAAATAAGGAGTGCCGCTAGCCGGGGGGATCGAAGCCTCTTTGGCCCACATGGACTTGACACTATCGCAAGCTCTACCGCTGCACCCGACGACATGCGCTCTCGAGTTCAGGTACAACAGCAACAGAGGCAAACTCGAGAGAAATGCATTGTCCATCCCTGGCCGGCACATTTTTGCCGAGAGCACGCGTCGGGAAGGCCTGGAGAAGCACCAGAGTGTCTCTTGTGAACTGAATGCAGAAATCCCGCCGAGCACAATGTCTTGGAGCGCCCTGAATTCCGCCAGTACACCACTCGACATTTGCCGCATTGCCGTTCTGGGACACGCAGCATCGAGAATGGGAACACAGGAGATGTACACAAGACGAAAAGGGACGCATCCTGGATACATCGGCAAGAGAGGAGGGCATGGACAGAGAGAAGAGAAAAGACAAGAAAGAAAAAGAAACAAGATGCTTTGCTTACCTGCTGTGAGGAGGCGATGGAGCTCGTCCCTTGGCGCCGTCCGAAGGTCGTTTTTGAATGCCAAGAGCCTTCCGCTTGCCTATAGACGAGGCTGATATAGTCTTACTTAACGGTGCTCCGCCGGGCTTTGCCAGCTCTGTAGCAAAGCTAATGCTCGAGTGCCGACGCGACGAAGTGTCACTTGCACTAGAGGCCAGAGGCACCGAGTTCTGGCTGCCACTGGCATCGGATGGGGGAAAGTAGCCTTCTTGAGACTCCTTTGGCGCCGCTGTCGACGATGGAGAAACGTCCGAGTCCGAGGCTTGAGGTGTCTTTAGCGACTGCATGGTGAACGATTTCCAGTAGTGCTGTCCGTTTGTTAGGTGCTTGCTCTGCACGAGTTGGCAAAGCTTGGTCTGCTCACTCGTTGCTGACGTTGAAAATGAGTGACCCTGGCGAGAGCTGACCCGGGTAACGAGTCCAGAGATGTTGGTAATAAACGGGATATGGAGCCGAAGAAGTCGATCAGGACCAGGCACAAAAGATAAAATAGTGATCGAGGTCTATCTGGTCGCACTCGACTCAAGGAGAATTCCCAACTCAAGATGGCCGAATAATAAAAGAACGAGGTTGAAGATGAATGATGGAAAAGAAGGAAAAGAATACAGCCCAAGGGAAAAAATGCTGCGTCTTTATGGATATCGTATCTTTTGCCGGTGAGGTTGAGAAACAAGTGCAAGACACACGATCCACGGCCCGGCACCAAGATGCCGAGCTGGCGCAACACGGCAGACGGGCCTTTCGGGAAGGTGCAGGCAAGTTCCGGGCTTCCGAGGCACAAAGAGTGCAAGAGGATCGAGAAAAAAGACGCGGATGAAGGTTTCCCAATGGAGAAGAAGAAGGGGAATCGCAAGAGGCGGAAATGCGGGAGGGCGAGATGGAATGGGTGGAAAGAAAGAGAGAGAGAGAGGGAGGATGCAGTTGCGAGACAAGCCGGGGGTTCCTGTTGGCCGGAGAAGAGAAAAGCTGCCGGAAACAGAGTTGAGATGCCGTAATAGAATCAACAAATGACAACAGAGTCTTTTTTCTCGATGAAACGTGGAGAAATGCCAGGAAAAGGGTAAGTTGATGGTGAAGTGATGATGAAGAGGGAGAAAAGACAAGGCAAAGTAAAGAAGAGAATAGCCTAGGTGCCTGGGTACTTGGTAGACACGCAAACAGGCACGGCTCGCAGTGTCAGATCACCTCTCGACGGCTGTACTCGCTACCTGGATTCTTCTCCTCGACTCTGCTCCACAGGCCAAGATGCACGGATCGTCGACGTGCGCAGCAGACAAGCATAAAAACAAGCAGCGCCTCTAATTTCTGGTCGGGATCCCGCGTCAGGCCCTGTTTAGGGCTAGGGTGGTGTGTCTTCTTCTTCTCTCGTCTTCTCTCGTCTCCTTGTTCCCTTTCCCCTTGTTTCCCCTTTCTCACTTGGTCCTTGCAAAATCACACGCCGCCTCTAGGTAAAAAAAAACACACACACCCCGCAGCCGGGGGATGGAGATGTGTGTGTGAAGCCACGAGGGGCCACAGGTCCAGTCGATTCGCTGAGCTGCCGGTGATGCTGCAGGAATATGGTGATGACTGCCAGGTTGTACCTCTGCCGTCCGTCGGTGATTCGTCGATAAGGAAAAAGGAGCGCGAGGCTCGTGACGGCGCCGCCAGAATATTGAGTTGGCGGCTCAGAACCGAGGGTCTGGGTGCCGCACTGATCAAGAGCAAGGGCTGGTTTCCTAGCCTCCGCTTTGCTGCCTTTTGCTCCACTGCGGGTTGGTGATTTGGAGATGCTTGAACCTCGACTGGCTTGGCACTTGAATCACCTTGGAGTCGGGTGTTTGTTTTGTCTGCAGTGAACCTTGGGGGGGTTTAGATGGATGGGCAGAGCGAGAGAGAGGGAGAGAGAGAGAGAGAGAGAGAGAGAGAGAGATGGGCACACACACGAGCCAGAGCTAGAGGCGGATCAGGCACAAAACTCAGGCGCAAAAAGGCCAACACCCGCCGGTTGTGCTTCCGGGGAGCCGGTATGGATCAAGGCAGTGCAATGGCGGTGTGTAAGAAGCGTCGGATCGAAGCAGAAGGGGACGTGGCCGAGATGAATCTGGCTACGACTCGATTGCCCGTCTTGCTGCGGAATGTCTCTGAGATGAGATCGATGCGTTGCAGGCAGCAGGTTGGTTGGTGGTGTCACCGCTATGGCCGCCTGCTGTGCTCACGATGCGATGCCGCGGATACAACAACAGCAACGCCAATCACGGGAAGAGAAAAGAAGAACAGCTGGATTGTAGTGAAATGTGAGAGAAGAGGGAAACAAAATGACAGAAAAGAGGAGCAAAACAAAGTAGGAATCTGGTGAATGGGAGCTGATGAAAAATACAGCCGTTGTCGGGATGGGATTTTGATGAGCGGAGCCCTGCACGGTCTTGTCGATAACACACACAGCTGCAGCACCCTCTGCGGAGCTTTGCAGTTTTATAACAGGTAACAAATTCATCAACTCGGTCAGTCAACCGCCCGACTGACGAGGACGGTCAGATGCTGCCTTGGATAGGGCCATCTGCCGGCAGAGCTTACCTGCTAATACGTGCTAACTTGCTTAGTACCAATGAAGATATGCAGCATCGTGGCCATGTAAGATATCCTTCAGCTCTGCACGCCGCTGAGCCAATCGCGCCGGCACCAGCCCATCATCCAAGAGCAGCCATGCAGACACAGCAGAAAAAGCGCCTCCTGACTGAAGATTACTCCGCGCGAATCAAAGGGCCAGCGCATTCCTCTGCCAAGAAGTCTTGGCTGGCGCTCCTCACGGCGTCAATGAAGACAAGAGGCCCAAGGCGAAGCTGGCTGGGGGACCCCTACTATCTTCAACAGACCATGTACTACAGATGCTGAAGAGAGTGTGTGTACAATGGCAATCCGGCCGCATACGAGCATTTGCACGGCTCCAAGCGCTTGCCAAGGTGACGACTGCAACCACACTTTGTGCGAATAAACTACGTACGAGGATTGATACAGACGGTCGGATCCCTGTCTCTTTTGAGTCTTGGCATCACTGTCTGGCCGAGAAGCTAAAAAGCCACAGTATAAACAACAACAAGGTTGGCGTAACCGTAACCGCACTACCAAGGGGGTGGGTGTCGAAAAAGAGCAGCTAAACCTCCATGCATGCTCTATATGATATCGCACGGCACAGCACACAATGTACCGGATGGATGGTTTCATCGGAGAGCAGCTCTTTGTTGGCAAGGCGAATCTGTGATGATAGACATGCGATATTGATAGCAGAGTTGTATTGGAAGATTTCAAAGGCGGGATAACAGAGCAACAAAGAATGAAGCTGGTCCGTCGACGTCTCATTCATCCCAGTAGCGTCACACATCACCCCTCCTGACAAACCCACCATCATATCATCAACAACAAAGGAAAAAAAAGAAGAAGAAAACCATCCCAAACTCGAAAGAGAAATCCCGCCTGCCAAGCCAAAGCGGCTGCTCATCTCTCTCCCGTGTGTTTAGTCTTCCGGCTTCGAGCCGAAAATCCATCACCTGCTCTCGGATCCTAACCGCACCTCCGAACAGCAAATCTCCTGCTAGTACTCGCATATCCCATTCGCCCAAGTTTTTTTCAATTCCTTTTACGTACTACAGACAATGAAGAGGCAGCCCGAGACACGCAGCAAGTCAGCATGTCGTGTCATTCGACAAAAAAACTTAACCAGGGGGCCTCCCAATGGGCTACGAGTACAGGACAACTCGTTAGCCCCTTGCCGCAAGTTGCTCACCTGACTCTCCTTTTTTTTTCTTTTTTTTTTTTTTTTTTTGACGTCGGGTTTCTTTTTTGATCACATTTCAGCCCTGGCTAGCCAAAACCTTAATGTTTTGTATTCCCCATCCAACTTGGGAAATAAGAGTAAATCCCCAGCTCCGAACTATACAATGTTACTACTATACCCTAGTAGGACCTGGTAGTTCTCAGCTACTGGCACCGGTTTTCGTGCCTAATCGTGCCAACTCCTCCCCTCATTCTTCCTGAGCCGCATGGACAAAAAAGCTACGAGTATCCCCAAGCTTCTCTCTTCGCCACCACCTTGGATTAAGCATGTCCCCTAGCTCAAAAACAACCCCCCCCTAGCTAGAGCCGAAAATAATGTCCAAACATCCTTCCAGGCTGGTGGGTGGGCACTGGCGCTTTTCTCTGCCTCTTGTTTTTTTTTGTGCGACTTGGTAGATGCCTTTTTGTCGGGATTCCGCTCGTATTCCAGTAGTCCTTGGATATGTATGTACCCTGGCGTAGCCTGCAGGCTGTGCTAGATGTGATGAGGCCATCGTCCATTTACAAGGTCGCATTCGTGATGGGTATTTTCCCGCGGCCTTGTTTTTCTTCTTCTTCTTGTTTTTCCATCTCGGGCGTGAATCGGCTTTTATGCCTCGGCCGTGGCATTTTCGCTCCTTGATCATCACTTGATTGAGGTCTCCCAAAAGCACGTTTCAATTCTAACCCAAAAATTGGAACAAATCCCTTTCTTTTTTTTTATTCAGTCGTAATTCACATCAACATTATGAACACTCTACAAATATCCACTTCCTCATAGTTTGTGTTTCCCCCCAGGGCCACTTTCGAGCAATCCTCGTGCCCTCATACGAAGTGCCAACCAACTCCGTGACGCCATAGCCATGCAACCGGCCAGTTGATCCAGTATACCCGCCCCAACTTCCCTCCGACTATTCCCGTTTGCCGCGCAATGGCCCTCGAAATTGTTGTGCCAGCGCCTATCTGGATAGTTTTTGTCCGTCTACTTCTGCTCCTAGTTGTAGGTGCGAGACAGGTTGCGGAGATACCAGTCTACGAGCTTTCGGCCGACCTTGGCCTCTGAGATGTGAATCAGGTCCTGTAAAAGGGATACATGTTAGCGAAAAATGTTGCAAGATATAGAGGGGGAAAGAGGGGGAAAACGTACTCCCTGCAGAGCATAGTCAAGGTCGCTGACGTTGACCAGCTCGCCGTCCAGGAGACCCTGGTCCTGCCATCGCAGCTGCTTGGTGCGCTGCTTGGTCACCAGGAGCCAGGATCGCAGCTCGTCGGGCTTCACCTCGAGGAAGCCAGCCAGCTTGGCGAGGTCCATGGTGGTGTAGAGGCGGAGGTAGGACTTGATGGTGGGGCTGTACATGTTGGTCTTGACCTCGTCCATGAAGATGGACAGGTGGTGCTCCACGGGGTCAATGTTGGACTCGGGGTTTTCAAAGTCCGGAGGGATGGGGGAGATGAACTTGGGGCAGGCGCTGCGGAACAGCTCCTCAAAGATGGG